GGGGGGGGGGGGGGGGTGTCACACCCCCCCACACCCCCCCGGTAGTTTCGACCCTGATTAAGAGATTGTTACAGGTTAAGGTCTAGGATGATGATTTAACATAGCAAAACTTTCATTTTGTTAAGTGATATGTATATCCATCTGATCTTGATCTCTAGAAAACCCTGTTTTGCCACATGCGACCCTGATTAAGAGATTGTTACAGGTTAAGGTCTAGGATGATGATTTAACATAGCAAAACTTTCATTTTGTTAAGTGATATGTATATCCATCTGATCTTGATCTCTAGAAAACCCTGTTTTGCCACATGCAACGTCATTTTGTCTCAGAGTAAGAAGACAGTGGCAATGTGTGAACAATGTTATGCATGTTTGACTGTGCACTTATCTTGACAACTGTGCTTTTCTTTGGCTTTTATCCTTGACTCATTGAGGTCTAAAAAGTTCATGTAAATGTTATCCTTCCTTCTCCAATTTACTCAGCCATTCAAAAACCTTGACTTATTGATATTGTGAAAAGAGAGGGCTCCATGTATCAAAGCTAATAATAATCAATTCACTTATTACCATGACAATTTATGTACTTATATACGGGAAAAAAAACTAAGTTTTGCCCCATTTATTTACACCTATATTCATGACAACTGTCTTCCAATGCTTGTTATTCAGTTTAGTTGATGTCGCTTTGCTAGAGGCATTTGTCACCTCTTTCTTAAGGTTTGCTACAATTTTTCGGTCAGGCATGAATAGCCATGACTTTGTTCTGTTGTGCCTCGTTATTCTTGAAAATGACGATATAATTTGATGGTGAAATGTTTGTTGTCTCCTCATTGTTTGATTATGATTTTTTCTACCACAGATCATGCTTTTAGAATAAATGAAAGTGATGCAATTTTGCCTAGGATCCCAGTTCAGCCGATTTCTTATCAAGATGCATTGCCCTTTATAAGGTATCTTTTGAAGAAACATTGATATAATATCGCTGTTACTTATTGCGCAAAATGATCTCCGAAGCCACACAGATTCTAGAAGTTCTAGGTTAACGTGAATATAGATTGAAAAATTTCTTGATCTAAATATCGAATTTCAAAAATGTAGAACAGTTAAGAGCTGGCTTGTGAAAATGAATGATTAATTGATAGAATTGATGAAACCATTACCTATTTTTTTTTCTTAAAATTTATTCAGTTGACCATGCAACATGCTTGGTTCAGCATCTAAGTTTTTTTTCGTTGCCTATGCTCTGTTTTAACGTAGTGTTTAGCTATAATCGTAGAGTATATTGAATTTGATCTGTCATTTAAGTTGCAATGCACAAGGCTACCATTCCGTGGGATGTGGGGTTTTTTGGAAATCTAATAACCAAAATTTTTGTATAATCTAAAAAATCTCATTGCAATTCAAATTGTTACACTCATTTTAATCCTGAATAATTTTGAATTTTATTCATCTCCAAAGCTGCTTTCAGAGACCATTTTTGTTTTAGCCTTCTGGATGGTGTCAACATTCCAGAAAATTGGAAGGACTGGATTGGGGGTTTGGAAACAAAATATAGAATAACAATGAGTGAAAATAATACAAGGTATAGTTTGAAATAAACTGATTAAGAATTTTTCTGGTTTGGTGTTATTTCCTTTAATTTAAAATACAGTTTCTATATTCTGTTAAAGATGTGTTGGCGTATATTTGTAGGGCAGTTCCCAATTGAGTGATCGCAATAATAAGTGTTGTTATCGAATCGAGACGACCATAACTTTCTGTCTTGTTTTGAGTGTATTAACCTAGTTTAATGGTTATCTGGAAGAAAAGTTTTACATGGGGCAGGATCTAGGCCCATTAGCAGCTCTATGAAAATGTTAACAGGGATAATGAAGTATGTACCAGTATAGGCGGCAATTTTTAGGTGGAATTTGAGACTTTAATCTTACACTAATTGCACAAAACACTTTTATCATAGAGTTGTCCGTTTAGAAGTAAATACAAAGAGAGAAAGGCGTGACATATACAATGTTATTGCAACTGTAAAAGGAAGTGTGGAGCCAGGTAACATATGTTTCGATCACTTCCGCGTGTTATTTACTTTCATACCTTTGGTCTTTAATGATTCTCTTTTACTGTGTGATAATGTTAAAGACCTCATTTTGAAATACATTATTTGTTTCTTAGATCGAATAGTTGTTCTTGGCAATCATCACGATGCGTGGGTGATGGGAGCAGTAGATCCGTCAAGTGGCTCATCTACATTAATGGAAATAATACGTGCTGTCGGAGTAGCTGTGAAGAAAGGTTAGATTATGCTAGTGTAAAGTCTAAAATAATCGCTTTGATTTATTGCATCAAGTTAAGACAAGAGATGCCGTAGCCAGAGGGGCATTGGGTAGGGACATCCCCTTTCAGAATAAAGATTATGTTGTTTGTGTAGTGACAGGGTACTAAAAATTTTATATCCCTCCTCATCTCAAGTAGCCAAAACTTTGAAAACCTTTCTGAAAATAACAATGAGACAAGGCATGTTGCCGGTGTAATTCTATGTACTTTTTCTCAACAACCTTTCTCATATTCCTCACTTTTTCTGGACTCTGTGTAGCGATATGTGTTAGTATTGAAACTGTCCGCGAAACAGAAAAATGTGCTTTTCTTGCTGAGGAGACGACCCTCTCCTCGCTCTTTTCTTCACCGCCCGTTTCTCCACGACCCTTCCTTCCATCGCCCTTTCCTTTCTTCGTCTCTTCTCTCCTCGACCCTTCCTCTCCTCGACCCAACCTCTGCTCCACCCTTCCTTTTCTCGACATTTCCTTTCCCAGACCCTTCCTTCCATCGCCCTTCCTCTCCTAGGCCCTTTCTTTCATCGCCCTTTCCTCTCCTCACCCTTTCCTCCCCTCTCCTCGACCCTACCTCTCCTTAACCCTTCCTCTTCTTGACCCCTCCACCATTCGATCCCTCCTCTCCTCAACCCTTCCTTTCATCGCCCTTCCTCTCCTTGCCCCTTTTTCATCGCCCGTTCCTCTCCTAGCCCCTTTCTCTCCTCGCCTCTTCCTTATCTCCTCCCTACCTCTCCTTGACCTTTACTCTCCTCAACCTTCCTTCCCTCACCATTCCTCTCCTCGCCCCTTCCTATCATCGTCCTTCCTCTCCTCGCCCCTTTCTTTCATCGCCCTTTCCTCTCCTAGCCCTTTTCTCTCCTCACCCCTTTCTCTCCTCGCCCCTTCCTTATCTCCTCCCTACCTCTCCTTGACCTTTACTCTCCTCGCCCCTTCCTTCCATCACCATTCCTCTCCTCGCCCCTTCCTTCCATCACCATTCCTCTCCTCGCCCCTTCCTATCATCGCCTTCCTCTCCTCGCCCCTTTCTTTCATTCCTCTCCTAGCCCTTTTCTCTCCTCACCCCTTTCTCTCCTCGCCCCTTCCTTATCTCCTCCCTACCTCTCCTTGACCTTTACTCTCCTCGATCACCATTCCTCTCCTCGCCCCTTCCTTCCATCACCATTCCTCTCCTCGCCCCTTCCTTCCATCGCCCTTCCTCTCCTCGCCCCTTCCTTCCATCGCCCTTCCTCTCCTCGCCCCTTCCTTATCTCCTCCCTACCTCTCCTAGCCCTTTTCTCTTCTCACCCCTTTCTCTCCTCGCCCCTTCCTTATCTCCTCCCTACCTCTCCTTGACCTTTACTCTCCTCGACCTTCCTTCCCTCACCATGCCTCTCCTCGCCCCTTTCTTCCATCGCCCTTCCTCTCCTCGCCCCTTCCTTCCATCGCCCTTCCTCTCCTCGCCCCTTTCTTTCATCGCCCTTTCCTCTCCTAGCCCTTTTCTCTTCTCACCCCTTTCTCTCCTCGCCCCTTCCTTATCTCCTCCCTACCTCTCCTTGACCTTTCCTCTCATCACCCCTTCTACTCCCCTCTCAAGGAAATTCTAGCTGTAGACTCGTAATTGCTTTTTTTTGCTAGATTTTTTTCTAATTAATGTTAGGCTAGTTTACTATATTACAGTGGAATCCAGATGTAACGAACTTTGAAGGGAACCAGAAAATAGTTCGTTGTATCGAGAGTTTGTTAAATCGAGAGGTAACGTTTTTTCGGGTCCTTTCGCAGTTCACGCCTAAAAAACCTGCGGTTAGCTTGTTTAAGCTATCTCCGACCTCTGTGCACATTTAACTCCAAAAAACCAATCTGAATTCAAATAATACAGCTGAATGGTCATTGAAAATGAAAAACTTAATGTTACTTTTATAATTTTGAACTAAAAGATTGGCAAAGCTGGTATCACTCCACTCCTAGTTGGTGCCTGAATGATGTCTTCAATTACTCCACATTATTATTTGTCTTCTTCTGCTTCTCCATCTGGGTCTCTCAATAAATTTTTGTCGTCGCTCATTGCCAATGTCTCATATGTAAGAAGGTATTCGTTTCTGTCAATATACTCGTTCGCAGTAATTTCTGACGCAATCAAACTTTCATCTCGTGCACCGAGCCTATAAGCCAGTGCTTGAAATGTATCATCAGCATGTTTTGCCGATTACAAAAATGATTTTCCCACAGGAGAAAGTGATAAATGAACATCGAAAATAAATAAACAAAAATAACAGATGAAAAATTTATGAAAAGTGTTCGTTATAACGAGAGTTTGGTAGATCCGGGGTTCATTATACCGAGAGAATTTATAAGGAGCTTGTTAGGCAGAATCGAAAGGAACAAAACATTTAGTTCGTTATATTCGGAGTTCGTTATATCAGGATTCTACGGTATTTTCTTAGCAGGGATGGTAACGTGTATCTGACGGTGCACTTTAAATATTGCATCATAGGTTGGAGACCAAGAAGAACGCTCATGTTTTGTAACTGGGACGGCGAAGAATACGGCCTCGTTGGTTCTACAGAATGGGTTGAGGTGACAAACATATATTGATACTTCCAACATTATTAGTTACTCATTTTACTATCTAACATTTGTTGTATAATTCTACCAATTTCTACAAAATAATATCTTATACAGCAAAGATTACCTCATTTTACCAAATACTACTTTAAACTTTCATTAAACCCCTTATACCCTATCAAGTGCCACAATATTCTACCATATTCTATCAATTGCTACTAAAGATTGCCAAGTATTTCTAGATACTAAACAATTTAACCTAAAGGGTACCGCGTAAACTGCTAGATCTCTTAGAGTGAAAGTTGTCAAGTAAAGATATATAAATACTACATCAAAATGTTGTCTGCTTGTTTTTATAGAGAAAGATTTCATTGCTAGCAATAGTGATAATGATACCTTGATTTACTTTTTGTATGGTTTATAAGAAAAAAAATAATAAGAAAAAAAATAATAGGAAAAAAAATAATAAGAAAAATCCCCCTTTTTCATACCCAAAATAAGTTTATATGTATGTACGCTTCGACTTCTAATAGAACTACCACTCCTTTTAAAAAGCAAAATGTACACAAAGAAGATCAACTTTTATCAAAAAAGACTGCAATTATTTAGTTGTTTCATTGTTTTCATTAAATTCTGGCCTTTTTCAATCGAATCATAAAAGTTTTTAGGTTTGTTGTTCTAAACCTTATATTTTCCATGCAAGTTATTAGGATTTGATTTGTTGTTTTCAATTCAAGCTATTGTCGAATAACGTTATAATTCAGGCGGATGCTCCACTCATTGCTGTGTTTTAGAACGTTTTTACCTCAAAAACAAGAATAACACGAGTTAATCTCCTTCGGTTTTATTGCAGGATTATGCCAGTATGCTTAAGAGTACAGTCGTTGCTTACTTGAATTCGGATAGCTCTGTTCATGGTAAAACACCTTTTGATTATTAATCTCTGTTGGTAATTGCTAAAGATATTTTTGTTTGCACCTTGCATATCAACTGTCACAGCCTGCCCACGCATTGCTAAGATACTATGTACAATTTCAATTTTTTTAGCGCATGGAAGCTTTAAGGTTCTTAAATATTTGCTAATCAAGCAGCCCATATGGCAAGTCTACGTCATAGAAGAAGGAGCCAATATGTCTGTTTTTGTCTTTGTTATCCAATATAAGCGTATCTAGATCCATGATAATTGCAAATCCTTGAACACCTGAGATAAAGGTCTGATCAATTGTAGGAATTTCATGTATTATGTACTGATCTGAAGCTTCTCTTAAAGGCAATCTGTCTCGTTGTGGATTGGTTAACGAGAACAATAGCTGGAACAATAGCCTAAACACGATTCCAGCGCTCCGCCATATTTTTTACAGCGCGATAAATTAAAGGGGGACTGGAAACAATAAAAATCCCTTTGTTCTTATAACCAATCAACGTCGTGACAGATTGCCTTTAAATGTGTGTTTTTGTACCTTTGAGCCCTTTTGTTTATATTCATCTGGGAAGGAGAATTTTTCAGGCTAATAATGTCTTCGACAGTTGCAAAGAAAATTTAGTGTTGGAAGAATAATGTTACTCTTATCAAATTTTAATCCTTCAAATATGACTCTACCTAGCTATGGTACACAAATCTGCAGTCCGTATTCAAGAGTGATTTAAGTTACCAAGTTAATGTTTTTCAAATTCTCCCTTTTCTCGTAAGTAATCTAATTCTTGTATAGTCCTTCTGGTAGCACTTGTTAATGATTATTTGTTCATTTTCGCGTAAGGGTTCTCATTCTTGTCGTTACGTAGGAAATTATTCTATTGATGTCAAGGGATCTGATCAGCTAGCCAACATGGTTTTTGAGGCAGCTCGTCAGGTATACAAGTTATGAAAGATGTTATGTATAAATTTTATGTTACTTAAAGAAGTAAAAGTGACAAATGTTCTTTCAATTAGATTTTAGAAATGTCAACACAGAACATTCTATAGTCTAGCTTTATTACCATAGCTTTGTATTCATATTTCAGTTACATTGCAATATGGAAAAATTTGTTTAAAGGACGCTCGTGTAATGTCACTATTTCTTCTTGTTGTCCTTCGAAAATTATATTGTAGCAAGTTCATTTAGTTGAGTTGGTTCTTTTGAAATACAGTTCTCTGAATTTTCTTTCATAGGTTAAAGATCCAGATGATGAATCAAAATCAGTTTATGAAGACTGGAGGAAATCGTTCCCGGATAAGGCCCAGCCCTTTTATCCACGGTATTAACCCTCTGTTTTTTAGTGGCTTGTCAGGTCAGTCTAAGATGATGAAGCCTTCAATGACAATTTCATTCTACATTCTATTACGTTCCTAGAAGCTTGGTAAACGGCTCACCGAAACTGATTCTTATTTGGCAAAATAGCTGATCATCCCCCAATCCCCCCCCCCATCCATCGGCTAATCATCCCCCCATCCATCGGCTAATCATCCCCCCCCCCATCCATCGGCTAATCATAATAGTACTACTAGAAAAAAAGTAAATTTGAATTCAGTAAAAACAAACATATGGGAACCTTGATTATTTCTTGAAAAATGAATTTTGAATGAATGAGAGGCTGATGAGAAACCTCGTATCACTAGGATGTGAGTTTGTTGTTGTAAACTATTCTCTTCTAGAATTCGATCACCTGGAGCTGGAAGTGATCATAAGAATTTTTATACCAGATTTGGCATTCCCGTTGTAGACATTCGATACACGTACAATTGGGTGAGTAATCCAAATTCAGTTCTTCTTTCACTGAAATGATTACGTGATCTTTAATTGGTTAGTATGTTTGTTTGCAGCTGTTTATAAAGAACAATACGAATATGCTTCATATTGTTCTCCTTCACCAGGACCCTGTCCGGCGGGGAACAGTTTCAAATTTGACCGGTCCCAAACTAGTATCGTTTCAGACCTCTTTGGAAAGGGTCAATTTTTGGGGGCGTTCATGGTAATGTCGCTTTGGAACTTGTGTGAACGACTCCAACAGAGATAGGCTAGGCTAGGCTAGGCTAGGCTAGGCTAGGCTAGGCTAGGCTAGGCTAGGCTAGGCTAGGCTAGGCTAGGATGGGATGGGATGGGATGGGATGGGATGGGATGGGATGTTTATACAATATCTTGCAAGTTCACACCAGTTAGATTTTTAAGAATAATGTTTGCAGGGAGTGGCTGTTTAACGATTCTTTAAGAATGTATGTCTTTTTTAATAATGCTTGTGCATGTCAATGCTATGTTTTGAAGAACGTTTAAAACGTTGATCTGAGTTTGCTGTCAGTTGCTTGGAATCAGTATCAAATGAGAGACCTTTTCAGATAAAACAGTGATTTTAAAAGGTTGAGTTTAACAAAAGAGGGTGTTTTTAACAATAGAGAATAAAATGTTTGGCTGATCTCTGAAAATGTCTGATGATTTCACAAGATTGGGCAGTACTTCTCATATAGAGGTAACATCTTCTGAAAATGGGAAGAGACTCTATGAATAGTCACCATTGTAATGATACGTATCTGTTTTGTTTTTTCAGGATGACTACAATCATGCAATGTCGTACCCAGTCTACCACTCTCTACACGATTCTTTTCATTGGATGACGTCCTTTGTTGATCCAAAATTCTCTTATCATCTTGCTCTTGGGCGTATTTGGGCTCAAATGGGTATGACTCTTGCAGACAGCGAACTGTTGCCTTTCAATTTTACAAGACTTGCCTGGAAGTTGTCGCGTTGTAAGGACAGCTTGGAGACGAAGTATGGGCAGGCTTTGAAGTTGCAGGGAATAAGTCTCGGTGAGAGTTTAGTTTCAATGCCCAGAACTAAAAATTCCATCTTTGTTAGTTGTTGACGAGTTGAAGATAAAAAGAAATATTTTGCAGGAAATTCTTTTAAAACATTTCACTTTGTTTTGCTATTCTGTTTATGAAAGAATATCTTTAATTATTATGATTTCTGCGGATCTGTACCGATATTTTGTCAGTAAAGCATACTCAAACAACTTTTAATAGACTCACCCCTCTCATAAAGGTAAAGAAGAAAGCTTGAAATTTTGATATCATCTTATGACGCTATAGTTATCGCCGAAGAGAAAGTGGTCTGAGTGAAGAATTTTATCTTTTCCATGCTTACATTGATGTTAAAGATTGACAAGGGCTTATGAAGAGAGAAACAAAATTCCATGAATAACCCAGATTAGTCGAGATTTATCTTCTTTTAATCCAGCTTTTGAAAAGGTGTCAATGATCTGTTGCTTTGCCCTTGCCAAAGGTGCATCAAATATCAAAAGTAACGGCTTCGAGATCTTCTCAATTACCTAACGAAATTTAATTCGATCCAAATGCTGATTTTAGTGGTTGCATTAAGCATGTTAACAGGTTCATGTATGAAGGGTTGATGTAACTTGAAAACCAAAGCTGAGAAATAGAAGCATGTTTTTGTACTGGTATCTGGCAATTTTTCAAAGCTAGCAACCACAATGAACGGCTGTTTTAACACGTAATTTGATTAACTTTGTCGTAGATGATTTACAAGCACAAATAAGGAAATTTGCTGAAGCAGCCGAATCATTTCACGTTTCCCTCCATTCTCTTGATCGAAAGAGGTGAGTTAAACATAGAGACAAGCGACCCACCACTACCACCAATTTATATAATGCATGACAAGGCTTTAGCACAGCAGTAGCTTCGTATACCTACTCTATCCTTGTTTCATCATAATCTGTTCATCGTTCAGACTTGAGTACAGGATTTACTGACCCAGTTTTACTCGTTACTTTGACTTCATTCAAGCAAATTAATGAATACCGCTTAATCTTTTGATCTGGACACTTGATCGGCTGAAGTGAATTGGAATATTTGTGACACATGGCTTAGCAGTTGATTCTATCGACGCATAAAAGGCATTTCAACTTAAATCACATCCGAAGATCTGGCCAGTCAGGATTTGTTTTCCAGAGTAGCTTTGTCAGATTTCACACAATAAAAGTGTTCTTTGTATGTGCCACTAACTTAACAATGATATAATTTTTGTAGGGGGACCATCGTTTAAGAACTAAAGGAGCAAAAGGGATTATTCATTGGAATCTAAGGATTTTCAAAATTATTGTTTGAGTACGAGCCCCCTAAAAACTATGCCGACTATTTGCCGACAATTTGGAAATAATTTTTATAGTATATAATTTTTATATATAGTATATAATTTTTTTTTATTTTAGTACAAAAAAATCTTGATTTTTGAAAACTGATACATTTCTGTTTTATTCATATGGTATTTGCTATATTTATGTACGACCATATTCTTATAGTGACCTGCAAGTACGAATGGCAAATGACCAAATGATGCAAGTGGAGAGAAGTTTTCTCTCAACCTCAGGACTTCCTGGACGCCCGTTAATGAAGTAAGAGTGTAAAGTAATGGTTTTTTTAAACAACCTTTGCTTGCAATAGCAGCAAAGAGTCAAGCTTTGTGTTTTTTCATTACTTATGGTCTAGACCAATCTCTTGGTTGAGATTTTTGGCCTTTATCGATTCCACTTGATATTATTTTGAATTCTGTTCTTGTCTTCTGTCTCTGCTTGATTAACCCTGTCCCTGTTTGTGCAAATTGTTGCTGACTGTGTTGATGATTGTCCTTTAATGTTAAAAGATCATGCTTTGTTTGGTTTTCTGCGTGTAGCCAGCTTTCTCTTCCCTGTGTGTAGAAGACATGGGATTAGATGAAGGAACTATGTCATCCAAAAACCCAGGAAAATTTGCAGAGTTAACGCCAAGTCTGTCAAATTAATTAGAAAAGTAGTGGCAATATCTGGCCAGACCAACTTATTTACAATCAAACTTGCGTTTTTCATTTCCGAAATGAATTCTGTAATCGTTGCAAAGAAAAATGTATGTAGAAACGGTTAAATATGTAGCCAGTATGTGAATTTTTTAACCAAGGGCTTTGAAATATCTGATTCATCATGATTTCATCTGCCTATATTGCCTGTCTTTTCTGATATAGTAGTTCAAAATTCCCCAGGTCATTTAAAGTAGAGGTTTCTAACTTTTTTCTTGTTGTTTTCTCCTCCAGGAATGTCGTGTTTGCTCCGTCAGCTCACGATCAGTATTCTGGCTCCTGCTTTCCGGGCGTAGCTGATGCAATGTACCAGGTTATACAGAATAATGAAGATGACTGGTCAGTTGTCAAGCAGCAACTTACAATCTTGTCCCATCACGTGCTACAAGCAGCCAGGGCTTTGTCAAGGTAGGACAGTGGCATGTCAGTTTGACAAAAAAGTTTTTGAACGATTTTTTATTGGCAGCAAACCAAATCGTATTGATAGTGACGATATTCATTTGCGTTTAGAATAATTTTGCAAACACGGAGAGAAAATGTTTGATATTTGTTATAAAACAATCACTAATTAATATATTGTGCTTTATACATAATTTATTTGAAGTATATGAAGTAAATCTTAATAAGCTCTCAGGATAGATTGATTTATAGAGTAATAGTACAGAGGATGAGCAAATCTATCCGATGAAGTATTTGTCCAAAAACCCTTTTTGCTTAAGAAAATGTTTTTGTAAAAGGCCTCTTGATCGATACCTAGGTTTAAATGAGGATTTAAGCTCATAGAAAACAGACCCATTGGCATTTTTCAGATCCTACATACAACCAGCGCACGCAGAGTTTTTTTAGTGATGTTTAGTCAATTTTATCGATCTTAAAAGTTTTCTATCAGATGTTTGATCTCTTGGGTGGACTTGCCAGATTTCAGTTGATGGCAAGCCAGAATCCGCGACTGGTTTTGAGAATGCTAAATATGTTTTCTCGACTCAGTATCATGCCATGTAGAAGCTTTCCAGAAAAATGTTTTGCCAGCTTTTTTGAAGTATGTAGACGTGGCTCTGAAGTATCCATCGACAGTGGAATTTATGGTTTTGCTACCACAATGGTCGATACCCCTGTTTATGTTCTGTGCCGAAGACCCTTAGACCCAACGGTGACCACCCGTTAGTCTCATTCTGACTATATCATGAAGGTTAGTTGTTCTACCCCTGATATCAGTCATCAACTTTCCCATGGTCTTTTCTCGTATGTTCCTTTTTTCCTTATCATCCCCTTTGCGTTTTTCTTTCCCTGCACCGCCTCTTTTCTTAACAGACTTTTGTTTATATGATAATCATGAAGTGCCATTGGAACGACGTTCATATATGGAGAAGGCATTTTGCTTCCTATTTAAGACTGTGTTACAGATATTGTAGAAGTGTTTGAAAATAAACGATGGTCCGTGCCCTCTTCTTTGAACATCCAACATCGCTGGCATTAAAGAGGGCTGTATCTTTAACTTTGTGTGAGTCGTGTAATTTCAGTTTTTGTTTTGCTGTGTTTCTGCATCACATGAGAATACAAGATCCAGCTTTTTCTCGTACCCTTTTCTAACTTTAAATGCCATACTTGCTGTCTTAATTGTCAATATTGTCATAAATTCATAATGAAATTGATTTCACTTTTGCAGAACTTATTTTTCTATCGCTTTGCGATTCATGTCTCATTTTTATTACGAAATGCTACAATCTTTTTAATCTTAATGAAAATACAGTACGAATTTTTTGATAATGTCTGTTTACTCTTTTGAAGTGCTCCAAAACTCTAAAGGGCTATCCTCTTTAGAAGAAAACACCAATGCAATCCCTACCAAAATTCTTGAAACACTAAGGTCAGTTCGTAATGCAAATTCAGCCATCCCTCTCTCTCCATAGGAATAATGTTGGTTTACTATAGAAAAAGAAAGAGGTTATGAAATGCGTTTTTTTTATTGTTGCTTGTATGATATTTTTGTAGACTGTCAACATTGTTCTGGCTGAGAGATAAATGTAAGTAGATGTATCCGGGAAAATAAATGAAAAATAGAAAAAGCACAACGCAAATTATTGGCTGTTCCAAGCATTCTGATGCAATACAATGCAAAAGCAAGTTAAACCAGATAATTCAGAAAAGACTTTCGCAACTCTATATCACACCTGACATAGTGAGAAAACAATATTTTGTTCCCAAATTGATAATAATTTATGTAGAGCTGTTTACTGGTGGAAATATTATTGAGGTATTGGACTAAGTCAAACCCTTTCGCCAGAATACAAAAGCGTTCAATTTTTTTCCCCACTATTTTTATTAATTCGGTAAAACAGTTAACATTGACAGAAACAGTATTTGAAAATTCATGAAACAAATTACCAAAGCTTAAGATATATGAGAGAGTCACCTGCCATTTTAGAAGACAATGATATAAGACCATCCAAAATCTCCATTTATGGGCAAGGCACATTATCAATTCAATCTTTTTGAATAGCAATGTCAGTTAAATGTTAAGCCAAATTCAAGATTATCTCCCCCGATTACTGCCTGCCGTTGAATAAGCCTACTTAATGTTTCATTGACGGAGATAAACGTGCTTGAATAGTTAAGGAGCGTCATTTCATTGATGACCAGTTAAACCGCCCCTGAATTGTCTGATATGACAAGTTGTCCTTGTTCATTCACGTTGCAATGTGCTTTGCGTCTGTTTATGCCTGCTACCATGGCCTTCCACAAAAGTGATCGTTAAGCTTTATCAATAATTTCAATAGAATTTTAAAGTGTGACCTCACCAAAAACCTACTGTATCTTTAGAATTTTTTAATTTTAACCACATAACATAAAAGATCACCATGAAATACTTCCAAATATGCAAAATTAGTCAAATATGTCTAAAATCAGTTGAGATATTGCCAATGAAAGATTTGAAGTTTGCTAAAGAATCACTGTTAATTTGGCTCTGTTCCTAAAGTTATGAACAGAGACCAAAATACAGGGTTTGATGGGGGAAGAGCAAATACATATGTGACCATATCCCAGCCAATTCGTAACACATTTGACTGATTTTGCATATTTAGAGGCATTTTATGATGTTCGTTCAGGCTATGGTATCCAAATTCAAAAACTTTGAAATTAGACTTTTGTGACGTCATCACTTTAGAACTCTATTGCCTTGAGCTTAATTGAAAAAAAGTCATGACTTTGAAAAGATGAAAAGATGTTAAGTTGCACTTCGTCTGTATTCAAAACCTCTTTGTGATACCAAACATTATTAGAACTATCAATTACAATATCGGATTACACAGTTTTAAGGGTCGAAAATATGTGTCTGATTGCTAGATGAAAGAATGCCCGAAATTCAAAGAAATTCAGTAAATCAATTCAAACTCTGTTCCATGGAAATAATGTACCCGATCCTTTTGCAGTAAATTAACTGCTTTACGCAATCCATGAAATTGCTTCATGTTAGTCTGAATTAGTGTTTATCCATTTTCAAAAACCCTACCATTAAAGAAATCATAAAATACATTACAATACTTCACACAACACACTATGTTTTTAAGATTAGTTTTTTGGCCTATTGCCCAATGCAGGACCTAAAGGAGTCATGGAGTTTTTGTAGATAATAAAACTTTGCACGATATGATCTCTCGAAAATTGAGTGTACATGTTTGAGCCGTTTTATGATAGCAGTTGTGGGTTGAAACATTGTTAAGGTGAGATCACGCAACTGGCTTTGTATCAAATTGTTAAACCAATGTCTTAACTCGCAAATATTTTCTGAATGAAGATTGAGCGCAGCAAAAAGTGTTTCAGAAGCCCTTCAAAAAATTACTGGGTTTTCGCAAGTCCACAAGTTAGGGCCTCTGATTTCGCGGCCCTTGGAGCAATACCTTTTTTGCTGGATTTTTTGGGAAAAAAGTAACAACAAGTGTTTTGAAACTAGTTGTTCTTTGCATCCTCCCTCTTTACTTCGAACCCTGGCTCCGATCCCTTTAGAACACTTGTTGTATGTATACAGAGTTGTCAAATGCGTTTCAAAAATTGGAAGGGCATCACAGGTAGGAAAAGGAGCTGTGTCTCAGAAAAAGGAAACTTTCCCACAAGTTCTAAATAGTATAATACTTCTAAGCAAGCCGCTGTTTCCAGAAAGATGATAGAGCTTTTGCTATTGCTAGTCCTTGCTAAAAGGATGAAAATAAGGGATGTTGGGGGTTTCGTTACAGTTTTTCTCACGATCAATAGCACTGGCAATGAGACTTTTTGTTAATCTACCAACGATCTCTTCACGGTACCACCCTTGGATGCCGGTGCATCCTAAGCAAGGCCAGATACAAATAACAAGCTATGTGCAAAATATTTCATGTTTACGTTCGTTTGTTATAATAAAAGCAAGGGGAGTATTGCCCCCACCTGACACTCCCTGGTCCTGGTGTAAAGGTCCTGGTGTAAATATCTAAACAACAGAATTTGTATTCTTTATAAGAAAAAGACACAGAGAATCACAACATCAGTTCAGTTTGGTTGATTTTTTAAAGTAAAACGAATAACTTAAACTGCAGTGTGGAAACTTGCGTCATTGGGCAACTCTCGTCTCCACGCACTCCAAAATTCGTCAAAAACTTTCTGCTAAACGAAAATTTTGAATGGTGACATGAGGCAATACTTTGCTTTACTATTTTAGTTTTATTCGATAAAAGTGCACCGAGTTTTTTCCGTATTTTGATTTGGACTCGTTTGGACTGCGTGGAACGACTGTTTTTTACTAACATGTGGAAATAGGCAATGGTTTTTCAAGATCAGGGTTAAAAAGAATTGCTTTATCAAAGGCTTCATCAGGGACATTAACTAGCAAGACTCTGGGGGGGAGGGGGGGATAATAAGTTTCCTTTGACCGGGCTCAAACCCCCCATGTCTGTATGGATCTTATCAAAATAATACTGTTATAACGAAAGTGGCATTGAAGCCCTGTAAAACCCAGACCTGATATTGAACGGTTAAATCCAATACTGCTCCCTCAGCAAAAATGAAATTTGGTTTATATGGTCTGGTATTTCTATCATGGTTGTGTTTATAGGCTATTGTGAGCGAAAGACTTCCTCAGAGACAATCTCTTGGGGAATTAATTTCTGTTTATCATTCGCCTCATGAAATCCTTTATAGCTTCAGACACTTTTTCTTTTATGGCTAGAACTGTGTTGGTGTTTATATACTTTTTGCCAGGAAGTCTTCTTATTCATTGCCCAATTTTTCATTGAAGCACTCTTTACCTGCCACCTTTATAAAATATGTTAGACTTTTAAGAAGTACAATGTCCAACGTAAGAAAACTCTCAATGGCAAGTGACAAGCTGTCAGAAATCTCATTAGTCACTATCAGTTTTGAACAAATGGTTTATCCACTCACAGGTGTGGAAAATTGTATGAAGCGCCATTCTTATAACCCGTCGTTTGGATTCAAAAGCCATGTTCATCGTCGTTGTATATGTACACTGCAGTAGCAATGCCAGCTTGCTCTACATGCAGTCTAAAGCTCATTTGTAAACTATTTTACAAACACTTATTTTATACCCATGCTCATTAATTGAAATTTAACACGGATAGTGGTAATATTCTGATCCAAAGCATCGCGGTGAAAAATTTTTATCAAAAATTTAATTGCATATTGACTTGGTTGTAAAGAAACTGCGGCCATTTTTTGCTGTTTTTGATAAAGCTATATGTATTTGGTGGCAATCCATTACCACGTGACTTGGAAGACGTGTAGTCTTGTAGTCTGGATATTCGTTCGTTTTTTGTGACTGCTTAATGCACTCACAGCCAAAATTGTATCGATTAAAGAAAAATGGAAACTGATGACTTTTTAGATTTTCAGATTAAGTGCATCAGCAGGACAATTCATGATAGAGAGCCAAGAAATATTGATAAAAGAGTTGATGCTGAAGATCTTACCACAATGCTTTGCGTGTGTTCAGTGGTTAAAGTTCAAAGTGAATTCTGCAATGGGTGCACATTGTGCCCTATTAGGTAGTTGGCGGAGCTAGAAGCTCCCTTATTTCAGGAATAATTCCGATTGAATTCTGAAAGCAATGAAGAAACCGACAGCCACATTAACTGGCACCAAAGGATACCATAGTTCTTTGGCTAGGCCCTAGGACTTTTTTCATCTGGGCCCTTAAGGGAGCTAAGCACTTCCTTCAACTACTTCTAACTTGTCTTAGAATTTAATTCAGCAAAAGGAAATAAGTAAACGAAGCTAGTTCTCAGCTTTGATTCTAAACGCAGCCACATTCTAACACAGACATGTTTTGTAGAGATGATTTCAGGATAGTACCATCGTCGTCATGGTGCAGTAAAGTGAGTGGCTCAAATTTCAATGGTACACAGCATGTTTGCAGGTCCGGGTGTTTTCTGCTTGCAATTAGGTTTCGCTTAATGAAGGCATGGCTACGAGCTGAAGTTATCCCCGTGCCTGTACACCTTCCTTCGCAGTAGTTCACTTGATAGCCGTCAGGCTTGATTATCCAGTCATGCCAATTGATGTCCCTGAACCTGACGAAAAGTTTGCGAAGACAGCATTTGTCATAACCGGGAACGCATTCTTTGGCGTAAGAGCGCCTTGTGCGACGTCGAGAGCTTTTCTCTTTCAATTTCAAAACCATGAAGGGCCTGTATCGGATTTTCGTAGTGATTGTAAGGTTAGCGCCCTTTATCTGTACCCTATGTTTAACAGAGTTACCACTCATTTGATGTTGCCAACCACCTACTATATCGTTTACAAAAACAGTGAACCATCCATTCTCCGGCACCGTAGCTTCTGTTTCGAGAGCAAGCCTGGTTGCGTTTCCACCTTCATTAAAACTCTCTCTTGAAGTTTCTTCAACATCTCTTTTTTGTCGGTGCTGATGAGCTTGGTTCATTTTTCTGACGTCATTAGGCCTTGCTTTTAAGCTATCGGTTGAGCCGTGCGAATCTGTCCGAAACGTAACTTTCCGAGTGTCATGGTCATCAGTGCTCCTTGGCATTGAGTTTTTTTTGTCAAAGATATTGACATTGTCTCGTTTTGTTCTTGAAAATGCGCGATTTTCAGCCTCGTCAAGAAAAATGGTTATTCTCTCTGAATCTTTTCCTTTAGTTGTCCCTTCTTTGTGTGCATGCAGTGCAGCGTATTCTATTTTGTGCTTGCTCAAAAACCTATGATTAATCTTGAATATAAAGCACCCATCTTTTGCCTGGCAATTTGCATCGTCACCTAGAAAGTAAAAAACCGTCTCAGAAATCTATTTTACAGTATAAATGTGATATGATCAGATTCATTCTATTCCTATTCTTGGTCGTCAACTTTACGTACAAACGACGCGCGTAGAATTTGTTTAACTTTTTTTAAGTGGTATTTTCTAAAATTCAAATATGAAGATTTTTTGAAAGTTTTTTTTCCCTAGCCGTCATGCCTACGAATGTTACAGCTAGACACACTTAGGATTGGGAGGAGGAGGTGGTTCACGGGAGCTTGCACCCTAGCAAACGAGTGCATTTCGGGCATACAAATTAACATGTGAATCAAACGTCAGTAAAAGCCACAGATTCCCCCATAGATCGAATAGGCCTACTTTTCTTTTATGCGAGAAGATGGCTATCTTGAATTCAAATATATGGGTTATACTCATGGATGTGGCTGTAAAAAGGCCGAAAATGTAACAAACTATCCTAAATTGTTGTAGGTAACTTTGGCTTCAGCAAATGAGTCTTCCGGTCGATATACATATGCTTATCTATTGCCAATGACAATAAGCAAGAATCAAACTTTAACTGTAACAGGTCTTCAGAATTCAAGACCAGTCTCTTCTCAGGCTTTCTCTTTAAATTTTCAAGTAATCGTAGATGATTTCTACACGTGATTTTTCGAAGGCTCCATGGTTTGATTAAGATAAAGGCGACTTAAAAATTTCCAAAAGTATTCCAAGAACTGAAACAGCAAAAAGCATGGACTAAGTAACCGTGATTTCACAAGCATAACATTGTATAAAACATTTTGAAAAATTAAATATCTTATAATGTTATAGATATAAAATTAAATATCTTATAAAATTAAATATTATTCACATGTTAATAGTTTTCACCCTATAATTTCTATATCAATATTGCTGCAATTAACTATTGAAAATTAAAGATTTGAAGTTAAAGCTGAAGTTATTTAGTGCGAAGAGTTTGCATGACAAAATTTTGGTACGTAACCTTCTTCAGATGACACCACGATGTCAACTTTTTTCTCTGGGTCTTCTTCAACAGAAGTTGTAAGTCCACCATCGATAAGAGGTCGAGGGAGATTTGGTTTTCTTTTGTCTAAAGGTATAGGAGGTGGCCTGGCCTTCATGCCTAGTTTTTCCAATATTTTCTTCATAAAAGCTTGTTTTATCGCTTTCTGGTGCAAGAATTCTTCGTATCTAAAGACTCTTGAAGAATAGTCCTTTGATATGCCAGCTTCTTTGTTAGGAAAAGCGAAACATAAAAGACAGTTTGCAAGTAGCAAGCAACCCAGCAAAGTCCAGGAATTTTCCATGATAATAGACGACAGGTTACGGTTTCACGCAACGCTTTTGAAATGCATCAAAAGTGAAGATATGGTGGTATTCCTGCAACAGTGTCAATAGGCAACAAAATGAATATCTGTAGTTACCATACACAAAAATCCAGGCAAAGTTCACTCCATGAATTCCGTGCACGCGCTTCACAGTCCTCAAAGTTCGATTGCAAAAGTGAAAAAGAAACGGTAAAACGATATGACCATGATATCACTGGCTATTCATGTGTATCGGTTACTCCATAAACCAGTTCTTGTGTCCTTTTGGAAATTGGATTTTCCAAGACGGGGCCAAATATGTCTTGTCATTATTGGGGCCCAAACAAAACGACCTCTTGACCTAAAAATAACACGATACACTGCAAGGTTGTTCAACAGTTGACAGCGAAATGGAAGATAATAGCATTTAGCCACTCCTCGTAGACACACGTCGCTTTAAATCCATGCGATTGTGTGCGATATCTCTTGCTTTTCAGTCCAGGAAATCCTATCCACATCGTCGCCTAATTGAAGTGACGCCTGGTACTTGAATGAATTGAAAACCGGCATTAGATAATTGATGCTTTTCTGACGGCAGACATATTCAGTCTTTGCTTTATCACGGGGGCAATGGAGGTTCATTCCCAACTGTTACTGGCTTAGGTCAGACTCTGTAATAATTTGAACAGATGTAAATGACCCTTAACCTGTCGTATCCAAGAGAAAGAAAAAAAATTCTGTTCTTGAATATTTCTCACAGGGCAGTTCCGCAATGAAAAAATATTCTTGATTGATGATCATATGTGTTTTTATTTTTTAAATAATTTTTTATATCAATAATTTTCTTACTATAATCTGGTTATTTCAGACGTACTTGGCTAGAGTCAGCGAAATTCTCTCTTACTATTCCCGGTGATCAGATTTACTATAACCCACAACGCAATATAACTAAAACAAATACAAATACAAAACCAAGATTTTATTGGTTTTGTATCTGTATTTGTTTCTACCTAGTAAAGGTAGTTTTTAGGACACTTAGAAGCTTATGCTTATCGAGCAGTGTCCTGGTCTTTCCTCTCGATGTGACCACACCTCGTGATTCCTATGCCTGGAATTACAGAGAGCTGGCAACTCTCCCGACTCTGGCATGCCAGGGACTCGAACCACGGACCTTTGGGTCTATAGTCAGCGCCTCCAGCAACTGAGCCATCCTCGCACCTTGGAATGAGTGCCCCTCTCCACAACGGGTCTTTAATTACTTATCGACTGGAAAGATTGAAGTAAAGTAATTGATATTTAATTACTTCACTTCTACCCAGGGGCGTCTACCATAAGAGGGCTAGCAGGAGCAAGCAGTGTCTTTATTTGCGACGCCCGCCAACCACGCCACTAAACAACCAATGGTGCAGAACAGGAGCCAATCAATGTTCACTTGCTCTCAAAAGTTTGAAACCTCGAGTTAGATTTCATGAGCAAAAGTATTCAACCAGTATGTATAAGAAAGGTACGGATTATTATTTATCCTAATATGTAGATATATGATGAAAGTCTAAAATATACAAAATGTATGGTATGGTCAAAGGAGTAGGCGCAACATGTTACCTTCTAGTGTACAGTAAACTCTTGTGCTTATATGAAAATCTAAACTAAGAAATGGAAAGAATATTTTCATATCAAATTACCATCAAAGTAATAAGAAGAATCTACAAAATGCTCGCACTCTTTATTTCTGACATACATACTACAATCTTGGACAAAAATTATGGAACAAACAGAGATTTGTCTATCACCTCCCCACAGTGGCGCACAATTGGCCAGATATTGGGGCTGACAAGCCTACAGTTTTGTTAAGATGACGTCACATTTGTCCATTGTTTTAGAACAACAGACTATTGTCTTCCAAAGTATTGGGGCACTCCCGAATGTCCACCAATGCCTCCCCCTCTCCCTTACTTCAATGTTGAGATCAATGTGAGGCAGCAAGGAAAGAACATAAGGATCATCTGCCTCTCATTCAACATTGAAGTAAAGGGGGAAAGGGGAAGTCACCGTTTGTTGGATTGTCTCGTTATATTGTAAAATTACTGGTTATTTTGAATTATGCTAAATTATGAACAAGATCAGATTAGAAACAATTGATAAGATTAGCCGACGGACACATGGAAAAACTATAAATAGATATCGAAGCCATGTGACCAGCTCTTATGTTAGTCCAAAATCAATAATTTTTTTGGCGGAAAATGACAGGCTAAAATAAACAAAATATGTTCACAATTGTTCCATTTAAAAAAAATGAACTCGAAAAAAGGTGAACATGCTTTTAGAAAGAGCTATTTGTAAAGGCGACTTTCTGATTTGTCATAAGCATGCCCTTGTTTAAGCCTCCTTGAATAAGTTAGCTCTCAGGGGGCTAATCAGGGGTGCCGTGGAAGGAGGGTTCAGCTCCCTTTTTACCCTGGGTGCCAGGTTTTTTGCGGCTCTAATATTTTATCCCGGTTTATGTATTTTCCGTGAATTTGCCATTAGTTTTACTGAGTAGTAAATAGTTTGTAATTGTTATAAAATTTTTAAATATGCACAGAGAGTCTTTAACACAAATGAGAGTATATTTGGTGTGGTTCCTCCTAAATTTTTAGGATAGCACCCCTGGGGTAGCCTGTGCTCCAGACACCTACCTTGAAAGTAATTCAAAGATGTAAGGCAAGAAACGCGAGAAAGATCATTCTCCCCCGGTACTGGGGGTGACCTAAGGCCCCTCGGCTGCTCTTTACACCACGCAAAACAGTCTGCCCTTCTATGGGAAATTTCTGTAGTAGTCAGCATTCCAACGATGAGCCTCCTCTGAGCATTTTGCGAACGAGGTAAGGTCCCCAGGAGGGACGAGAAGTGACATGGCGGACGAAGTTAGTGGCAAAAGACCGTGCTCTTCTGATGATGAACAAGATAATGATGAATTTGTAGGGCCAATGCCTGTACAACCAAAGAAGAAAAAGAAAAGAGGTAACTGATTATTTTCTCTTAGTGTTTAATGATTAAAATTTAGTTGGAGAAAGCAGCTGTAAACCGCCGCCGACATGATTGTTTTCCCGCGTTTAACAGCAAATATTTCAAATAATGCTGTATTATTTATGCGGTTTTAAAATTCTATAGTATCTTGAGAAAGTATACTACTCAAAAAATCTGACAATGAAGATTTCAAATGAAGATTTATGAGAAGAAAGGTTACTTTCAGTGCCTTTTTACTCACCAAATTAGACAAGATAGCCTTGGTTGGTTAGGAATAACTATGCTCAAGATTTGGTTATTATCTATGCCCGGTTGCAAAGTTCTTTTGTTTATATGATGTCTGCAAACTTTTGTATGGCTAGCATAGGCGCAGAATAAGGGGGGGGGGGCTCCAGGGCTTGAGCCCCTCCTGACGAAAATTTTATGGATATTTGTACAATCACTCTCGCATTTGCATAAGTTTTCTTCTTTTCAAATAGCTCTCCAATATTTGATTAGGAAGTTAGCTATCGATTCCCCCACTAGCAAATAAGGAAGTTAGCATTTGATTTGTTAGACTAACAATTCATCTTCTTGGTTTCATGAATAAAAATCATCTCAAGATGTTTGATCTAGATCAAAGAACAACCATAAGGAAAAATTTAAAAAAAATCACCATAGAACCACCAACTAGGCTTCTCTCTACCCTGTGCCATCAGTTAACAATTGCAACTAATTTTTTAGCCCCCCTCCCCCTATAAAGTGTAATTCTGCGCCTATGGGCTAGCACTGTTTTTCAAATAAATCTGAAAAGTCAGTATTAGCTATGCTCTGAGGCAGTCACTCTTATTTTTTAAAAACTATGCCTATATCAGACTGGAAACTTTGTTTCTTGTGTGGGAAAGTTTGCGTGCCTGACTGCCTGACTGCATGCTTGAAATCAAACACTTTTAGAAAATTTTTATTGTTTATAATGTAATCAAATAGGGACTTTATAGGCCAATATGCAGAAGTACGGGGATGGAAAATTTGAGTTTGTGGGCAACATGGTGCCTCTATGTAAAAAAGAATAATGATATATGTCTCGTTTGTTTGGTAAATAATTATACTTGCAATCGCATCAACACTCATGCAAACCCATCCATGTGAGTTTTTAATTGCTCATGCAAAACAGTAAATTGTGAGGAATAAGTGTTTCATCAAGAAGCAAGTTTCCAAGCATCGTTTGTTGCCCAAGCGAATGATATAGACCATACAAAGCCCCTTTATCATGTCACAGGAAACATAAGTAAGCTGAAATGACCACAAATCGATGGAAAATGCAATTTATTGTCAAAAAACCACCTGCCACCTGCAAATGTTTCAAACTTCTATAGGCACTTAATGTTTGAACTTCATTAGCCCAGGTAACATCGTTTGGGCAGTTAAAGCATATTTTAGAAAGGTTTCATACAACATTTTGTGAGCATCTGGCAATAACATCTATATGACCTTCTTAATGTACATAAAATTTATAAACAAAGCACATTTATATTGGTTATTGAATCTTTTTTGTATTGCATGAAAAGTCATTGACAACATTAAGAATTAAAGACCAAAAGGCAGGCTGTCTGCCTTTAAAGTTTGGCATTTTTGCTCATTGGATTAATTCAACGATTTCTATTTTAACTCTTAATAAATAATTTTGATCTAATGATAGATCGTCTGCTAAAATGAAAAAAAAATAGGGAGATGTCCCCTTCCCCTCCCTTCAAAAAGTTGTTAAAGCCATTGTCTCTTTCAATGCCAAAAAACCTTGTTGTTGGAAATCATGCCTTTTGTTAGATAAAGTTTTCTGAAAGCCCTTTTGTGTTCCTACTCTAGCTATGCTATTGAAATAATACTGTAACCAGGTGTTAGTCTTAATGCATAATCTTAATGTATAAACTGGAAAACTCCGCATCTAGCACATTGAAAGAGAATGAAGGGGAATGTTGTTCCTAGGAGCCTCACAATTGGGTTTAGCAACTGATCTATTTTGCCCTTAAATATATGTTAAGAAAAGCCAGTTTGACAAAGTTCTAAAGGCCCAGCTCACTTGGTTTGTTTGTTCTGTATCCTTGTGAATCAATTGGATGGAAGGCAGTTTCATGTTTAATTATATTTCACTATTTGCTTTTGATATAATGGTGGGATGTCTTTCAATAAAGTATCACCAGAAGATGAATTTTGTGTTTTCCATTGGTAGCTAAACCTCTCTGTCAAAAACATTTTCCATGAATAGTGAAGAAAGTAAGAGAAAGAAGGCATGAATTTAACACATGAAATGCATTGACATTTGTGATTATGATGCACCACTGATTTGATAAATAACTGTTTTTTTGTTTTGCATGTTCAAGACTCTAGCTGCAAGTGAAATGATATATATGCCATCATGTTTTCTTTGCTCTTTTCACCTTTTTCATAAACTGATATACAGATCTGAGCATTGAAACTTATCAATGATGCTACTGAATCTTTTAGACTCTTCCTTCCATGTACCATGCTGTATATTTCTGATTTTGAAAATTGCTCCTCTTTTTGGTCAATTTCAATTGCAAATTCAATTTTGCATAATTACTCTACTCTTTTACCAGCAATTGCAAAATCTTTCCTCTTTTATAGTGTTGGAGTTTGAAAATGTCTATTTGAATAACCTGCCTTGCGCTGAAAGTTATGAAAGAAGTTACATGCATAGAGACCATGTGACCCATGTTACTGCAACCAGGTATGTCATTACTTCTCATCTTCGATTACATATATTTATAGTAGAGTCAGACTCACATAATTTGACAAGTTCAATAAGAGTACTATGTTTCCTAATTTTGGCAAAATTTTATCCTCTCCTAATCTCTTTGTTAAGGCAAAGTTTTGACCTCTTTTAGTTTGAATTTACTTTGCCTTGAAAGCCTACATTAGTATGCATTGACTGTGCAGTTAAACACCAGCATATAGGAACCAAATAAATTAAGAATTTGCAGGCTGCAATTTTTGATAATGTGAACGGGTTTTTTTGCAGAAATCCTGTTAAGAAAATTACAGGCAATTATTTTTATGAACTCAGAGTTGCGCTCTATGAACTCTAATTAGATCAAACTTGTGGGTTTATTCAATATATCCACAGTATTAACTTATTGGACTTAATGAAGGATTTTTGTATCTTTATCATCATGTGTATTTAATCTTGTTTGAAAAAAACTTGCTGTACCTTGTCTGACATATATTGAATAATAGGGAATAGGGCCTAGCTCATGTTTAAGCTTAGATTATAAGTTGGGCTTATAAATGACAAGAGGTTTTTTTCCTATAAACACATTTCTTATTGAAAGATGCACAATCAATGTTGATAATTTCAGATAATCAAATAATCAAAATTCAGATAATTTGTTATCTATAGCAGGGATGGCAACCGTTTCCGGCAGGGAAAATTTTGTGTGTGTTTTTTGTCACTTGTTCTGGTTGGCACGGATGATTTTTCGAGGATTAGCAAATATTGAATGAAACAGAGCTATTCAGAATTAGATAATCTAATATCTTTATCAAACCTTCGAATCGTGGGAAGATTTGCTAACTATCCTTTGTCAAAATTCATCCTGCTTAAAGACAAGACAGCAGAATCTTTGAAAGTTAAAAAAAATGCAGCAGGAACCAGGGGTGGATTCAACAAAAAACCTGACCGAGTTCCAGGCCAAGGCTGGGGCTCTTTCACATAATGAAATTGATGGTTTATAAAAGTGCCTTAGACAACTTTATTATTTATATTTATGCATTTTGGTATCATAGGGAGGGGGGGGGGGGGTACTAACCACCCACAAAATCTAGATTTTAGACTTTTTCTGCCAAAAAACAGTGCCTCTGAAAATCTTTGCAACCCTCTCCCCTTTTCAATACCCTTTTGCTTGTTATGGATGCCACAGCAAACTTGTCCCCTTTTGTTCTGTTCGCAATTTGTTGTTTTGACTCTATAGGCACCAGCCAATTTATCAAAATATGGTGTTCCGTCTGAGCATAGGTCTCCCTTGCCATCAAAGACAACAATTTATAACAAAGGTAGTGAATGCTCTTGGAAAATTAACTATATTTCCTGGTTTATCTCAAACGCTTACTACTAGGGTCGCGAATTGAAGACATCTGAAGTCTATGGTATGCAGTTTCAAGCCAGAGCAGAAACAATAGTCAGCCAATCAACTACTGGCTATTGTGCAACTTTCTTACAAATATGGTATCATTTCCGAGTTCCAGATGCTGTTCCGACTGAGTTACATCCGTGTTCCGAACAAAAATTCCCTTGTTTTATTTTACTCACTTCTGAGGCACAAATCGTTATTTCCGAGTCCGAGAATTGAATTTGTTTTTTATCTGAGCAGGGCCGGCGAAACCGGGGCCATGCCTCCCCCCCCCACTTTTCTGCAGAGCTAAAGAAACATTTTAGGCAATAGTGGAAATAAATGTAGTATATGCTTCTGTAAGTAACTTTGCCTGGTATTCTCTTAAATATGTCCTTAGCTTTACCTTGGTTGCTATGTCTTTACCATAAAAGCCATACATAAAATTGAAGATGGGAATTAGATCAAAGAAATCGGTCATTGTCTAAGTTTTATAACGAGTAACAGCTTGGCTTAGCAAATAGATCGAGAAACTTAGTCCAGAATAACTTAGTGCCAGCACAAATTGACGGAGTTTCGTTTTTTCCATTGCCTAAACTTGGCACACAAGGTCTATTTGTTAACGAAAACTTTCTCAGAAACATTTCAAAAAATGAGAAATCAGCTGTTGAAGAAAAAAAAACAGCTGGAAGGAACTTTTTTGAGGGTATGAGAAATAAAGTATGGGCAGATTTGTTCTTAAAAAGTATCATGAAGAAAACTTCAGAGTTTGATCGTTTGGATAGTCCATTCCTACTTAGAAAGAGAAAATATCGACGGAATTATAAATTCTATTTAAACTCATTTTGATAAGCCCAGTTTGAAGGATTTTGCAAAATTTTGTTAAAGCACTTAATTTCCGAAAAAGTTAAGATCAGATGTTTTCTTCTGTTGATATTTCAAGTCAACATCACAATAGACGCGACTATGCGACACCTTCAGTCAAGATTAATTTTAGATACAGTTTCTGGTCATCCCTAAGACACGCGGCCTTTCCTAATGCCTTTCCAGACTTTCCAGATATTTTGGCCCCCCACTTTCAAATACGTTTCGCCCGCCTTTCAGAGGTATTGATCTGTTGTCTGGGAAATCGTTTCTAAATCATGACAGAGAAGAAAGGACGTTAATGGCGAGCGAATTGTATCAGATGGCAATTTTGAAATTTTGAAGAGGCTGTGATAAAACTAAGAATTTTCAAACTTTATCCTTTCAAGTAGCAGTATTTTTAGCTTCATGTTGGAAAACTCACCGAGTTCTGTGCACCAAGGAACTCACTCTGAATCCGCCTCTGGGAACGAATCTTACCGGGCGCGCTCATGGCAGTGCAGCAGGGATCACGTTTGTCCCTATTTTATCATGTCTCAGTTGCTAGTTTCATGGCGGGCCTATATTGGATAAGTTGGTGTTTACGTTTATTAAAGTGAATGATCTGAGCTAAAAGGCCGATGCTAAACGTTGATCGGTGGACGATTTTGTATCTCTTTCCTAGAATGATTTTTCCAAACCGTAAATGACATCCTTTTTAATTTTGGTAGTTTTTTTCGTTTTCCCCTTTTTGCTTACGATTGTAACAGTCTTATCTATCATTGCAAACTATCTACATAAAAGTTATTATTAGTTATTATTATTACTATTATTATCATTTTATTACAATTATGGTATTCGTTTTTTCTTATTATCTGGTCCAGTCTCCAAAAGGTTTCCCCCACTTATCTATAGCAAAAAGATAGCCATCTTAACCACTGACAAGCGTGGGACGATTCAAAATTCACTACATTGTATCCAATAATGAGCTCTGCAGTGCGGAACAGTAATATACAGTAATTTACAGTGCAGTATAGAACAGTACACGATAGAACATGACAGTACTGCACAGTAAATTACTGTACACTACAATAAATTACTGTTTATTGTATTCACTATTCGGCTCTGAAAGCCTGGAACGATATTTCCATCAATATCAGAGAGCTCTCTACACTTAGTAAATTTAAAAGGCAATTGAAAAGTTATTATACGAGCTGAACACTACATAAACCACGACTCCCTGGAAGAGCAGCTGCTATAAGATAGATTACTGTGCATAATTTAGCTTTAACTGTAGATAAATCATATTAATATAACTAGGGTATTTGTTTTCTTATTTGGTATTTAGTTGTAAGCTGAAAGGAATTTTGTGTATAAAGAATATAAAATGAAAAAAAAATGAAATGAAAGTACAGTACAATACAGTTCCCTCCTCTAAACTGGTAATTGTGTTTTTTTGCTCAGGGTATAAAAATAACAGTCTGTTTATTTTTTCAGTACAAATTTTTTTATCACTGCAAGCTGCGACGGCCATATAAAGTTCTGGAAAAAAACTGGGGAAGAGGTAGAGTTTGTGAAACATTTTCGTGCACATTTGGGTGGGTATTTCAAGCAACATTATTTTATTGTTTTATTATGCTTTCATTCTTCTTCTTCTTCTCCATTTTTATTCTTCTTCGTTCTTCTTCTGCTTAAAAACAAAACGCTGTTTTTCTTGATTTAAGTCATTCCTTAGTTTTCCAATATAATTTTTTCAATTTTTCACCAAAGACATCAATTCTATGTTCTAAGTCTTGGTTATGTAATACAAATAATAAAATAAAAGCTAAAATTGGATTTTATGTGCATAGGTGTGATTAAGTGCGTGTCTGGAAGCTCTGATGGACACTTGTACTGTTCAGTGGCAGAAGATCAGGCGCTCAAAGTTTTTGACGTCATCAATTTTGGTAAGGGGTTTGATATTTTTACGGTTTGTCAACACGCTTAAGCGTGTCAGTAAAACGTCTGATGATCTTAGGCTTGTTTGTTAGACCCGGGTGTTCCTTAATGCCACTGTCTAGGACACTTTCTTCCTTCCTTTGGACAATGCCCATGAACCCTGAAGACAGACGTGAAGTTGGGCACAGTCTTCGTTGTTACCAGGGCTGGAAAATGTCCGGCGCTGCCAGGAAATTTTTGGCACAAATTCATTGCAGGAAATTGTTGATGTTTGCCAGGAAATTTTTAGCATGAAATCTCCATTGCTTGATTTTAATATGAACATTGAATTCATGTTACAATATTTCTACGGAATGCTGTTTTCTTGTGATATACATACATACTTTATAATTTTTTTTCTGCACTACTAACAAAAAACGAAGATTAGCTTTCAATCATCTCGTATTATAAGCGTCTGTAATGCCAAATTTCCGTACATGATTTTCAGCTACTAATTTAATTTCAGCAAGCTAAAACAAAGTTCATTTCTTTTTTTACATTAGCCATTCTATATATGTAAAAACACTTAAAAACAGCCAATCTTGTTACGACAATTGTTTTGAAGGTGAACGTGCCCCAAAACCTGTGTGGATGTGTTAATTATTATTCCTATTTTTCTACTGGCATTCGCATACATTTCTCATCACTTGCTTTATAGAATGTAAGCGTTTTGGTCTTAAATCTTTGGACTACTAGCTTTGACGATAAACCCACTCAGAGCAAGATGTATAGTCATATCAATACTTATAAAGTATCTAGTTTGCTAGTACTGATATGCAATTTAATCAAAGTTATTATAGATTTTCAGATCTACTTTCTTTAACCTTGAAAACAAACTATGATTATCATGCTTGATCACGTTCTCCTTGATCATCTAATACAGTATAAACAAAATGATTCCTGTTTCGAATAGCTTTGATCAAGACTGCAGGACCAACAATTAGTTCTTTTTAGTTTGAAAGTTTGTTTCTAGGACAAATTTTTAAACAAATCAAGCAACTTGAAATATCAATTTCAGTGGCTGGAAACTTTCTCGAAGTACCGCAGGAAATCTTGAATTTTGTATTTTGCTGCCAGGAAGAAAAAATTTTTTCAAGGCCTGGTTGTTACCCCATTTCTCAAGTGAACTTGAATTTTATTGTGTCTCTAATAACTCATTTCAAATACGTCTTGCAGTTTGTCACGAAAAGTTATGTCATTGCTTGGCTGCGACCCATTTATATAGGACTTTAGGGGGGTTTATACAGCTTGAAGGGGGTTAAAACAGTATGATGCCCCTTCCTCTAAAGAAACCGGGCTTTCGGGTGCAGTCGCCACAGTTCTTCCTTCTAAAGCCACTTGGTTGCAAACAAGTTCGATTTATTTTTTTTGATCGATGGACTTGATTTGATTCTAATTTTGCCCCACAAAACAAAAACTAGTTGAGTATGTTATAAATAAATCAATTGCAGAACAAAGTAACATATTATGATTAAAACGATAAATCGAAGCAGAATTTTTTAGAAGGAATCTTTAAAATAAGATAACTAAATATATGAAGACTCTCCCTTTTGTTTCAGCGCTCTTTACAACTATCTATAGAACCGTCTTACTGAATTAATTTACTTGACAATCCCAGTAACAAGTTTTTGACGGTCCCAAGCAGGGACTTTTAAGTAGATTCTAGAAGATAATTTTGCAAATACTTTATGAATGGAAATTTCGAAGGTATAGTTCTTTTTTCAGCTGGTAGATTGTCCCATAATTTTGCCTCCATCGAGTTGATTTTCAAGCCGTGCTGTAAAGTATTTGTCTTAGTCATGAACAGATCACCACGTGTTGATTGTCTTGTTCCGTGACAATGAATAGATGCATTAGGAAAAAGGTTATGAAAATGTATTAGTTGATTTTTTAGTTGATTTTTGATCGAAAGATAATAGTTTCAGTTTGAAGACTGTTTAATAAGTAATTTTAAGTTTATAGAGGAAGGAAGAGAATGAGCAAGGAATTCTTGGTGTGATGTTGCTCAAGCAGCTCCTTTCTGTACTATGAATATTGGCACAATATGCGAATCAAACGTTGTGAATCAGAATAATACCTTATTGTGAAAGGGACAATATCAAAGCATTACCACTTTTTTATCAATGTAACTATAAGAAGAAAGTACCTAATCCTGAAAAAAGTGCCACAGGCTTTTACTAGTTTTTTTGAGGGTTCAGCAAGATGATATTTCCAAGAAGATGTTCATCCGAGAGAAGTCCTAGAATTTAACGTATATTACAATATAAACAGTTTTGGTGTATATAACAGGGCGGTTGCTTCTTTGAGTTTCACCCTTGTTACATCAGGCAACATCTATAGCTCTGCCTAAACGGCATGGAATACTTTGATTTTCATTTTCAATACCTTTTTATCATCCATTACCTTCATTTCCATTTTACCTATCTTGGTGATAAAGAGTTGGCTGGTTATCAATCGCCCGCCCTTTTCGTACCTCATCCTTAAATTCTAATATTGAGTTTTAAGGGATGTGAGATTTTTACAGCAACAAGTTGTCACATTTTACAAATAAAATCAAAGTCTTAATGTCATCAAGTGAATTCAGGTTTTGTCTTGCTGACATTTGTTACAACTTTTTCGCTCAGATAAGTGCCCACTGTGATGTAGATGAAACGATTTTAAATTAATTTAATTGATACCTGGCATTTAAAGCATCAATTCTTTAGTGAATTTCCTTATTTAATCTACAATTAGGCCCATATTTAGAACATTTGTACACTAGACTAATTGGGAAAATAGCTGCTTGGACGATAATTATTTATTCAAAATCTTTAGTTTATGATAGACTCTTTTGTGTATAATCTACATAAAATAAATTCTCGATGTAACCATGTTTTGTGTCTTTAGTTCAGATGAAAAAACATTTTTTCACTCCGATGGATGACATTTTTGCCTTCTTTTAGATATGATCAACATGATGAAGCTCAGTTTCAAGCCTTATTGCTGCGAGTGGGTGTACAGAAAAGGTGATGCCATTTCTGCCTTGGCCATGTAAGTGAAGAATTTTTATTTTACAGCAAGTCATTTGCTAGACAACTTGTAACAACAAACCCCAAATGCTGTTAACCATTTAACCTGCTAGATCAAGGCTCTCTAACTTAATTACTCATTCCTCACATGTCACAAAAGTTTCACATTTTCATATAGTTTGCAATACTTGTCGAATGTGGCTGTTAAATGTCATTGAGCTTGGAGAGGAAATAGTCATGGGATACTCAAACTTGTATTCTTACTGATTCATGATAGCGGTGGACTGTGCCTGCTTCAGTTATCTTGGAATTTTTTGATGAAGTTGGCCAATCAAATCAACATATGTGAATGGTAGTCGATTCTATTGCTTTGAGTGATAAATCTGGGTTTTAGCCGATGTATCTATTTTGGTAGCTCTCTAAATCTATCCTCTATTTTACTCTCAATCTTTTTCTCAACATCATCACTACTCTTGTAGATTTTCTATGCTCAAAAGAGTTATCCTTTGGCTATCCACTCGATTTAATTTCCTTTGTTCACGAATCCGTTCTTCTCTCTGCTTGCTATAACGAGTATCATATGCGATACCAATTAAAACTTTTAATCCACATTCGATGTTCTCCTACCTTCCCAGAAAGCGCTCTATTTGTGTTCTCATTTGGAAATTTTTAATGACAGCTGTCTTTGTTCTCAAACATTTTAAATGCTATCCTCCCTCATGCTTGGTTTTAATTTAGCTTGAGGCGAATGCAGTTGTTTGTCTTTGGCTATGTATAAACTTTCCAAAACAACTTGACTGAAAGAAATGTTTAAAATTTTATGTTCTTCTGTAACAACTTTATATGACCAGGCTTATTGTTAATTATAAAGGCATCCAGAATGTCAAAAAATGAACTGCCTAATATTCGACATTCAAGTCAGATCTGATAGTACTCTCCCTTAACTGCAGTTGTTAAACTGTTAACCAATGTTCAAGTTTCTAGTTTTTTTGAGAATCATTCTCAGTCTGGCTGAAAAATACCAGGAAAAATTGAATAAAACAGTTTTCTTTGACTGTTCTTGCTTGCTTTTTTCTTCATAAAGCTTCTTGTGTTATTTAACTCTAGGCCCCTTTTTATGCCTTTTTCTGATATTTGCCACATGATTTCTTTTTCTGCACCAGAGCCTATCAGCCCAGAGAAGACTATCTACATTTACGTTTATCGTGTTCGTTCTTTCGTTATTTTGTCTCTGACGCAGAGTAGCCTTGTCATGGTTTTCAGTATTGGTTGTATGTCTTTAGTACCGTGAAATCTTTGCTAATGCAGGTCCTTCCCCAATTCACAGACTTACCTCGTTGACCTCTAGGTTTCTGTAAATTATGACGGCGTTGAGTTTTTTTCTTGATTTCTGTCAAATTTTTCGTCGCCTTTATTCCAGTCTCCCTGATTTCATTTATTGCACTACAGTCTAGTGGTTTTTTAGAGTTAATGCTTGCTTTCAACCTAATGTTCAATCAAAGAGAAGCCTGAAGGCTTTTTGTAGCAATCAAGTGATTAGAATAACGAATAAAAAGGAGCTTATGAACCATGATGCATTTGCAGGTATAAGGGCATTTATTCAGATAGTCATAGACTTTGAGAAAGACCGTAACCGTGAATTGTGTATGCCCAAAAACATAGACCAGAATATGCCAAGATGCAAGACGAGCTCTATACTACTGTCGCAAATCAGAGTGGTAGCTTTAAACAATTCGCTAGAGGAATCCATCGCCCACTTAACGACAAAGCTCATTAGAGTTACTTTGAACCCATCAGATTCAGACGCTGTAACGTGGAACAGCAGCCTTTTCGACATTACGGAAATGGTGTTTGCTATTAATTTTAGAGAAAGTGGAAGCCACAAAAGACTTTTTCTGTACACTGATCGACGTGTATCTTAAATGTACGCTAAAAAACGAGGTCTCAACACGACAGCTGTCGGTTTTTCATTAGCATTTTGTTTATCAGCGAGCTCACATTATCTTAATCTCCTTGTTCAAGTGATATCTCCAAAACTGCAGTCTCACGGCCACATTTTTCACCTTTTTGTATTGTCGACTTAAAAACTTGATCCTTTATTATCTTTGCTTTTTCTCAGCTTATGTGCTCCTTCAGATGTCTCCAAGTAAACTCTTGCTGTAATACCAAGACTAAGCCTAGTGGCTCTGCTCTTTATATCTGTTGAAACTAGCAAAAACTGTTAGTTTACTTCTTTGCCTGTGCAGCTTTCATTAAAGGACTCTGCAAACATCTCGACTAATTCGATCTTTTAGAAACCGACAATGTTTTAGTAACAAGGAATACTTTAGCTGTCTACTCAAGCAAAATTTAAAAAATGATTTCAAATGCAGATCTTGTTTATTAATTTGAATTGTTATTTTTCACTTTCAAAACAATTCCTGCATTTCGCTGTTGTTACCAAGGATGCTTCATCTTGCTTATCCTTCATACCTTGTGTAAACTCCTGCTTTTTCTCAAGCCCTTTTATTTATTTTTAGAGCATAATCGAGAGAAGTTAGGCTCGATAAGCATATTATATTTCGTAAGGTGTAAAGACAACTCGTAAATAATGAAATTTAAAGAAATGCCTTCATTTTTGCTACACTATCTTGTTGTCATTTTTGTTTATATATGTTCAGTGGACATATATTCACTATGCTTGTCGCTTGGACAGTAGCAGAATCCATGCTCTTAAAAATTATTGTTTGCCGGGGATGATTCGAATTTGCATCAAGGTATCGGAGCTGTATTGGTTCTAAAATCGGTTGTAGTTACTGTGTGACTGTGGACTGGGTCGTTTTTCGGGTTGTTTCTTTATATTGTGGTTCGAATGTCGTTGCTGGGAAACGTCAAATGTTTCATATCAACGTGATATTCTTGTCCTTCTCCTTGTTATCAGTTTCCTTATTATGTAATGTTTTATTTTGCGAAGATGCTTCATATATGCGGTACTTATCTGATACGTTCATTGTTAAGATATAAAGTGTGAAAATGCTGCTTCTCTTTGCGCGGAAACACGAGTCGTATTCACTGGCTCTTTTCAATCTCTATTCATTCATAGAAAATCCAATACGAGTTCTGGAGTAATTATTGTCTATAGAGCTGCATTATGTTACCTGACATTTGAATGCTATGAGAATGTTCAAACATGTATAGTTTAATACATCAATGAAGCATAAATGGCTTCCAGGACAATTTTTCGCTATTGAAAGATTATCGCATCTCTATTCACTGATACCCACAGAAATCATCTGTCAGTCTGAGACGCTGTTATTTGGTCTATGAAATCACCTTTCGCGTCACATTTTTGAGTATAATCTACTTTGTTGTTTGTCATTTTACTCCTTGAAATCTCTAACTGATTAAGGACTTTCAGCTAACTGTGATAAACTGCGTAACAGAGACGGTTAGTGGAAAGTAGAGAGACACAGTTGTAGTATGTTAGAAACCCTCCCACTCAATATATACCCATGAACAGCTTTTAGAATATGATCATGGAAATGAACCACTGGCAGCCCTGCAACTGAGTTGATCGAAGTCACTAAACAGTGAACGAACACATTCATCGTAACAAGAACTTTGAATGGACCATAATCGAGCCATATAGTTTTGTGAAGGCTGCCTACCCTCAAACAAACAAGAACGGTTTGGTTTCTTTCCAGGCTTTTCCAAACGTCAAACTTGACTGTGTTAAAAATTTTTTAGAGCAATCTCTTTTACAGCAGGGTAGCTTTAATACAAGAAGCTCCCTCTTTTCAATATTTGAAAATAAACCTTTCATCGTCATTGACCAACCTTTAATCGTGAAAATATATGAAGCAATCCATCTAAATAAATGAAAACTGTGCCTAAAAGTTCTCATGTAAGATTCCTCTCTGCGTTTCGATGCCAACATGATTTTTATTGCGAGCGTGAGATTGAAAGGTTCTTTATGAAAAGTTAATCTGTATTTTCAAACAAGGTAGGCACGTTTTGATTTTGTGACCCATTTGTCCTCTCGGTGTAATCTCTCCATCACTAAATACAGCCTGATTTCATTTCAGATCCGAAGATGAAAGCGGTGTAATTCGAATTTTCGATGGCAGAGGCAATACAGACGTTATTGAAACCCTTAAGTTGCATACAAAACATGTCTCTTGTATAAAGGTGAGTATATATGCTACAAAACGTTATTATGTATGTGCTATACAGCCAATATTCACGTTGCATTGTTGAACGGGTTCGTCTTCAAGCTCAAAGCACTGTGAATTCTGCTTCTGTTTTATAAATTGTTATTTGAAAGAAGATCTTACTAAGCATGTAAATATTACTCGCCCCTGCTGCACTCCCCTTCTTAAAAAATCAGACAGTTTCGAATTTAGTTGCGATTCTGTTGTTAGAGAAATTTGTTTACAAGTTTCAAAGGCAGTTTTCATAAAAACGTTTTTATCAATTTCTTCGTATTTTTTCTTGAAACATTTTTGGCCGTTGATCTATTTATTCTTCGAAAAAGAATTGTCTTATCGATATGAAAACAAACTTTGTGAGGGTTTTGTGCTCAAGATGGTAGCAAAAGAAAAAAAAGAAAGACTGGTGAACAGTGTCTAGAAATCATGTAGTAATAATGTCACAAAGACCGCTTCATTCGACCTATCCAAATAATTTGAAAAAAAGATTCATGGAAAATGCTCATGGTCAGCAAGAGCTCTCGCGACAACGACGGCCGAACGTTCAACCCTAACCAATTTGCATCAAAACTGGTTTGCGTCATTCCCCAAAATTGCCTTAAATGTTCACAAGCAAGTAAACTTCCAACAGCTGTCGGTAAATATTGCAAGGAAACGATAAAGAATTGTGAATGTACCCTCGTACCGATTGATTTCAGCAACACTTGCCGCTGTTAAGAAATTCTGTAGCTTTATGGCCATGTTCTAAATGTCTGCTTTGTAAGAAAGTTTAAGAGTTGCTAAAATGTTACCAAACGTTATCCATGTTTTGTAATCGATCGGTGGCATCCCCATGCAAATGTTTTTCCTAACTGAGATTAAACACGCTGTTTTTCTCTTTATTTGAAAATATTTGTTTTTCAAGTTCCAGTTTGTAAAAAATTACCATGTTTTATTGGCCCATTTGCCTTTCACATGACATTCAAGTTCTTCGTTTCTCATTTTAACAAAAAATGATAACAGACGAAAAGCGTAGAAGTTTTGCAGCATTTCAATGTCTTGGTTCATTTTGGGAAGGATTCTCAAAAAATTATTATCATTATGGTGAAGATTCGTTATCGCCAGCCTGAATTTGTTTTTGTTCGAAAGAGCAGTCGATCTTCAAACTATCCTGATACGTTCGTGAGGGGAGTGTATTTTATAAGAGTTTTTTATAGGGACCGACATGATTAGGAACTCTTGTGAAGAGCGTGCTGCTCAAGTTGCATTTTTCACCAAATTACTAATTGAAAATATTTTTTAGTGAATAAATGGTTCTCATGAAGCATTTTTTCTTTTGTACACAAACTGTTTGTTCACCTAGGCTAGCCTTTTGGTTTGGCTAGTACATCATGAGGTCTCTTTGGCACATGTGAAGATAATTTATTCCCATCTATTTATTTTCAATACTTCAAATACAGTAAGACCTGTTACAGTGAACCATGCCAGTTTTGCCACTTTTAAGCAATTGTCCTCAAATCGTTATTTGCATTTTTATACGATCCAGGATCTATTTATTTTTAAACTCCTGTGTGGCACTTATCACAATATTGCAACTATGAATTATGAAAGCGTTTCGGGATGGCTTTATTAGTAGTTTACTGCATTCATTTTGCATATATTTTACAAGTTGTTTGATTCTATCTGGCTTTGTAATGAAGTTTGATTTTTTTCGTTTTCTTTCGTCTTTTGAATGATCTTTCTTCAAAAATACTCTTTTATTTCTCAATGCATGAAATAATCTTTTTAGTAGTTTCCGATGCAAATCAATGTAAATGCTAAACAAATGCAACTTCTGAGATTAGACGTAAAATATTGATTATTCGTTTGTCAATGGCTTATCAGTTTTCACTAAAGATCTTATTGACACTTATTAAGAGTTCTGTTTTGTTGCCTTTTAGTATAATCCTGTATTCGATATCGCGATTTCTGCTGATAAGGCAGGCATGTTAGAGTACTGGTCTGGACAAGAATCCGGATTCAAGTTCCCGAGTAAAAACGTCCACTTTGAATACAAATCGGACACAGATCTATACGAATTCGTAATGGTATGTATGTCACAATAGGCCTATACAGTCTGTTATATCATAGCCCCAGACCTGCACCATCTAAAGGCAAGGGGACACGCAACCCCCAGATACAATAGAATGGCGAGCATAATTTATAAAAAATGGATTCATAATTGCAATGTAAAAGCTTTTTGCATTGACCTTTCCGCGATTTTGGTTGAGAAATATTTTTATGGAGAAATATTTCCCAAAGCAAAGCAATTTTTTATGTATTCCTGTATATTATTTTATATATTGACTGTTAGATCACCGCCCCTCTTATTTAAGTTGTTCTGTTTCTGCATAGGACACATAAAACCAGAACGTCAGAACTCGCAAGAGTTGCAAAGTTTGAGATTCATAGCTATTCTTTCCATGTTTGTATCCCTGACTGACACTGCATTTTAATCTTTGCAGCTTTTGCGTGTCTTGCAGTTTTTGCTAAGTGTGTCCTTTTTGTGGTCCTCTCACAGTAAGCTAGCTTGGTCTTCGAGAACCAGGCCCTGACATTGCAGTAACAGGGAACTTGCTTATTTTTATTGAATTTTTCTTCCCCCTTTTTATGGGTTTTCGCATTCGCATTGTCATTTTAATGCTGTCTGTACATAAAGTTGCTTTCATTCAATGCTTTTTGTAAGAAAGGACAAGAGAATAAGTTAGAAATAGTTTTCTTGGTCAAGGCTTTGTTTTTTTGAGAGCATGGTCATTTTCATATGAAGGGCAGACTATGAAAGCTCCTTGATGTATTCGTCGATATTATTACAAAATGAGTAGCAGTTTGACTCTATCCATTACGTCATAACTGCAGAGAAAAGTCAGATATCATGAGGCACAGTGTTTTGACTCTGCTGAAAGACTTGATAACAAGAACCACCCTACGGGATGACGTCATTTTCTTGTTTATAATTAGAGTTTTCATGGAGCAAATCTTAATGCTTGTGGCAAAATTGACAAGTGTTTGATTGAGAACGGGGATATTCTATATGAAATCTGCTGTCTAAAGATATGACCATCATTTCTTTATAATCTCAATGGGTAAAGGCCTCACAAGTAAAGCTTACAACCGAAATTTCAAACGATGCCAATATATACATTACTATAGTGTAATATACATGATTTCATTGATATTTTGGGTGAGGTGCGAGCGATGTGAGCTCAAGAAGCCCAGCGCAGCTATCAGCAGCATATGCATGATTTGCAGACTGGGAATTTTGCAAAATGTTGAGCAAGCTAGTTTTAAGATACTCTACTTTTGTATAGCTTTAACTCTACTAACCTGACATTTCAAGCTTTTCTAATCTCAAACAAACTTCTTTTCGTCTACTGACGTTGTTTGAATCCTTTTCAAGATAAAAGAGAGGAGGGATTAAAATCCATTGAAACATGATAAGATAACTGAGCTCATGACTTTGGTTTTATGTATCTCAGGCAACGTGATATAAGTCACTCATGTTCACCATCAAATTTATTTATGTTAATGCTAAATTTAGATGCAGATAGCTTTCATCGAGCTTTTTAAATAGATACACGTTTGTTTCTAAGTAAAAGAAATTAACGGATGATGAGCTGCACTAATATATAGCAATCTATTCATATTTACAGCTATTTTACACCTCCAATCCACTGAATGCCGTATAATTTGTAGTGTAGTGTTTTATGGTTTAGGCTGAAGTTTTCTGGCTTTTTTGCTATGTATCTTTCGCTTCACTCTATGGGTCTCGGTGCTTACGTGTAAGCCAACTTTTTTGGTGTCTCAAAATTTGAAGATATCATGGAAAAGCGGAATATGTTTCCGTTTTTCGCGCCATGTTCAACTATTTTTTACTCTTAATTGTTCAGAGCCACGTCCTCGCCACATTTAGTCAGCATTATCATGTTACATTTTTCAACCAGTTTATGGTCACTTATTTGCAGTGTTCGCAGAAAAATATCATGAAAATTATATCTGTGTATAGTTTTATAATTTCAATCAAATCATTTATCAAAGCAACTGTTTGATTTTTATTTTAGTTATGCATTTTCATTGTTTTTTAGCTCTTGTGAAGCTATTGATGATCGGTAATACTGTAATGAAATTACCTTTCATTATGTTATCATGGCTTTTGAATCAATACAAAATGTTTGTGAACTTTTATTATTTTAATATGATTTTGATTTTTCATTGTCAATCTTTGTGGCAGGCAGGCTGTTCCAGCGACTTTCGTAAACATCCTCTCTATCCATTTTGTCTTCATTTTACAGTGCAAAACCTACCCAACATCAATATCATTCTCAGCTGGTGGAAAACAATTTGTTACGACGAGTTCAGATAGAAAGGTTTGTATTGTTAATAGTTCTGCTTAGCAGCTCAAGCAATACCATTCATGTGGATCGTTATTTGCGTAAAGAGAGTATAATGGTTTTAATATATCACGATAAAGATATTTTGTCTCACAAAGACTGAAAAACTACAAATGTTTGCCTAGACCGAGTAACCCATTCATAACCCCTACCACCGAGTAACCCATTCACGTTCTTTGCATATGCCCATCACTTGTCCTTCACATAAATTGCCTGTAGTTTTTAATGCATAACAATTATGCTTAACTTTTCAAAGGTGCGAGTGTTCAGGTTTTTGACTGGCAAGAAAACACGTGTATTCGATGAGAATCTTCAAACGTTTAGCGATCTACAGCAGGTAAAATACAAATTTTTTGTTCTCTATCGTACGGTAATGATATATGTTCTTCAACAAACGTAATGACCTTTTTAGTTGTGACCATGTGCTGCTATGACTTCAATATGAGTTAGCAGTGCTTGGTTGTTTGTTTCCTTGCTTGATTGCATGTTTGCTTGATTAATTTCATGCTTGTTTACTTTCTTGCTTTGGTTGCTCGCATTCTTTCTTTCTGTACATGCTTGCTACTGTTTACGTGCTTGCAGACAGTGTGTTTTCTAGAAGTTGTAGCCTGTCAGGTTGTAGGACATAAAGGGACATTTTCATTTTTCAGGAGAAACAGCTGCTACCCAATATGGAATTTGGAAGGAGGATAGCGATTGAAAGGGAGATCGAAAAGTCTGACTTGCTACGCATGGCAAATGCAGGTATGGAATGGCTTAAGCTACCAATGGGGGGGCGCCCTGTTATTCCTACTTTCCCGTTTTCAGTCTCTCTTTTTGTCAGGTAGCCGAAGTAGAGACAGTTTGAGGCAATCGCTTTTTATATTTTAAAAGCATGGTAACTTTTATAAGGAAGTGTAATTTTCAAATGACCTAAACTATAACACTTTAATTACACCAAGGAAGATTGCACGTATGCACTATAGATTATATTTATACGATAAGTTGATTCAATAATTTCTAATGTTTTAAAAAATTTTGAAATATGGAGTAATTTTATTGGCTTTGGTAAAAATCAGAGAAAATATTAGTTTTCTTTTGTTTCTGTCATTGACTGTGTTTATCATTCTTTATCTGTGGTTTCTAGTATTTGCCAACCGAAGATGTTGCTAGCTATCAGTGTTTTCATTTTTTAGTCTTCGATGAAAGTGGTTATTTCATTTTGTATGCAACTATGCTTGGTGTGAAAGGTAAAATATTTTCTTACGGTAGAAAAACTTCCATAATGAGAAAAGTTTTGCTATTGCAGAAAAACCTTTGTGTTTCTCATAGTAGACTGGTATAAAGTCGATTTTATTGCTAATTTTTTATCCTAGGAATACTGCATTTGTTTTGAATACTCCTCGTTTCTCTAGCAAATAAAAAACTCATCCATAATGCTGCAAAGCAATTAGTCCATTTTGCCAACGGATAGTGACCAATCAATTGTGCCCTTGTCTATATGCCTGGTATCTTGGTTTGTTTTTGTAACCCCCTTGTGGACTATTCCTACCCTTTTTGATGTCTCAGTTTTGATAACGTCGGTTACTCAATATCTTTTTGCTTCTGTAGTTGTCAACATCTACACTAATAGATGTCTGAAGATCTTGGGCAAGGTAAGAGCATTCCTTATCTTTTTACTAGATATTGTGTCTCTTAGAACAATGTCACCGAGGGCAAAATGACGATGTCCGCCACTTGCTTCCATATCAAGAAATTTTCAAATGCTTCTAAAGCAATCTTGCAATCAGCAGTCCACTCAGATGAGAGAATGTTTTTTTGTTTCAACACGAATTAAGGATCCCTTTTGAGTAAATGTAGGAGATAAATGTGTTATGAAATTGACGGTATTTTCTTATGCTTTCCAGAACACGGCCTGGTCCCCAATTGTTTTTGTGTTTCATTGTTATTTGGGTTACTCAAAACCCCACATGGTGATTCCCACAGAGTGGTTTCCACCTAAACAGAAAGCAATTTCGCTTCATTCCTCTTCAGATACCCCAGGGTAATTTCCACTTGACCTGAGAGTGACCCCGCTTTACCCAGTTCGTTCTCACCATTAAGCCCTGGCAAAACGACAAGACATTCATTTCACTAAACATTTCACTTAACTTTTGTTAAATGAAGTTGAGCGAAGTTTAGCGAAGGTGGCAAAACATGACTAAACTTTTCACTAAACTTCACTCAACTTTTTTTAACTGCGAGTTTTCTACGCTGTTGGGTTGTAGGGGATCTTGCATAGGAATTTGCTTTTGGTTTATTTTGTTGCATGCACAAGCAGTGGATAAAAATAAGAATTAGATGAAACGACGGGGATAGAAAAGACTTTTAAGCACATTAACAACAAAGTTGACTGTTGAAAAAGACACAGTGGCGTACAACGAGATATGTAGATGTCTCATAAAGGCTTTTGGGTCACGTAGAGACAGGAAAACCAACGATAACCGACAAAAACCTTTGGATTTCCACAGCTAGTGCGCCTGTGCGATCACGAAAAAATGTTTAATTGTTGGCAAACCAACTAAACATTTGCTAAACAACACTAAACAACGTTAAACATTTTTGACCAGGATTAAACTTTGCTCAACAACACTCAACACGACTGAACAACACTAAACAGGGTGGCAAAACGACTAAACTTTTAACTCAACTTTTGACTAAACAAAAGTTGAGTGAAATGTTTAGTGAAATGTTTAGTCGTTTTACCAGGGCTTTACAGACTGACCCAGAGACAAAAAGCTTTAATTTCATTTGACACACCCAAATGTATTTATGTCCTATATCTTGTGTCGATGACATTTAAACCGATTCTCTACAGTGTTGTAATTGAATTGGACAAGATTTTTATGGCTGCTTTCATTGCGAGCTACTGCACGCCCTACACGAAAAACTTTCTTCCTTAACCTTGTACATCCTTATGATGATTCAAAATCTTGCTTTTTGTAGGATAAAAGTTATTAATTATTTAACGCCACAATACTTGTTGACATCAAGGCTTGCTCAAAAGTAACATTTGTAAGGGACAATAGTTGCAAAAAGAAGTAGAATTTTTTGTTTCATTTGACTTTCAATTTTTTAAATCCGTTGTTTGATGTCATTTTATGCGAAACAGAAATAGCTCTTTACATTCTGTGCCGAGCACATTGCCAGGTGTTGTCCTTGACTGTCCTTAACTAAATTGTTACGTTGTTGCGTTTCAAACAAAATTCACATTTTCACGATAGCTTGATTTTTCGCTAGTAAAAAAGCAAATGCTGTAATGATTTATTTAAAAACAAATGAAAGTAACAGAACTGTAGGCATTGCTGAATATAACTCAAAAAAAGTTCGATAATTGAGATTCAATGGTCGCATATTTCCTTCCCTTAGTCCTTGTCACTGAAATGGCATTTCTTTTACTTCGGAAGAATGAACAGCATTTCTAGTGTTTTCTCGGGGAGTAGAATTCTAGAGAGCATCAGAGATTCTACTCCACGCATTTCTTTTGTCTTCTGTCAACATAACAGGAATTTAGCAACTTCTTCATTCTAGGGTTCTTCGCAAGAAAATACTATAGAACTTTAAGCCATTTAGTTAACTCAATCTAATCCCCTATTTAGAGAAAGGCTTTATTTGCCTTCTTTATCTTCTTGCGCAATGGGCTTAGGCCCTTTTGAGCTACACTATACATGAGAAATAGCTAATCCCGGCCGCGCTTGATCGCCGCAAATGTTTTTTGCAAATGTTTGATTCGTCTCGCAACCCCTTCATTTTCAATTCAGTGCTATTCCTTTTTATTTTATCGTCATCCTCTGAGATTTTGGCGTTGTTTCTTATCTGGACTGATTCTCCAGGTATTCGATGTTGCAAGCAAGGTTTTCGTTAGTTGTAAACTGCAGCTAACGGCCTGTCAAGGTTGAAGTTCGATGCTTCATTTTTTTGTTTTTATCTCGTGTTTTTTTAATTTTGTGTGAAAGTTTTCTTTGGCAAATTTCAGGATGAAAATGTTCGGTTTTTTGGGATCGCATTGCATCAGGAAAAGTCGATTGAAGATAAGGCAGCTATTACTCTGGTAGGTTTCTGTCAAGCACACTTACATTTGGAAATAAATTGTTTATGGGAAAATGCTTAATAAAATTGGAAAAAGAACTAAATCTATTAAATGCAGTCATTTCTGGATCGGCTTTGTAGTTTGTTTCTTTTCTGTCTCTTGAGTTTCCACTTGTAAGCTCGTCTTTTTAAGTCTTATACAGTAAATATCTATATAGCTCGTTTTGAATATATGCAAGAAGAGTTTTAAAAATGAACAAAAACATGCACAAATGATTTTATTCACTAACGTTTGTTTTGTTTTGGATGCCAAAACCAAAAAATAATTTGAAAGAGAATTGCATTGCAAGCAAGGGGAGCTGCAACAAAACAGGCTCATGAGCAACAAATTCAAGTAATGGTTATTGGACTTTGAGACAAAGACGTTTGTACTTCTTAGATCTCAGTTTAATAATTTTGTCGAAAGAAGCACAGGGTCCATTATTTTATTGTAATTTTGCTAGATTCTTTGTATATTTTGCTTCCGCGTTCTTTTCCAGGAAATGGCTGCCGCTTCAAATGCGGGTTTAGAGAAACCAATAGCTGACCCAACCCTTATCTGCTGCGGTCACAAAAAGAATCGGTTTTACTTTTTTACTAGACGAGAGCCAAATGAAGACCATACGTAAGTATTGTATCGATCTATTATAAAATATATTTGCTTAGGTTTGTTTTCACCGCTCCATTTCTTTGGTCCACTGGCATAAGATTCCCAAATACAGGGAGATTTTTCAAATAAACGAATACGCTTTTTTCTTTGGTGGATCAATCTTTAGGCTAGAAACGATGTCTTATGATATATGAAGCAAAATTATCAATATAGAAAGTGTACTTTCTTACTTTTCCGGCCCTTGAAAAGTGTTTTTTGCACCTGCCCGTTTGAAAAAAAGCATGTTCGCTATCTTTGTATTGTTAATTAAAAAATGAATTCTGATTTAGAAAAACTGCATGTTGCCTGCTTTTTATTAGTGACCGAGATGTGTTCAACGAGAAGCCCTCGAGGGAAGAAATAATTGCTGCGACACAGGTGGGCCATATTAAACTTTTCTCGTTGTTTGTGAGCTAGGGTTATTGAATCAACATTGAATCCAAAATCTAATAATCTTATGTGTATTTGCCCTATCATTATTTTCGATTTCATAAAGATATTGGACTACACTCATCTTTTTTTTATAAGAAACTGACTATAAGAAACGAGTACTGGACAGTCAGAAAAAATTACGAAACTTCAGTACTCGAGGCAAAAAAATTAAGAAGATATTAAATCGTGATGAAACTGAGAACAACGAAATTTTGTAAAATCCACGAACATTATTGCCCTGTTGGCCTAGAAATTAAGACACAAGGGATAGAATTATACTTCCCACATCTAAATATAGCATCGGAACGGAAGCGAATCTCTTGACGTGTAAAACAGGTCAAGAACATTTCATAATATCATTCATGACATCATAATTAAGAAACTCTTAAGAAACAATGAGTATTTAAAATTTCCAGAACATTCAGAAACTGGAGTACTCAACATCGACCTTTGTTTCTTAGAAAAAAATGAGTTTAGTGGAACTGAGTACGGAATCTGAGAACGGGAGCTGCAGTATTCGTGAAAAAATTAAAAATACAAAAACCAGACCTTTATAGACTTTAGGTGCTCCAAGGAAATTTGGTAGGCAACATGCGTAGCTATTTTTATCGAAGTTTTGTTTTCTATCTCGAGCAATTATCGTGGCTCCGAGCTGGAAACAGTACATTGGTGAATGCAGTACAGATACACTTCCATGGTCTTTTCCGATAAACAAAATTTTGAGTAGTTTCAGGTGGTTTCGGCCCGTTACTGAAGTTCTTTGACAGGGCTGTTTTGTATAAAAACATCCATTGGCATTGTTTTCGTTGAAATTAAAACGTGACACTTTTGGATAAGAAAAGTCATTCGCCCATACCTTGCCAATTTCCCGTAATGGTAAAAATCCGTATCCCTCTCCTTGGCATTCGTTTAAAGACTTATTGCTAACAATGAGCCATTGCGCTACGTAAGCATCCCATAATGCATTTTTAGACTGTCTAAAATCAATTACTGCCATTGTTTGGACCGTCGCCACGCTCGCAAAGGCCCATTGTTAGCAATGAGTCTTTAAAGTTCAATGAAATGAAAAATAATTCTTTTGAATTTTGTGAAGATATTACTGATTATTGATTAAAACTTATATAGATTTTGAGGTTTTGAGGCTCTACTAACTTTTATACGGTCCACAACAAAGTTGTTTTCAAAAAGATTCGTTTCCCATTATATTTTGCTTGAAAATAAAGAAGGACGATGTATAACGAGATCTAGATCTTCATGGCATTATATCGATAAATCATGCAGTTAAGGATTGCAGATTTCAAATTTAAGATTCTTCTCTAGGATTCTGGTCCAAAAGTGCTCGCAGAAAACGTTATCATGCACACAACTATGGGAGATATTCACATCAAACTGTTTCCTAAAGAGTATGTATTCAATTTCTTGCATCAAATTTTGTACTTTTGTACAAAAGATTGGCATAAAGTCTTGTTCTTTTGAAACCCGCCTCCAAATAAATCTTTTAATCGAATAGCAAAATGTTATGTATGAAAAGTTGAAGGCAATTGACAACTACTAAAGGGGCTTTTGCCACCTTTCAATCAAAAATTGACCAATCAGTATGCGTGACTCCACTCACACGCTCATTGATTGGCTAATTCTGAAATCTTCATAAATTGCAATTGTCTTGTTTGGTTATTTTAAATGAAGCATCTCCGTACTCTGTACTTTGAATTTTTGTTAATGCGTTGTAGACAGGTATCCTTGTGTTCATTTTGATATCAGCTCGTTCATATCTAATCGAAAGTTGTTTCCTATTATTGTTACCAGCTCTCATTGTAACCGTTTTGATGTTTGACTCTTATTTGTGTAGATGCCCAAAGACAGTGGAGAACTTTGTCACTCATTGCAAGAACGGCTATTATAGCGGACATATTTTCCATCGAGTGATAAAACAGTTCATGATCCAAACTGGAGACCCGTCTGGTTAGCTTTTTGTTGTCACTTACATTTAGAAATGGCTGCTATTTCCCTTAGAAATCAACTTCTATCTCTATAACCGTCCCCTTAAATTTCGATTTAGGCATTGATAATTCTATTGAAGTACTTAAGTCAAGTAGAAGCATGTCCAGAATTACATAACACCCAACTATGTATTTTGACCAGGCTGACTACAGCAAACAGTACCCACATTCTGTACCAAACGTCTTCGTACAGTACGCTAAACTTTTTCATATTTTATGTTGCATACCAGCTTCTCTTCCGGACAATGCTGTTTTATATGATGTTCAGTTAATTTCCGTCAGATAATTGTGATCTTTAACCCTAAAGCGAACATTTTTAGCCAGTAGTGCGGTACCACTCAGTTAATTTCTGGCACTTTTCAACTGAAGACAGGTTCTGTGTTTCAAAAACAATGATCACCTTCTAGTAATTTGCTTCTGCGGCGTCTAGTTTGCGTCTAAATTTGCGTGAGGCCGCTTCAATGGGCTCAACGACCTTGCAAGACATAACGGCTTTGCTGATAACAGATCTTTGATCTACCAAAGTTGATTAGCAATAATATTCTTTAAGAAGATTCTTCATATTTTGATACACAAGCGAATCGGTATTTGATCAGCTGCTTGAAAATGTATTTTTAGGCGATGGTACCGGTGGAGAATCAATTTGGGGCGGTGAGTTTGAAGACGAATTTCACCATTCCTTACGTCACGACCGGCCGTATACACTAAGCATGGCAAATGCAGGACCAAATACAAATGGGTCGCAGTTTTTTATAACTGTTTTGCCGACGGTGAGTCTCTAATTGCACTTTTAATCACGTGATAACTATTACCACGTGATTGGTAGCTCATGCTTCATGCCCTAATGGCAGACTGTAAAACATTAAACTTAACTTTTGCAATTTTCCTTAAATGCGGGAATGGTATTGGAATTGCTGTTGGGGCTTGAACTTGGGTTAAGTAAGTTTTATTGTTAAACTGATAACAGTCTTGTTTGGATATTCAAACGGCTATTTTCACGGAGTAGTTACATTTTATTCTTTTTTCATTAAAAGCAGTTACTTTGCTGTAGAATTAAGCCTAAGGCTTTCATATTAGGAGGATTCATCCTCGAATGCTAGATGATATGCAATAATTTTATAATGGATAGCCTATGTAGTCAAATGAAATAATTTAACAACGAATTCATTAGAGGAAGGAAATGGACGTAGTGGTTGGGGAAACGGGATGAAGTTAGAACAAAGAAAATGAAAATACTTAGCGGGAAGTTTTTACTCCTAATATGGAGAAAAAAGTTTGATTTTTGAATTATTTGCAGCACTTTTTTATTGAAATTTAGCTATGGTTGGACAATTTCTTGAGCAATTGGGTTCAGCATACAGTTAGCAAAACCTGAGAATAGTAAACAAATTATTAAGTTTGTTTTATTCAACCAAGAAGAATTAAAATTGCCTACCCGCCTGTTCGACCATTTGGCTGGGTTCGGGCCTACGATTTTCCGACAAGACAACATCTTGGATTAGGACTGCAAGAGAGTATAGCCTGACAAACACAATAGCAATTTTTAAAAATGAGAATTTTTTCTCGCAATTTGGGAGGACCTTGAGTTATATAGAAGCTTTAGTTTACGAAATTTGAAAGTTTTTGAAAATGAAATGAACTTAGAGCGAAGTCTTGAATACATGGACAAAAAAAATTTAGTGGCCCTTATCGAACAAAAGTATCCTAAACTGCGTTGCGTCACTGCATGCGATACATTAGCACTGCTTGTAAACTATAGTAAAAATTACATACATAACGTAACACTGTGTTCTTTTTTAGCCATGGCTAGACAACAAGCATACTGTGTTTGGTCGAATTACCAAAGGTATGGATGTAGCACAGAAGATAAGTCAAGTTAAAACAAACTCTCGTAATGATATGCCCTACGATGAAATAAAAATAATCAACATGTCAGTGAAGTAGCCTGAAGCAGCAAGCAAAGGTATTCTTGAATGTCGTCCTATTCCTTGTTACACTTGATTCAAATAAAATCAAGCTGCCATAGGCAAGGTGCTTATGTAACAACATCAGAAGTGTTCTAAGCACAATTCTGAAGTTCTTTGCCAAGGAAAAGGATTCGATGGACGGACAATAAAGAAGCATTTACAGCGAACAAGTGTTAAATGCAAATGTTTTGCATGGTATCCTGATAGAAGACAACATTGTAGCTAAAGTAGATATCTTTTCAAGCAAAATAAGCATTATTATTTTGCTTCAAAGAATAGAAAGCCTCGTGTACTTGATTTTCTTGGTTGCTAAGAATTTTCGCTTTTGCTTTGGTTGTTGTCATATGAAGGTTGCAGTCGAACCACTTGATCAACTTCTCTCGCCTTTATCTAAAGCCCAGCGCACACGGCAGACTTTTGTCTTTGAAAGACGAAGATTTTTGTCTTTAGCATTCCAAAAACAGAAATCTGTCGTATGCGCTTGTCAAAGACAAAGGTCTTTGTCTTTCAAAGACAGTCTTCGAAATTAAAGATGTTTAATTTTTGAAAACGGTCTTTGAGAGACAAAGACAAAGGTCTGCCATGTGCGGACCCAAAAGACAAAAATCTTTCGAAGAAATAGTGAGTGGCCATTAAGCGACTAAGTTTTGATCACATGAAGATGTTCTCCTGAAACTTCCCGCCAAGCAATTACCTACCTGTGCTGTGCTTCAAAGATGAAAATCTGTCATGTGCGCAATCTGTGAAGGCAAAAATGTTCGTCTTTCAAAGACGAAATTCTCGTCTGCCGTGGGCTTAGATTCCGTTTACACTGTATCGGATAAATTTTATCCGCATCAAAATTAGTTCAGATAGGCGTCGCGTTTGCACTAGACCCACGCTATCCGCACGAATTTGAGAGTGGCTATCCGAACAAAATTAGTTCACCTAAGAGAGTGGATTAAATTAGCTCGGATAACTATGTGGTACAGTGTAAACGCTTTTATCCGGATAAATTTAATCCACATCGTATTTTGCTCGAAAGCGATTGGCTATTTTGTCCAATTTAGAGGGCCATCTTGGCTGCCTAGCTGTCGATAAATACTCGTGTTAAAAGTGCAGTATCTTGCCAGTCCACGTAAAATTGGCATCCTTGTCAGCTTTCCCTACTTTCGTTGCTAGTTCAGTGTCATTTTGTTTTAAGAACAAACTATTAAAACAAACGAGCGTCGCATCCCCTATCAAGGCCGTGGTCTAAATTCGCCCCCCCCCCGCGCTTTCTTGTAGCTCCTCTGTGCTACGGTTTCTTCATTGATGCTTGATGACTCTTCTTTCGCACAGAATTCGTTATATTTCGTTAAATTGTCCATAATTAAGGTGTAACTGATTGTAAGCAAACGCGTTTCTTGAAACGAACGAAATCAACCCGAGACGACAATGCTATGATTGAATTTTGGCGCTCTTTAGCCAACTGCGCGTGCGCAGAGCCAACAATGTTGGCTGAGGTGGTCAAACGACCCAACATTACGCCCAACACCATGTTGGGCGAAATGTTGGGTGAAATGTTGGATCCTTTGACCAAGGCTGCTCATGTCGATGAACTCAGTGTTTGCTACATTCCGCTATGGCGCATGCGTTTTTCCCCTACATTTCCCTACGGCTGTCTACTTGTTTTCCCCTACATTTCCCTACATTTCCCTACTATTTTGCATATTCCCCTACAATCCGTACAAATATATGCAGAAATTATTCGAAAAACAACGTGTTAAGTGCCATTTTTTGTTATAAACATGGAAACGTTTTCTATCACTGTTCAAAACGAAAACAAAATACAATATTCTGTGCCGTCCACAGCAGAAATAGACATTACGTCACCTGGTTCTGGCTATGCTTATAAAACAAACACTTTGTGAACCATGGCACCATTTCATTTGGCAGGAGCTAGCATGCGCCAGTTTAGGGCTGGCGATGTAGGGTAGATTACAGGTATATTAATGGCAATTGAAAAAATGATTTGAAATGAAGGTATTAGATAACCAGATGTGGGAAATTATACATTGTTAGGTTACTGATGCTGATGCCATGAAGAGCTTGCTTAAAACTACAGCCAACGAAAATAAGAAAGTTAGATATTGAAAAGTTAAATAGTACTCCTCAAATGATATATTATGGTCAATGTTATCAATCTCCTTCTGAGTATATCTTTGCATATTCGAGTTTCTAGCATTTGCATGCAAACGAACATGATACTCATCAATATCAAAGTTTGTTGTAAATTTTTCCGAGACTTTAACTATTGACTCTAACGTATTCACGGCAAGACAATTCCTCAACTTTGTTTTGTTTATATTTATCTTCGAAAATGTTCTTTCGACTGCTGCCGTACTTTGTGGTAGTGCAGTTTGCAGTTACGTTAAGCTTGAATAGTGCCAGACTTTCATATTCTTGGAGCTGTTTCATAGCTTTCCAAAAATCGTTAACGCTTTGGTTTTCCCAGCCACCATTCTTCACAACATCGTCAATTAATAATGATCTCCACTGACGATCAATGTCAAGAAGGCTGGCGTCTCCCTTCAACCGAGGCAGATGCTTTGCCAGGGTTCCTGCTGCTGTCTGTGCAGCTTTGTCTTTAACAATTACCCTTGGTGTAATGTCTTCCATGGCATTCAGGACGGGGTCTGAAACATCGACTCGTTTCAAAATCTGTCTCACTGCTTCCTAATACCAATTGCGACATCTCTTCAAAAAGCTTTCCATCTCGTGTGGCCTCATTTCCTTCATGGTTTCACTTGCCATTATTCCAGGATAAACCTCACTGAGTGGGTGCCAATCCATTTCCTTGTCAACATCAACTGCCATTACGTCTTTTACCGTTGTCTTCAGGAAACTGTGGCAGAACACTTTCAGCACTCTCTCTACTTCAGGAAGTAAACTGTGAAGCTTGAAGGATTCTGACTGGAACATCGCGTTTAAACCAGCGAGATCACCAAGCACAAACTCCATAAATTCAATAGTTCCTTAGATACTGCAATGCCTGATGTATTCTTTCTGCTGGAGGAGACTTTGCATCCATGATCTCTGATGTAAAATATAGAAGTAATGCAGGCCATTGTTGCAAGATACGCGTTACACATTGTGACAATGAAAGCCAACGTGTTTGGCATGGCTTCAGAATCTTGTGGGGCTGACATTGAACAAAATGCTGAAACTGCTCAAAACTTTTCTGTCTATTTGGCGAGTTTTTGAAATAATTATAGACATCATGAACCAGTTGTTCTGCTGTTTGTGAAAGACATTCGCATGCGTGACTTGCAACGAGATGAAATGAATGGCAAAAGCATTTCAAAACATATATATCACGAGCCACACTTTTGATTCGTGTAAGCATAGAGTTGCTTTGTCCTTGCATCAGGCTCTCGCCGTCAGATGCATAGCCTACGACTATTTCCCAGCCAATGCCATCTTTCTTAAGGGCTGCTTCCAGCGAGTTGAAGAGACCATCTGAATCGCCTTGTTCAACAGGTATCAAGCGATAAAGGTATGTTACTGGATCAATTTCATCCAAAAGGCGAACATTGACACAGAAGATTTTCTTCATTGTTATGTCTGTTGCCTTGTCGCACAATATTGAAAATCCAGTTCCATTCTTAATCTTTTCAATCAATGTTTCATGAGCGTTGACAGCAAGACATTCTGTCAACAAATATGTCCCTTTAGTTGCACTGCAGGTCATACCATTAATTCCTTTCGAATCATTGGCGATGCAATGAAGAGTCTCCACCAGCTCATTTAGAAGGTTGAAAAAAAGATTCTTCCTTGCTAATAAAGCCACTGTGTTGAGCTCAGCCTTTACTCTCGTGTATGTAGCGGCAGAGACAAATGCTGTAACTGGTCGATTTGTTTCATCAATTTTTGCATTTTTTTTATGCTGGCCTGACTTCGTGTGTGAAATCAATTCTGATTTCCCTACAGCGAGATCTATTTTGCAAAAATTGCAATACGCTTTACCATTATGATATTTTGATACGGACAGCCAGGCTCTAGCCCATTCTTCCTACTCCCATTCTCTTCTATACTTATGAGCTCGATATTTTTTTTCTTTCGACATTTTGCTGCACTTTCTGAAATCAAGCTCCAAATTAATATAGCTATTCCTGTTTGATTCCTTTCCTTCAAAATATGCGTGTTTACGATTGCAGTTTGTCCACAAAGGATTTCGCGAAAACAGAAGTGAAACATGTTATGTCGTTTTAAGAGACCGCCAAAAATAACACATGTGAAGTCTAAAGATCTCAACACCCTGACGAGAAGATAAAAATTAGCTTATTTCCGCTAAACAATAGCAATTGACGCCTTGCATTTTCTGAACTAAAACAGCTGCTCATTAATAGCTTTGACGATAGCGACTTTTAAAGGAGAGAGAGATTTCGATCCAAACCAAAAATATCGGAACAGCTTATTTCCCCTACAAATTATAAAAAATTCCCTACACCTGCCCATTTTCCCCGTAGGTTTTCCGTACTCCCTACATAGTTCGATTTTCCCCTACTTAAGGGGAATTTCCCTACGTGTTGGAGCACTGAAAATTAAACCACCATTTAGTAAGAAAAGCGCGCGGCAACATTTGAATGAAAACAAAAACAGAACAATCAATTTATCAGGTATCTGTTTGAGCAATTATATTGTATTGTTTATTCTAATATTAGATTAAATGAATTGGTAACTATTACCATACACAAAATATAACAGCAAAATGGTGTCAAAAGTTGTTTGTGATTAACAATTTTTGTACTAGAAGAATTTATCACCATGGAATTTAACGCCAACCCTTTCAATTTTCACAACAATGGACAAGAAAGGAAGCCATATGCAAATTTGAAGTATGTGATCTCATTGGTTAAATTAGCAAAAGCAATGTCCTCAAATTGGGTTCCCATCGTTTTTATTAATCGAATGAAATGTGTTTGGGATTCGCATCTGTCTGTTCGCAAATCGGAAATCGCGTGCGAAATGCGAATTGCGCGAGAAGTGGAAATGGGCCTTGAAAAAAGCAGCTGGTGATAATTTTCAACTGAAAAACAAGAAAAATCGTCGGGTAGACCGCAGAATACTGATGATAGAAGATAAAGTCGTTCTACATTGGGCAATCAAAGAACAGAAAAGGGGAATCTTATCATTACATGCCAAAGCCTTTTTACATAACATGAACAGTCAGTAGACGATGTCACTGCAATGAACATGCTGTGCTGAGGAACCAATACATGATACAGGTATTATATGGTATTTCAGTTTATTATTTTTGAGCAAATTCTTTGCCGATTCATTGCAAATAAGGGCCATCTTAAAGGCAGTCTGTCCCCTTCGTGATTGGCTAATTCTAACTTGAAAGCCTCGCCTGAAAAGAGGGTCTTCCTCCGCCTTTTTAGCATCCGCCTAATCTTTGAGTCATCGAATCTGACTTAGACGTTTGCAACCGAATCGAAATTCATAGCAAATCCTCGCTTGTGCATTGAATCAACGATGCATGAATATTGTGGCCATGAAAAGGCATAATGAGAACAATGGGTGGCATACTGCCTTAAACTACCCTTTATTGTTTCGTTGTGTACAGTCAAACTCGCATAAGTCGGGCGCGCATATGTCGGATTATTCATAACTCCGACAAAACTGCTTCGTCATTGTCCATTTGGTTCAAAAGCTATCAATTTTCATCACAAAGGTCGGATATTTCATACCTCGGACAAAATTCCTTGGTCCCTGTCCATTTGGTTTAAAAGCTATCAATTTCCATTGCCTAGGTCGGATATTTCATACCTCGGAAAAAGTTCTTTGGTCCCTGTCCATTTGGTTTAAAAGCTGTCAATTTGCATCGCATAGGTCGGATATTTCAAAACTCGGACAAAAATGCTTGGTTCTTGTCCATTTGGTTTAAAAGCTATCAATTTTCATCGCATAGGTCGGATATTTCATAACTGGGACTAAACTGCTTGGTCTTTGTCCATTTGGTTTAAAAGCTGTCAATTTTCATCGCATAGGTCGGATATTTCATAACTGGGACTAAACTGCTTGGTTATTGTACATTTGGTTTAAAAGCTATCAATTTTCATCGCAAAGGTCGGATATTTCATAACTGGGACTAAACTGCTTGGTCCTTGTCCATTTGGTTTCAAAGCCGTCAATTTTCATCGCATAGGTCGGATATTTCATAACTGGGATATAATTCCTTGGTCCCTGTCCATTTCGTTTAAAAGCTATCAATTTTCATCACAAAGGTCGGATATTTCATAACTCGGACAAAATTGGTCCTTGTCCATTTGTTTGAAAATTAACAATTTTCCAAATTAACAAAAGTCGGACTTGCATAAGTCGGACTATTTTCTATGGCCTAAGGAGATCTGACTTATGCGAATTTGACTGTATCCGGTAGTAAACATGTATCCGGATGCGGATAGAATGTCACTGCTGCCGATTAGTCAGCGATCGATAAGTTAGCAGCCGCCGATTGGTCAAAAATAAGGAACCAATCAAACGTGCTATGCGGTACCAGTGACATATTTAGTTCACTGTATCATTTCCTTTAAATATAATTTTCGGCGGTACTCGTGACGATATTAAAGGCTCTTGCGCAACCGGCTTGCTTTGCGACCATAATTCAAAAGACCGGCCTAATATGAAATCCCACAATCCATTAGAGATATCGATTCAATCGTAAGATTTAAAAAAGAGCTAAGATTCTACTTTTTGAGCTAACAGAAATCAGCTCGGCACGAATCCATGGAAGATCAGATAATTTATATTAGCTTAATCTTAAAAAAAACAACTGTAATGTAGTTTTTTTGTATATCATAACTTTTCTTTTTACTGAATGGATGTCGTGTATATATAAGATCAAATGAAATGAAAAAAAGAAAATATCGTACTGCATGAAAATACAAAGCACAGTCAATTTCTCGAGACAACTTCCGCTAAGCATGCTGGTTGCACAAGACCCTTTAATTATGGGTTGTTTCCTTCAAATCATATTCCTGGGAAATACCCACCTGGGCCTTTTGCTTCTGCATATTCTACGGAACAATCAAAATTCGCAATTTTACCACATTTTTTATGTGTTTAAATTTTGTTGACACCTTCCGACATCAGCCTGCAGACTGAAAATGTTACCAAACGCAATAGCGATATTAATTCTTTTCTAAGAAAATGTTTTGGAGGCATGTTGAGGAATAATGCAAACAAAACTCTCTCCCTCTTTTTACCTTTCTCTCTTTCTCTCTCTCTCTCTCTCTCTCTCTCTCTCTCTCTCTCTCTCTCTCTCTCTCTCTCTCTCTCTCTCTCTCTCTCTCTCTCTCTTTCTACCTCTCTCTCTCTCTCTTTCTACCTCTCTCTCTCTCTCTTTCTACCTCTCTCTCTCTTTCTACCTCTCTCTCTATTCTCTGAGACCAACTAATTTGGGGCAAGTGGTAGATTCTTCGAAAGAAATGTTATTGAAACCTTGTACTAAAGCCAGCAGTGCTTCCAAAGGGTGGAAAGATCGATCAATGTTAGATCATTAGTTTGTATGGAAGCAATTTATGTTTAATACAGTACGTGTGGTATAAAATTTGTCTTTCTTAAATTATCAAATTTGGCTTTTAATGAACTTTATCGAAAATGATAGATTCATTCAAAAGGGGAGTAGAAGGAAATTGCTTTGAAGCATATACAAGTTTAAAGAAGAAGGTAGTATAAAGATACTATATGATGAATAACCAAAGGAGTTGCAATTTCGGAAAATTTTACACAATACTGGCTGCACATGTATGTGCAAATCATATTGATAAAGCCAAGAAACCGATAACACAAAGTGACCTTGGACTAAGATTTGGTAATATCAGAACGCCGATCAAGATGACATCATGTTAGCATCGATTTCCTTGGATGAAGTGGAGATTATGCTTGAGACAGTAGAAGACATTCACAAACGACACTTACTGAATTTCAGTCTACACAGAAATGAACAGCTTGCACATGCGATTCAGCAAAAATAAAGCAAGTAAGAGCAACAGAGAATTGAAGTTAAACGACCAAGTGATGAAGAAAGGTGAAATATATAAGTATTTAGAAGGCTTAAAGGACAATAACTGGTCGCTAGTGAGTGCATTGCTAGTCAGATAAATAAATTCGGCCAAAGATAAATAAATTAGAATTTTCATTGAGACAGACAGACAACATTTAAAACAAAAAGTTCAGAAGTCAGCTTCAAGTGAATAGAAGACAACCTTATACCTAAGATATTATATGACTTTGAAACTAAAAAAACTTAGGTAAAGGCTTGCTTATATAATGTGTGAGAAGGAAGAACCGCAGGATAGGCTGTCCGCCGGATTCTGTGAATCTTGCAATGAGTAAAATATAAACTGAATTGCATATATACCCAGATGAAATAAAAAAAATTAGGAACAAAAAGGCTAAGTATGAAACATTGTTGGCATGATGAAATTAAACAGGATTTAAAAGACCTCACTGGCAGAACAAGAAACCCGCACAATATTAAGTAGTCAATGGAAAAACATCGTGAGAATAAACATGTAATCCAGTTTATTGAAGCAAATATGAAAAAGGATAATGGAATAGAACGAAGTCAGAAAGGCAATGAACTCCTTAAAGGCTCAACCGTCTAGAGTCAACCGTCTTGAGACAACTGTCTAGAGTCAACCATCTAGAGTCAACCGTCTAGAGTCAACCGTCTAGAGTTAACGGTCTTGAGTCAACAGTCAACCGTTAAGAGTCAACCGTCTAGAGTTAACCATCTTGAGTCAACCGTCTAGAGTCAACCGTCTAGAGTCAACCGTCTAGAGTCAACCATCTTGAGTCAACCGTCTAGAGTCAACTGTCTAGAGTCAACCGTCTAGAGTCAACCATCTAGAGTCAACCGTCTAGAGTCAACCGTCTAGAGTTAACGGTCTTGAGTCAACAGTCAACCGTTAAGAGTCAACCGTCTAGAGTTAACCATCTTGAGTCAACCGTCTAGAGTCAACCGTCTAGAGTCAACCGTCTAGAGTCAACCGTCTTGAGTCAACCGTCTAGAGTCAACCGTCTAGAGTCAACCGTCTAGAGTCAACCGTCTAGAGTCAACCGTCTAGAGTCAACCGTCTAGAGTCAACCGTCTAGAGTCAACCGTCTAGAGACAACCGTCTAGAGTCAATCGTCTAGAGTCAACCGTCTTGAGTCAACCGTCTAGAGTCAACCGTCTTGAGTCAACCGTCTAGAGTCAACTGTCTATGGTGTAGTCGAACCAATTTTAAATGGCCAGCGAAATTCGTAGGGACATAGTTCTTTTAAAATAAAGCCCAGTAAGGGCAATCTAAAAGCTAATTTCAAAGAAAATTTGGTAACATCCGCTGGATAAGGTGTGTAGTACATGATTAATATCTAGAACAGTTATGTCCAAAATGCAAATAATATTTTGTGTGCCGTACCGTATGGAAAAATAAAACGTTAATTTATGGCTATATCGTGCATCAGAGCAGTGGCTACGTAGATGCTGCTTTTATAATCTCAGGGCGCTTGTAAACCAACAAATCTGTATGTGATCAAACCCCGCATCCTAATCACCCTATGCCCATCGATATTGATTTGCTTCGAAAGTTTATCCGTTGTCTCAAGTTTGCCATCATTAACAATCGGATTTTAAATTCGTTTTACCTTCCTCAGTCAAATTAGCTTATCACAACTGCGGTTCACTTTCTCTACAGATTTATTTTGCACACTTTTTCGACTTTTCCAAACCTGATAAAAACTACCTGCGGCTTATTTGCTGTAATCCGGCTGTTAAAATGTCGATTTTAATTAAAGTATTTGGGAAATAAAAACTCCAGTGCGTGGTTTAAATAGTCATCTTTATTGATTAATCAAAGACATATTTTCTTTAAATCATCTTAGACAACTCCTTAATTGCAAATAGAAAGTTGATTTCAGTGATTGAAACAATTTGAAGTGGCATTGATTTTAAATGCCTCTTAATTTCAACTGTTACCCACAGTATATTACTGGCTTAAAATTGATTAGATTTCATTCTAAGTATTTATCGCTGGCATAGATGAATAACTTCATGGTTACGTCTTAATTAACATTTTACAGTTCTCCTCAACAAGGAAAAAGGGATCACTGTTTTTGATGCAAAAACTAGCCAGATCAATCTTAGACCCTCAAATCGACAAATCCCTCATTGGTCGTGGTTTTGTTCAGATTTTGCTCCGTATCGACATCTCAGACTGTTATTACTATTTTTACTTGATAAACTAAATCGCATCGATAGGCGGTTTCAGGCCATTTCATATTGTTGCCGACTAATCATTGTATACTCTTTTTGCATAGGATCATGGGCCTTTCTCTGAAGATATTTACTCAAGTATCGCTGAGCACAATAACTGTGACGTCATGCTTTCTGAACTTTTGCCTGTTACGCTACATATTGCGACGGAGCGAGATCCACGTAAAAGACAAGTTGACGATAAGTTTAGCGGTCAGCGACCTAATGCGGTCCCTATTCGGCTACGTCATGGAGATATCACTACGGCTCAACGACCACTGCAACCTGGTCGGTGCTACCATCAGTTTATTGAGCTTTGCAGCGATCAATCACCTGGTGCTTATAATGTTCGATCGATGGCTGATTATCACTCAGTCAGCTCTGGGCCGACGCTACCACGCATCCGGCGTTGCTGTTCATCTCTCACTTGCTTTTTGCTGGCTCCATGCCACTGTTTTTGCAATGATGCCGTTTGTGGGTCTTGGAGCATATGGACTCGATTCTGATGGACTGCGTTGTCAAGTGTCATGGCGAGAAAGAGGCTTCAGGCATCGTTTTTATCACATAATGTTGTTTTTTTTCTACTTCTTCGTACCGTTGCTCCTGATGACAACGTTCTTTGTCTCCTTGCGGAAAACGATTCGTGTTTCAAGAGTAGCTGCTGGAGACACTTTTCAGATAACAACAGCAAATTTCATTACAAAACAGCGAATTAAGGCAGAGCGTCGGTGCACGTGGATGTTTACAACAATGTCGATTGTGTTCGCCTTTGCGTGGCTTCCGTATGCAATCATTTCCTTTTGCTATGCGTTCATTAACGCAACAACCTTTATAAGCAGCAGTTTAGAAACGGTGGCCGTCATTCCAGCAAAAGCATCCACTATTTACAGTCCTGTGGTTATCGCTGCGTATGATTCAGGTTTTCGTAGGCTCATTAGAAGAACAATGGCGTTTAAGAAAGCTGCCTCAGTGAATGATGTAGCAGTCATTCCAACTGTGGGCAGCCGACGTCGCCCCGACAATAGCTGACGTCGCCAGGATAAAGTTACAATGATATCTGAGATTTTCATTATATTACTCAACTTTATCTAAGATTAACAGACTTGTATTTAATAGTTAAAGATGCTCTTAACAAATGAGGTACTCAAAGGATTGCTTGACAAACAAATTTAATGGTATCTTTTAAATTTTGAAGGGCATTATACCCTATGGTATTATACATTATAAAACTAAATAAGGCAGCAGAATTTAGTTAGGTCAGATCATTGTCGTGTTTACTAAATTTATAAATGAAAAGTGGATGAAGAAAATCCCCCGATAGGTAGAAGCCAATCTTCTTTCCTAGTATTGAAACACTAACCCTACAAATAATAGGTTGAAAATCTGAATCTTCTTTATTGCTCTGATTCTAAACATGGCAACACAGAAGAGAAATATACTAAATAACGATCAATGTAAGTAAGTTGTACCAGGAAAATGTATTTAAAATAAACTTATTTAGAAGAGAAATAGGCAGAGAACGAGGATTCCGGCATAGATTAAAAACGCTACTTCAATATAAAACAAGTATCTTATTGTTAATTCATCATACACTACATTTGAAAAATACACTAAAAGTAGAATTTACATATGTTTTTGTTAAGAAACGAAGTACATCGCTGAATTACGCTCAGTAAAATTGATCTCAAAAGCGTTAACAATTAGGATCATTAAGCCTGACCTGGTAGTATAATTATTTTGGCCTTGCAAAGAGAAACCAACTGACATTCTACCAATGCTTTTAGAAACATGTTCTGGATAGATGACTAGGTTCCAAAATTTTTCTCTTACGTTGTAAATACATTTTCCTATAAACATACACGCTTCCTTTTGATAAAGGAACCTACCTCAAGGCCTAGTTTCAAAAGTTCCTTATTCGTAGACCTCAAATCATCAAATTGTAGTACCAAAAGTTCCATAATAGTTTCTTAATTTTCACTGCACATCAAGTGCCATAAAAACAGTACAGAAACAGGAAAAATATAAAAATTTTGAATTTTACCTTTAATTGTGGCCAGAACTCAGGAGCAAAAACACAAAGAAAGCTATGTCTAGCGAAAATCTCACTTTCGGTGTTTTGACTACAATAAGCCTTAACACTTAATAGAGAGAGGGGCGAGACAGCATATGCGGAAACTACTCAATGGAGCACTTGACGCAACAATCTATGCTGGTATTGGCTGCAAATGAATGAAACCGGCATATTAGTTCTTGATGCTTGCAGTTATAAAAAAATTTCAAATCGAAAAGTTCTTAAGGGATTTTGTTTCTAGTAGTATAAGTTCTTTAAATATTGCGGCCTTCTACATGTAGGTTCCTTATAAAGTGGTTCCTTATTAAAAAGTGTGTACATGCTTAAGATGAAACATGCCTCAAGCCAAGATGCTAAAGATAAACAAAATATTAATACCCTTTAGTAGGCGCAGTTGAACTTAATAAATAAAAAAACAAGTATTATAAGAATGTGATCTCTTAATGATGCAGAAATTGGACGAATTTATCATTTTAAACATCTGAAGCCCAGGTAAAGTTTAAATAAACCAAAAGATTCGAGCTGCTAAAAAGATATTTATCATGAAGAATAACTTGACCATATTGAGGAATTATTTAATCGTTTACATAGGTTGGTTAGCTCCCCAATATCTGGCATAAGACTCAGAAATACGAACGTAGAAAAATGGTATGACATTATAAACCTTTACTGTAGAGCCAATTAAATTTAAAGCTGTTGTCTTTAAGATATTATTTGTCTATAAGATATTATTTTCTTTCAATCTTTTACGTTAATTGAAATATACTTTCATCCTACATACTTTGTTCTTTCGTTTTCTCGTTGAGAATTCTGTCTGTAGAAAAACCATAAAGAGTTCGTGCCAAATCCTCCAGTTGTTTAACACGTTCTACAAGATCATCCTTGCTCGTATTCTCGACTTTTTTCGAGTTCCCCATATTTGATTCCCCTTCCTTCTCTCTTGATTTGATTTTCTAGAAAAGTCAGGCATGTTTAAAATAAATAATCATGGAACTAGATAATTCAAAATAAGACTACATGTAAACTTCTGAAGAAGATTCTCAGAACAATCAACCAAAAGTCGCCGTGAATTAAACTTATATGCTTAAATATGAATCAAAATTATCGGCTACGACCTTGCTGCTATGTTTACAATCAAAGTTCTCCATACAATTTCTTACAGTTCTTACAATATAAAACAACTAGACCTTGTTGCCAGGTGGGCATCAAGTCGGAAAGCTAGCGACCAGGGTGACCCCGGCACTTCTGGCGGACTTTATAAAATAGCTTTGAAAAAAGCATACATTTGAGTAAACTAAAGATTTTCGACTGACACTCTTCAGAGTTTGAAACGTTGGAGTTTTCGATCTATGTTCTGACGTTCTAAACTCTTAAGAGTGTCAGACGAAAAGCTTTAGTTTACTCAAATGTTTGCTTTTTTCAAAGCCATTTTCAAGTTTTGTACCACCAAAAAACTTTATAAAAGTTATTTCTTTTACAACGTAGGAATTTAAAAATCAGCACCAGCTGGGCACCATATTCAACCTGCAGGGAAGTGTTACCAAGAGATATTCAACTGCTTTGCAAATCTATTACGCTCAGCACCCTAGCAGGGAAGTCAAGCATCGCCTGGCCAAGAATTTCCTTAAGAAATTCGATAAAGAAACATTGTTTGGTCACGTAAAATTCATTTCTCAAAGTTTAAGAATCAACAACTTTAGAGAAAAGGAGGGTAAAATTAGAGACCCTAGACCAGACACATTTTGTTTATCAATGGGTTAAAAATGATGAAGAACTGATGGATTTCTGATCACAGAAGAATTTCATTTATGTTTTTAAGTAGTGAAGAGAAATTACCTCATGAATGACTCTCATAACTAAAGAGTCTTCTTGGTCATTTTCTGTATCTTCATTGAATTTCTCACTATGAGAAGGAATCTTGAAACTCTAAAAACAAAAAGATATAATCAAAGTCCTGTTTGAACCAGTTAATTTACATAAAAGGCATTCTGCTTGATATTACATGGTTACTTAATATGATTTTTTCATTGTTCTATTATGCAGTTTAATATCGTTATGAGCCAAGATTAACTGCCTTTGGCACTATTGCAGCAAATAGCCTGAAGAACCTAATATCACACATTATCTTGGAGAAAAATAATTAAGGTGATGTAAGAGTCAATGTAATAGTACTAAGATTTTCTTAGCATTACACTGAAACTGTTTATCACACCTTTGGGGATAGAAAGTGCTTTTCGGAGGTAGAGATTGCTTAAAACAACCTTTGAATGTATTCATTATAGTTCTGTTAAACAATCAACAAATCAACATTACCAAGACAGCAGCTCGCAACCTCTGTTTTATAAGAAATATCATACCTTATCAATATCTTTCAACACAACTGGGATCACATCGTCAGTATCAAATGAGTCAAGGCTTGGCTGGAAAAGGTTTCTTTTGAAGTTACTAATTGGTGATAGGTTCTTTGATGATGTTTGATTTAATATGCCATCGGGCAATTGAAGGACTTTCAAAGTTGTTACTTTACCTGTGATGATAAAATCATACATTATTTTATCTCTGATATTGAAATGTGAATGGATGTGTCCAGTGAAACAACCAAGTACATTTTAAACATCACTAATCATAAATAATTCAAGTAATCCTGATAACTTTTTTTTTATTGACAGCTGTATTATGTATTGTTTGTTGGGGTTTCATCCTACAATAATGGAATTCAAAACCTCAAGATTGTTTGTTTCTAGGTCTCAATCAAATGATCCCTTTAAGTCGTACAAACAGGTTACATAGTATAAAAAGCATTATACCCTTTAAATATATTTGCTTGATGCATTGTCCACTTTCAATGTGCCACATTCTAACAGTGTGGTCAGCTGACCCAGATAGCAAGGTATCTCCTTTCGAATTTGTTGATAATGCAGATATTTCTTTGCTGAAAAAAAGAAAAAGAAGAAATATTATGTAAAGCTGTTCAGAATTACCTGCATCACTATAGATAATGTCTTTAGCCAATTTTATTATGCTGATAATAGAACTTTGCCTTGTGTCAACTCACCTGTGTCCAAAGAAACGCCTTTCATCTTCATCATTCATAACATTTTGATCTTTTTGCATCTTCTGAACAGAAAATATTCATTTTACTAATTAAACAAACACAATATGCTTACATGCAAAGTAAATAATTACAGAATAGACAACGCAATCTGGAATAATTATAGAATTATATATCCCAACCATGAAGGGGTTTGGAATAATGGGACATCATTAAATATAAATCATTTATGTTGAGGAGAAGAGATCAAATCTATTTGAAACAAGGAAAAGAAAAACTTTAACTCATACCATTCTAGATATATTGATAACATGAATTTTTCCATTGATTCCACCAACAACTATCAGTGTCTCTGCAGGGTCCATTGTTACTGCAGACAACCCAGTATCAAAGAGAAAGGAGCATATTTGCTGGCCAGATGACAAATCATATACCTAAAAGGTAGGTCAAAAAATCTACCTACATAGAAGTAATGATTTTTGTAAATATACTTACCAAAATCAGAGTTATGAATGGTAATTATTTTCTATGTATTTTGTTATGATGACAACTAAGGGACTTAAAGCTTAAAATAATGATCCAAATTTGATGACTGATCGAGTTTTAAACCTTTACTTCAGCTTTACTCTAAACAGTAAATTGAATTAACCATCATCCCCAAAAATTGCAACTTTAAAAGATTGAAAGAAAAATATTGATTTCCCTCTATTTTCCACAGGACAACTTTCACAATAAACACATCCAACTTTCTCTTACAACCCAATATAGACTCAAAACAAAAAATGTGCAATTAACTATTAATGCTACAAGAAAATGTTTGTGCTAAATGTATATACCTTGCATGTTTGGTCCAAGGAGCAAGTAACTAATCGTCCATGTATACCACCACATGTCAGGTACAGATCTTTTATTGGGAGGGAATGGTGGGAAAAAGTATGAACTGGTTTTACATCTTCTACCATCCCTCTTGAATTAGTTCCTACTGACAACACACTAGAAAAACAAAATATCCTGTTTATAGAAGACAATTAAAAGAAAAGCAGAAACTATTTTAATCTACTAAATACTTTGCTTTACAAAACCTCATGACTCCGGACATGGAGTGGAATATGAATAAAACTCATGGTTGGAAATGAAGCCCTCAGTATGTACCTTAAAGAGCTGCTGTTAGCAGTACTTATAATTTATTCCTTTGATCTTCTCTGCGGGCCTTGAAAAAACATTTCTCTTCCTGGCAGCAAAATAAAAAATTCAAGATTTCCTGTGAAGCTTCGAGAAAGTTTCCACCCACTGAAATTGATATTTCATGTTTTTTGTTAGTAGTGCAGAACAAAAATTATACAGTATGTATGTATATCCCAAGAAAACAGCGTTCCGTAGAAATATTGTAACATGAATTTAATGTTCATATTAAAATCAAGCAATGGAGATTTCACGCTAAAAATTTCCTGGCAAACATCAACAATTTCCTGCAATGAATTTGTGCTAAAAATTTCCTGGCAGCGCCACTGCCGGACATTTTCCAGCCCTGCTTCTCTGTTCAAACTATCTTGTAGCACACTGTAACTCCTATTTAAAGTTTATTGACTCTTAAAATATTTAGTAATTAGATAAACTGTGCACCTTCAACTTTCCAGGTGCTTGATTGAGCATCATTAAATATCATCAATAACAAAATTTGGTTTTTTTGCATTTAGTTTTTAGACAGCAAAAACATTCTAGGTGCTCGATCAATCAAGCTCCTAGAACTTTCTAGGCACGTGCGGAGGCTCTTGATTGACCTTGAGCACGTGTGGAGGCTCTTGCAAAGCCAACTTTCAATGTGTGGGAGGGAGATAGCATTAAAAAAATATTTAGAACAACTATTGATAACAGATTAGAAACTTTGTTTGCAGATATTGTAACATTAGACTGATCATAAGCAAAAATACAACACAGGCTACAGTCAATACTAACTGACAATACATATAAACATGCTTTATGCTAAAATTTCTTTACCTTGACAAACTCCAAACCATAACTAAGTTGTCATCTCCAGCAGATACAAAGAAACCCCCATAATCAGTAAACTTTAAAGATGTCACATTCTGATAATGCTTGGATAATACTTTCATTAAATTTCCTGTTGCCATCTAAAATTAAAGGAAGCATTTAGGAAACTTAAGTATCAAACGATTTTCAAAATAATATTTTTTTTATTATGATAATATATAATACATACAAAACTTTCCAAATACTTAAAAGGAATTTAAATGTATTAGATGAAAACAAACAGAATTTAAATTCTTCTTTGAAATTTGACAGTACAATAAAATTAGAAATTTTCAAGCAGTTTAATCCTTTGTGAAATATTTTGGCATCATTCATGTGATCAAGTCAGCATGGCTAAAACAGGCACAAGCTCAGTTTAGCATTTGGTTACTTTGCATGTTGAAAATCAAATATCAACCAAATTTCAAAGTGAAGTATTTATTTACCTGCCATACAAATATCTTCTCTTGCAAGCCAACCACACAGTAATTTCCATCGGGGGAACAGCATATTGCAGTAACTTTATCAGGGCAAACTATTCTCTTTTGTGACTGCTCCTACAAAATAAAAAAAAATCTATAAAGCATCTGACATCTGAAGATTATGCTCTAGAAATTATGTTAAGAAAATTGATGCATTTATAAACATTTTTTTAGAATATTGTTGAATTTTGACCCTCTTTCCACCCTTCTTTTTATCTCAGGTTTTTTGCATCATTGATTCTTGTAGATTTTACTCACATCGGCAAGCTTGTAGAGTAAGGGAGTTCTCAATGAGGTCTTGTGTAAATAGTATTTGCAAAATAACGTCTTACAGTATAGTGTAATATAGAACAAATTTTTTAACTTCGTTGTCTTATTAGTCAACTCTCAAGAATTCATCCAAGAACTCTATGTCTAGCTATTCCAGAACTTGCACATGATGTCTGTGACAACTCTGTTTACAAAATTATTCCAGAATATCCATATTTTTTTCTGCCCTCGGCTATCTTTAGAGCTCAAATGAAGTGAGGGTTTTGCTATAAGAGGAGCATTGTCTTTCTGAGAACTTTTGTTACGATAGTCAAACAGAAGTTATTGGAATATAACTATCAATACTATAATAAAATAATAATACCTTTCTCCAATCCCACACGGATATGACTTGCTTATTTTCCTGTGTTGTAAGAACATGATCAGTGCCAGCTGGTGTTAAACAGTAGCAGCCCTGTACACCTTTGTAATTTTTAAGCAACGTCCCAGTCTGTAAGCTCCATAATGAGAATGTAACTGTGTCACTCTCCAGAGCACTAGATACAAAAACATCATGCTTAAAATCCACCATCTTGGAAAACATGCTTTCTGTGCCTCGTGTTGAAGTTTGGTAAGGAGGTGAGACCATAATGAAAATTTATGCCACAACAACAATTTAGCACAAGCTGAGTGGAAGTGGGAAGTGGGAACAGAATAAAAATGCACGAGATAACTGTTATTTTTCTGCTAAAGTGGTGGCTTTGCATAGCAAATTGACCCAAGTAACATAAAGTTTGTGTGTTCATCTGCATAGGAAATTCCAAGCAAGATGTTCCCAACTGCTGGTTACTTTAGAAATGTTCCTTGCCCTTTCTACGTCCATGGCTTATGCCACAGACCTTACTGCCATTTTCGGCATTCAAAACCAGGTAAGGAAAAGGGAATGGACTGTTTTTTATACTTAAAATGGATGCAGCTATTTGGACGCCTAGATAAATTAAATTGGTGTTGAGCTGCTGTATAAAACACGCGCCACTTTCGCATTTTTGAAAAGTTTTTGTTTTCATTGTTCCTCTCCTACCCGTTCCTGTTCTATACATGAAGGCTTGCCTCTTATGCACTTAAGTAAAAAACTCGGTGTTAATGCTGAACAAGTTTTCAATTAATGCAAAAACAACTCCTCGAATTATAGAAGCTTTTTACCTTTGAAATATTTCTCCTTATTTATGTCTTGTATTTCCTCATTAGATTGTCACTGTCAGTCACTCTGTATTGATATTAAGCAACATTGTAACGGGGGAAGGGAAGCTGGCTTTTTTCAAAATAATAAACTTAAGTAAGATTTTAGAGTTTTTTATACAATGTATACATGTCCCAGGCTGATTGGGACTTTGTTACTAATCATAAAAGAGAATTATAGATAAGTTATAAAGCTTCTAAAAATAGTAAAAATTAATATTAGATGTGTAAAACTTTTATTTGTTTGGCCATTGCATAGGCTTTTGATTTCATATCACTAGATACAAAAGGAAAGAGAGGGAACAGTAGTGACTGGACTTATGGAGAATTGGTTGGTATGTATCTAGAAAATTCTACTTAAAGGACAAGTGACACGCTTTTGGCGCCAAATTTTTTTTTTCTTTTAACTTTAAGTAAAATGCTGTATGAGAGTGTTGTTGAAATATTTTTCCTTTCTGATTTCATTTTCCTACTTAAAAACCCTTTTCAAATTATGGCGGGAAATGAATCACGTGACACCGTGACATAGATTGTGATAATCTGTTATTGCTGCTACTGGTATACAGTGCAATATTAACGTTTACAACATGCTTCTAAACAAATTCAGTTCGTCTGGACCTGTCGCATTGTGTTTCGTAGATTCTCTATTACTGACAGGAAATTTCCAAGTTATCACAATGTATGTCATAGGGTCACATGATAAAAAGCAAAATCGCGCCCCCTGCGCCCCCTGATTAGAATTTTTTGTTTTAAACCAGGAAAAACTTACTTCTAAATAATGATCTATAAGTTAATGAAAAGAAAAATAGGGCAAAAAGTGTGTCACTTGTCCTTTAATTGATCAGCTACCCTGTACTATTAGGGAAAGTTGTTATTGCCTCATAGGTACCCAGTTGCAATTAAAACTAACCAGTGTAACAATTACAACAACAAAAAAGGAAGACTAGCATTTAATCTGGTTTTAGATCTAGTGTTGACAGTTTGATTTTTTGTAGAAGGAGACAGCACAGTTATTTGAGTTGCATTGATGTGATAATATCAGGCCTCTCCGTTTAAGGCACATGATCATGTGTGTGCGCCTTGGCACGCTCCTGCTGTTGCCGAGACGCACAATAAATCATGTGCCTGCTTTATAAGAACCCTTTAAATTGCTCTCCTTGTGTTTTGGTTTTGAACAATTATTATACAAAGAGCCTTGCAGATTTGAAATCGGTTGATATCTAGATAAACGGTTGCTTCTTTTAATCCCTCTTTCAAGGAAATTTTTATTGTCAAGTTAAAGCAAACACCTCTTGAATATGTTTCCAGTTTTTACAGTGATTCGCAAAGTAGAGAATCACTTTGATCTTCCTTGCAGAAGAGGAAAGTCACGAAAGTAAATCTAGCACAGCAGAAGAAGAGTTAATGGACATCATAAAAAACCTGTCACCTGGATCTAAACAAGCAAATGCTTCCTCTAAAAAGTCAGTGACATTTGCTTTCCCTAGTCATGGCCAACAAACTGTAAAGGAAGAAGGCAAGAAAGGTTAGAAATATTATATTGTAACAACATTCATCATGTTTTATTCATTATATATTATGTGATTGGCTAAGTACTATATAGGCATGAATGGCATATAAGACAGATAATACATTTAATTTCAAACATCTGCCAAGAAAAATCTTTGAGATAGATTTTTGTCAGGTCCCACTGAGAAATGCTGTCTATTTTTACTAGGACATTGATTGATATACAAATTAAACTTATTCTTGGTGTTTGCTGTGTTTTTACATATTTTGAACATTCTATTTTTTTTAATATGATAAAAATACACCATGCTTTATTTTTTCTAGAAACAACTGAAGTAACAAAGAAAAAGAAGGAAAGGAGTGCACTTAAAAAGGAACTTGATAAGGACCCAATACCTGCACCGATAATTAAGGAAATTTCAGATTTGTTAAAGATCACAAGCTCAAATGATCAATCCTCAAAGATTGCAGAAGAGCTAAGGAAGAGAAAAAAATGCAAAAAGGGTGATTATCATTTTGTTTAAGAGGGGATCCTCTTTGCCGGATGAACTTTTACTAAACAAGCTGTTGTTCTATATGTATAGTTACATTTGTCAACTTAAGGACCCACTGTTAGGTTAAAGAAAACTTGAAATAACTGCGGAAGAAAATTTAAACATGAAATTGAACTCTTTTTTGAGATTCTGCTCTAATGTACCAATATATTTACTCTGGAACTCTAGTTCGACAACACAAAAACTCTACATCCGTTTTTTTGGTTCAATTTGAATTCGCAAAACTTTAGTTAAAAAAGAAAAAATTTGTAAAGTTTTTACATAACATTTTTGCAGTAGATTTCTCCTTAGCTGAACGAGCATCTGAAGTTATGAAATACTTCCTTGGTTCCATTCAAAGTTTGTTATATCAGGGTTCGACGGTAGTTTATTATGCATTTAACATGTTTGTTTATTTAAGTTCCAATTTTATCGGTTTTGATTTTAGGTGAAATAAATTTAAGAATTGGTAAATTTTGATTTTGAGGAAAGTGTTCTTTTCTTTTGAAGACACTGAAGAAGCAACAGTAGAAGTTACGGAAACCCGAGAAGAAGAGGAAAAAGGAAATATTACTGATGCTGACAATATATTCGATATCATCGAGGAAGATATACCTAAAAAGCCCCCCAAATTAAAGGACATAGATTTCTTTGAAGCTGAAGTTGTGACCGGAGAAACAAAAAAAAGAAAGATAAGTGGCAGTAAAGGAAAACAAAACTTAGTTTCCGACCAGCAAGATTCTTCTGTGGAATCTTCAAGTGAATCTGTGGACAACAGCGAAGACACTTTAAGACAAATTTTTGAAGAGTGTGATCCACTTGTAGCTCATGACTTGGCTAAGGAAAACACAATTTCAGTTAAGGCAACAAGCAAAGAAGCCAGCAGCACATCGATGGGTAAAGTTAGAGAAACTGTTGGGCTTGGAAGCCTAAAGAAAAGAATCGCGCATAATCCAAATGTGGAGGTTCGTAAGCTTTCTATCGTCAAAGTTGTGCTTTTTCATTTTTGCTAACTTTCCGATGTATTATGGTGGCTCAGTGATGTGAAGAAGTGACGTCAAACTGCAGGGTGGAAATCCGTTGTCTTGAAGTTACTTTTATAAGGCTTATTTGAAGTGTTCGTTCAATAGAAGTATCTTCTGTTTGAAGTTGACTGCAACATAAGACGTAATGGCAAGTATAAGGCGTATGAAAGGGTGGTTGAAAGAAACGTAGAGTACTACCTCAGAATCTTAGGTTTTACAGAAAAATACTTGCTCATGCATACAAACAAAAAGCAAATGAAGGATATTTATATGCACCAGCTTTTGCATTGTGGTTCCATATTTTATGAAGCATCAATTTTTTAAAAATTCAAGCCCCTGAAAGACGGACCTAGAGATTTGCTGACGAACTCGCCTAACTGCCCCGTCACGAGACAGAACCCCTGAAAACGGAAGGAGAGGAAAATGTAGCTAAGAAAGGAAGAGTTTTTGCAGAGATATCTCTCACTGCCTGTCAAAAAGAAATAGTTTTAATAGGCACCCTTAATTAACTGTTTTCTACCATCTAAAATATATGTTGCTGGATCTTTAAGCGGGCTTCATCGTCCTCATATCTGCTAGTCTCCATTGAAAATAATACTACAGAGTCACGTATGAGGCTTCAAGTGATATTTGTGTCACATGATTGGTCAGGAAAAGCCTCTTTGTTTCACATACAATGTCAGTATTCGATTTGATCAGTAGTAGAGTCTGTATCTATCTAGTTACGCCCCGTATGCCGGTCTAAATCGTAAATTTCTGTTTTCACATGTCTTAACTGTGTTTATTGCAGGCTGTTCGCCAACCAGTTGTCATGAAAGGGCTCAAGAAAAATACCACCATGAAACCATCATTTGTGTCACCTAGCATATGCAACACATCGAAACTTCAATCAACTGCGAAGATGGCATCAAACAGTGGTGTAGGTTTTTTTCAGTTTGCTGTTTTCTACTTTTTCTTGTATTAAGAAGATTTATAATGGCATATTTTTAGTTTCAGATTATCATCCCCAAAAAACAATGACCTATATTGCTGAATTATATATCTTGTTAATTCAACTAATAATCCGATTGATCTCCGAATTATTTCTCAGTCATCTTTCAATTTAATTTTTTCGTTGCGAGAATGTTGAATTTATGCTTTTGATCGAACATAATTTGGCTTTAATCCTGCCATGAAATTAACGTTAAAACCGAAATTCTGCAATGTCGTTCTTTGTTTCCGTTCCTACCGTCAAATTGGTCAGTTTGAAACAGAATTTTGTAGAAACCTTACCAAATGATTCTTTTAGAGTTTAAAAGCTCATTTGAGATCTCCTAACAACTGAAGCTAGGTCACTCGACTGCTGTAATATAGGGGGCCTCATATAGTTATTTCTGGAAAATTTAAAAATTGTTAAATTTTATTGCAAGAGCGTTCTGGAGAAAAGCTGTTGAGTTTCGTGAACCAATTGTAATAGGAACTTCACAGTTTGAATCTGTGAAGCCTATTGTTTGCAGTTTCAGAACTTAACATTCTGTATTGGAATGTTATGGAGGTATTTTGATTCCCTGTAGTATCGATGTATCGCCTTGAAGTTTTATTAATCAAACACAAACTGAATGCCACCAAATCATCAAGGGCTTGTTTTTATGTTGCAGATTGAGCCAGTAAGCAAACGCATGTCTTTTACCAGCAATGATGGAACTTACATTGGCAAGAAAAGAAAGGCCCATACTCTAGAAATAAACGAAGAGCCTAGTGTACTGAAGGCCACGGTTCCCGCGAAAAAGCCAAGAATTCCTGTAGAGTTTGGCTCAAAAGTACCGCAGGTTATAAGGCAGCGATATCTAGATAAAATTATTGAAGAATATACTGATAAATACAGTTCATTGGGGGAGGTCTATGAAAAGGTAGGTTTTTTTCTGATGCATGTTTTGTACCTGGGGTGCTAGGGTCACAAAAGTATGGCGCGAGAATGGTAGTGAAGCAAAGGAGAGAGGTACGGAGATACGATGAGATGTTTTGTGGCTCTGGTACCTACCTTAGAGTTTGTAATTATTATTTTACTTTGTCGATTTTTGTGACAAATTTTAATTTTCTCTGTACCAGGTACTTTCGATATCACTAAGCTCTACTGACTTTGATTGACAATAGGCTTCTACACTTCTTTACTTTGTAGAATCAACTCTCATACTTAACTAAACATACAGGTTAGTTAAATTACTTCCCAAACTACAAAGAATTTGTCGTTTTCTACATTTTAGCTATTTTTCCATTGCTCATTTTTTAATGTTTATTAGTTTCAAGATTGCATGTAGGTTTTGATATTAGGAATTTTACAATGAAAGGCTCCTTGGAAATAAATATTCTGTTCAGAAACAAATTATTTTCTCAAGAACTGCTCTCTTTAAACATATTAAGTGAAATATTGTGAAATGAAACAAGTTGAAGTGATTCACGTAACAGAGTAGCTTAGATGCAAATAAATGATGAACTAACTGAAAGATTTATCAAATCATCTTCAATTTCCAGTCATATCAATCATCTTCGATTAAAATCCGAAAAGTAACGAGGAATGACTATCAAGTTAGTATTGGGCATGCTTCGTGTGTATTGTGGGAAACTATGTCAAATTTCATGTTTGTTCTGCTTATTCAAAGAGATAAAGAGGATATGGTAGAAGCTAGAGGGAAGACAAGAAAAGTGGACAAGTTGTTAGCGCCCTCTACTGCAGTACTTGAAGTTGGGAGCCCAAGCAGAAGCTTGACCCATATTTCGGTTGCTTGCCAGTCCCAGTCCACCTAAATAATTGCCCAGTAGCAAGAATGGGGAAGCAGAGGGGCAGCGAGGAAGGAAAATCGCCATCCTACCCTATTATGCTACCCTTTTTTAAAGAAACTAAGCTCGGGTTAAGCACTCCGTTTCTCAACTTTTTGCTGATTTCAGTGCTAAAAGTTTCTTAAGGTTTTTAAATACCAGATGGTAAACTTTTCATATTCAAAAAGATGGAATAAATGACACGAAATAGTTCTAATCGAAAAGAACCCCTAAAAAGTTAAAAAGAGCTCTTTCTATTTATCTATATAAATTCAACAGGAACTAGGTGCCTAATCGTTGAAGAAAATCATTTCCATCGCATTATTAAAAGAAGGATTTAGATCTTTTTTGTAAGGTTAAAAAGTGCTATGGTTTTTTAGTTTCTTTTTCGTCTTCAGCCTCGGCCTAAAACCTGGTTGTCGCCCTCTTTAACCAGCTATTCCTATACGTACGGGTGATGCAAGGGACTAACCTATACCATTTATTCCTTATAGGCCGTAGAAGAGGAGAAGCTAATTTACACACGCTGCTCAAGTCGTCAAATCTATATGAATCTTTGCGTCAATGCCATCAAGAAGATTCGTGAATTACCAAAGTACAAAGTTATCAAGAATGGTAGCCACAGAAGTTTGGCGCCAAAGTTATTGCCGGATAACTCATCCAAAATGGCTGCTGAACTTGCGTCATCGATTGTCCCGCCAAAGCTTGTAATAAGGCCATCTTCAATTTCACTGTCCAGAGTTGATAAGAAGCATAGCTCATTAACGGGTGGTTCTGCGGACAGACAAAGGAAAACATCAATCTCCAGCATTGCCGATCTCACTGGTAAGTTCCATTTTTGGTTAATCTTCGTCTTTCAACGTAAATGTCAGGTATTATTGACCTTCCTTCAGTTTTTGAACAAGTCCGAAGCATGACATAGTATTTTATAGATTACTTCCTTGTGGTATAGAAAAATCAAAATTATAAGCTCAATGTCCTTGATAGATCATTATGCTACAAAACGATCTTCGCTTCAATATTCTTGTGATCTTTAATTTCTAGAAAAACCCAAAACATAAATTTTTCCATTTCTGAACAAATGTCTGAGCCTTGCTATAAGAATGTTCAAAACTTCATAAGCCTTTAGGTATTGTTTTTTTGTGTTTAGTGGAACTGCCTACCTGTTTGCCGGTAGAAAAAGAGGATAAATTTCAAAACACAGAAAATGAAAACCGATTTGGACTTGTTCTTATAAAACGAAGAAACCCAGTTTATTATTTATCCGGTTAGTTTCTTATCATTTTGCCATATATATCGCCCATTAGCGTCAAGTAACTACCGCTGTTTTTACGCCATCCTACCCTTTAGACTCGTAATTAACTAATCTTCAATTTCACTTTTTAGGCTGTTGTTTCTTTATAATAGAAGCTTTATTTTTAAGGCAAAGAGGCTTTTTTATGATTTCACTATTAAGCCGTTATTAAGAAAAAATCAGACCTGACGATTTTCTTTTGGTTAATACCATTCTTTAAGAGAGGTTGAACAAGTTTTGATCTCATTAAAATTTATTTTTCATACATTAAGCAATGCTTTGTTTTATTTTCCTCTTTGCCATTTTAATCCGGCAATTTAGTGCATGCTTCGAAGGGACACTAATGACGTAAACTTCCTCCAGACACGACTGAAAATCGTCTAGCATTCGGTAGACTATGTTTCTTATTTCAAGAATTTTTATCTTTCCTCCAGAGGATATTTTTTACGACTGCGTGCAGAAATACGTCGCTTCAGATCAAGACCTTTGGAATAACAATTACCCCAGGGAATCCACAGACACCCCTGGTCGGGCTCTGTACAGGGAGACCAAAGGATCTTTGCACGGTAAGGAGAATGCCACTTAATCACTTTCAGTCTTGATATATCTCTTAAAACTTTTTACTAGTAATGTTTTGATATTTTTCTGTAATATTGGTTTGTTTAATTTTATGTTGTTTTTCTTAAAATCATTCAAAATTCAATGAACTTTTGATGTTAGCTGTATCAGGTACTTAGATGGTTTATAAATCAAAACCTACCCTTCAAAAAAGCACGAAAAGCAGAGACACTGTATGCAGGGTATATGCAGCGTTCACTTCTCATAACATCTTTCTTTGTTTTGAAGATGGTTGCACTGCTTTAAGACTGCAGTTTACTTTGTGATTAAGTTTAAAGCATGTAGCATAGTATTAAGGAGGAGCTGACTTAACTTAATGAATTTTCAACCTTTTCTGTAGATAATTCCCGGCCTAAGGTCTTACTTTATTGACACAGTTCGAAAAAGGGCATTACAACTTTACGTAAAAAAGTACATATATACCCAAACGCTACTCTTCCTTTTCTATGGCTAGCACTAAGCCCGGAAATGCTCTTCACATTGAAAAACTCATTGCGTGTTAAGGCCGATTTCCATTTGACATTTTTTGTGCGCGCGGGCGTAGCGCCCAAATCTGAGCATGCGAAGTTGATAGGGCCTCAAATTTCTGGCGCTCACAGCGGACGCAAAATCGAAACCACTTGACTTTAACCACGCATGATCAGATTTGGGCGCTACGCCCGCGCGCACAAAAAATGTCAAATGGAAATCGGCCTTTATGTCGTGAAATGATGTAACTAGATTCTTTACAAGTCTAGAATATGTTCCTGTATCTCTCAGGATCACTTGGCAGTGCCTGTTTGTTGTATTTATTCGCCAATCTTTAATAACACCGTGTCGTTCTACATGCAACTGTACCAGATCAACGCGAATGTGCAGGGCATGCGTTCATGGTGTCGTCAGACAGTACTTTTTATAAACTTTGCTTATTATTTATTAACAAAGATTATTAACTTATGGAAAGAAATAACCTAAGTTTGGTTACTTAAAAGCATTTTCTAACGTACAAGAACTATCTCATTAGATCAGCTCCAATATTTTGCACTCAGCCCAGTACTTAAATGTTTTTTCCTTCAGCTACGAAACGAACTTGCGCACGGTGTGGAAACCCTTTTCTGTTGAACTCAGAAGGAGAATACGTAGTCAAGGCTGAATGTACTTATCATTGGGGCAAGATGCGAAGATTTAGAGGCGAGTTGTCCTTAGCAGAATTGTTATTTTAAAGTTTTTCAGAAGCATTTAGTAAACATAATTATGTGCATAAAACTGAACTTCGTCCCAAGATAAGACTGATTGCACTTGCTGATTGTTGTCTTTACTTCCCAGGTTAGCAAAACCTTAGGATTTAGATAAATTATACAGCAAGAGATTCATACCATTCTTCAGTGGACATATTTATCTTCCTTGATAAAACTATTCGTCACCCTCGAATTCTAATTCATATTTCATCATGCATGCAATTTCAGTCATGGTGTTTAAGAATTTGTTAGAATATGTTGACGCCTGTTCTGTTAGCAACGTTTATTTTTTGATTTGTAATTTTAGCGTGGTTTTATATTTATAAAATTCTTTTCAGGTAAAGGTGGAGTTCTTACCCAGTTTTCTTGTTGTCAAGGTGATTCAGGTAGTCTTGGCTGCTCTGTGGCAAAGGTAGGAGGCAAATTTGTCATCTCATATTAGAATTAACGGCATCCGACTTTCAAATACTCAAGTGTCATCTCAAATCGACTTCTATGAGGTACGTTAAGTCAGCCCCTGTTGGAAAAGTATACCTTTTTTGTAGGTATTAATTTTGTCTTTTAGTGTTGAAACAGAATAAAGCTCTGTTTATGGATGAATAACTCTATTGAAAGTTTGTTGCTGCTTTTCAGCTGCATGTAGCCGACTACTTCGGAGACCTTGATGGTTACGTGGCTACGAAGGCGCACAATAAAACAAACACACGGAAAGTGTACGCACTTGATTGTGAAATGGTGAGTCTTTATTGATAACAAAATATATTGAATAGATAATCAAACCAATAATTTATAAGTAATATGATAATATTCATAAGTCAAGATTGATTTAGGACCTTATTTGATGCCTGTGTACGTAGGTTGGTTCTAGTTATATGCTGGTTCTATCGCGGATTGAATTTCCATCTTGGAGACATATTTTATAAAAAGTGAAGAGAAAAGCGTCCATACAAATCATGGTGTGTAATGACTAAAGATATTTAAAGGTAGTTATTGCAGTGAAATAATGTAAAGTGCTATTTTCATAGTGCCCTAAAGGTTTAAGAAATGAAGCTAGGAAAACGGGTTTCTTTTAGAGGAAATTGATACAGTTTTAACCTTCAGTTTCATAAGCATTCGATTGAGGCAAAATTACCTGACACAGTCTATTTTGCATCTCACAGTGTTACACGTCACATGGTCTAGAATTAACAAGAATAACAATCGTTGACTTCAGTATGAAACAAGTGTTAGACGCTTATGTAAAGCCCGAAAGAGAAATAATTGATTATAATACACGGTTAGTGGTTAACCTTTTTTTCTAGTTTCCGGAATGTATTGAGTAGATCTTAGGACATTCTTGGCTTTTCTTTTGATTTCTTAATGCATGATTTTTTATCAATTTCATTTTGTGCTACTTCAGCTTAAAAGGAGAAACTATTCGTAGTCTTCAGAATGACGATTTTGTTAATGACCTGTGCACCTGCGATTGATATACTTTTGTTCGTATGAAGGGAAGAAACACTTCTTTTCTATTTGCGGAAACTTTTCTTTCTATTTGCATTTTGTTTTGGTGCTTACAACAGGACAATTCTGGGTTGCTACTCTGAGTCTAATGCTTTCTGCGATCATAAGTCATGTCTATTCAACATTGAACCCTAATCCAGAGACAAGTCAACAGAACCCTTATAAGCTACTTACTTGTGCTGAATCTGTTTACTTTAGGTTTAGCGGTGTTACTGAAAAGGACCTTGAAGGTGTCGAAATATCCTTAAACGATGTGCATAGAAAACTGCTGAAGAAGTTCGGAACAGACACAGTCCTGATAGGCCATAGCTTAGAAAGCGATCTCCGTGCTTTGAAGGTCTGTATATTCAATGCTGCTGAAACATTAAATTACATACATTTACTTCACATGTGCATGTCTCATAAATACTAATGAAGAAAAATTAAGAAATTAAGAAATTTTAGTAAATAAGTAAAAGTTTAATGATTAGAAATTATTCAATATCTTGATGATATAATTTAAGAAATTCCCTTCCTATTACTTGATTAGCTCAGTTATCAAGAAGAATGTCCTAGTGCAAAACATCACAAAATTACGTCATTTTTGCATGTCTCATAAAGACTTCTTGTTCTTTTCTTGCGTTCTCTCTGTCTTTAAGAGGACGTAATTATTTTTGAATCATTACAACAGTTTTATGCAGTAATTTTCAGAACACTTTATGTCAATACAGAACTCCATATAAGACTGGCAAAAGGGCTGAAAGCACTAAACTTTCGATTCATCTTCATTCATCATATTTCAGTAGTTCATCTAACACCATGCATCATTTTGTTCATCTAGCGCCTATTTTCCTTTTCCTTATGGTCTATGGCCTCGGAGCCCATGTCTTTTCCCTGAAATTAATTGAACCGAACATGTTGTTGTTTTTCCAACTAGTCGATACTTACCAATTACTTTGTGATTATCAAATCTCACACTGCTTCTTGTAGCATATAGCTCTCAAATTACACCTAGGTCTTTCTAGGGTTGTCTTATTTGAAAACTATATGATAATGTATAACTTTTAACAAGTATTCAGGCGGAGTTTGTTTACGTTTGTTTTCAGCTTATACATAATAAGATAGTTGATACAGCTTTGATATTTCCGCATCGCCTGGGACTTCCTTACAAACGAGCGCTAAAGACCTTGATGGGTGAATTTTTACAAAAGATCATACAAGACAGTGGTATGTTTGTCTCATTTAACTAAACGATATACCTTATAAAGTAAGTCGAATTTTTAAATGGAGCTGCGAACGAATGAATTCAAGAGTTGTGTATATTTTTCAAAGAATGCTTGTAAATGCGATAAGATGGTGAAATAAAGCAACCGCAATTAATACTTATATCCTACATCTTTGTCGAATTATCCTTAAAAATTGCATTTTTATTACCTTATACTGTTTTTGCCAATTTATAACTTATCTTTATTGAAGTTACCATCCATGCGTCTTTTTTTAATGTGTTTGTTTCTGGGAACTATAATTTTCCCAACGTTGACTTCACAAAATATGTTGGGTAAGAGCAATAAAACTTAGGTTAACATCATTCTTTTAAGTTATAATGGTAGTTTAAGTGCTTATTAAAGTGTGGTTAGTGCTTATCAGTTTTGAGATATAGTCCATGCTTAACGAGAATGTTTCCGTCTGTATTGAGAGTATGGAGTCCAGAAAACGAAGCACCTCTACTGCAAATCACCTCGGGAAAAAACTCCACACCCCTATTCTTCTAAAACATATTTTCATGTTAAGAAGTCTCATTCAATTGCTGGGAGGTGACTTGGCCGAAGGTTTGGTATTATTTTGTTTTTCTTGTAGATGGGGGCCATGATAGTTATGAAGATGCAGGAGCTTGTATGGAACTAATGAAGTGGAAGATTATGGAAGATTTGAAGAAGCAAGCAAGAACAACTAGTGCCCATGTTAGGTGACATGAAAGCAATATGGAGCATAGTTATAATGTCGCTGCTTACAGCAGCAGAGATTTTATCAAGAAGTTCAGCAATTTTGGAAGATTTGAAACAACGAGGGAGTGACAAATGGTGACCACGAGAGAGGAAACAAAGAAGCAGTCATTCGAGGGTTTAACAAAGCTGTTTATGATTTCTTCTACAGATGGAGAATTATGCTGTTTAGATGAAAAGCACTCCAGTTTGTCCGTTTTGTATATGGAGTTTTTTATGTTTACTGTCACCAAAACACCCGTTTTCCTGTTACCATAGTTTGATTGGTGTGCTTTCTAAAAGTCCTGCATTCAATAGAATTGGACGGTGAACTTGCATCTCGAGAATTGGAAAGCAGCGCGAGAAATTCATTGACATGATTGAAACGAAACACATTGAGGGGATTAGATGACGAAAGTAGATCAAGCTGAATTTGTGATGTCAAAACCGCGGTGAGTTGTGAACAGTTACAATGTTTGAACTATAAAATGTATATTTATTTATTGTTTTTATTGAAATATTGTTGAGGAAATCAACAGCAAACGGTATCTTTTGCTTCTGTTGTCGAATTATGCCTTGAAATTTTTAAGAGTAGAGATTTATGTATGTTCTAGATTTTGTGCAAAATTTTGTAGGAAGCATTCTTTGTGTTTTTGTATTTCATACCACGTTGAAAGCATGACGTTTACCACTCGTCAACTGCCTTTGCATTTTTGCACTTCTTTCTGCAGTACATTGGTTGTTTCTGTTAGTTATCTTATTTTCAAATGTCTCAATTTTTATTGCGAACTTCACAAATGCATGTCAGTTGACAGAAGCTTATGATCCCAGAATCGTGCGCTTTTTAGACACCCCGTTTTTCCCTACTGGATACATCACCTCACTGAAAGGCATTGTCCCAGGGCCTTTACGAGCTTTCCTGCAGCCTAGAGTATAGTACTAGCCATCTGTAACATTTCATTGCTCATGGGCGTAGTAGATATGGGGGCTGGGGGTGCTGCATCCCCCTCAATCAGGCAAATTTGTCAAATTTTAGGCTAATTAAAGCAATTTTATCTCAAAGAAGCAACAATTTTTGGGCATGAATCCTGCTAAAACTAAACGTTTAGCCTCCGCTATTCCATGAATTTGCTCTCAGCTCATTTTAAGGACAGAAACTTTCGATTTTTTATGATTTATGACTTAGATTTTATCCATTTCCCAGTAGGGGAAATGCAGATCTAATCTCTAGGGGTTATTCTTGGAATTTAGGGTTTTTCGTCACTTTTTGTCAACGTTTGGCTACCTTGTTGTTTCTGTCAAAATTCTATTATTCCCAATCACCTTTTCAAATTAGAAAACCGAAAATATTGTTAAGTTTAAGTTAATTGTTAAAATCAAAGCAAAAGCATCAGGGCTACCCCCTTGAAATCTGTGTAAGCGGACCTCTTATTTTCTAAAAACAGTAGTGGAGTTTTACCTGTATTTGAAGGTGGGTAACTAGTTAGAATTTGCTGCCAAAAATGTTTAGATGGCTGAGAACAACCATAGGAGAAGTTCAACTTAAATAAATGAATGGTAAACTGAAAGTTGATAAGCATTTGTGATAAGCTTAAAATTTGAAATATCTGAAAACAGCATGGGTATTTACACTTTATAGTGTCTGCAAATAAAAAAAGGCATGGGTACAAGTGATGTAACGCATAAAATAAAACCTTATTGTGGTACTCTAAATTTATGGTAACCGTTTATTTTACATAATCTTATTCCATAAAAACAATGAAATATAAACTTTGTAACAATCACCAAACAATTTCCTTGCAAATGTTTGCAATGTTAGTACAGTAAAATGTTTTTTTATTAATTCATATTATTTATCTTTAAGCTTACTATTCTTCTTTGAGAGAATAAAGTGAATTTACTACATCTCCAAAAATAAGTGACTTCAAAAGCGTAGGAAGTGAAAAAAAGTTCTTTAAACCAAAATTTGTTTTTCTTTTTAATATGGCTTGAATTGATTCTTTGGTAAACAGCATTCTAACCACTACACCATCAGCTAAACATAATTTTGCAGTTGAACAATCCTTGTTAACTCTGCTTTCTGTTTTGTTGTATGATTCTTGTTTCCCATATAAAAGTCTCATACTGACACCATCTGCAACGAAACATAACATAGTTAAGTCAGTTTAAAAATAAGTTAATCAATAGTTGAAGTCATAATTTTCATTTTATAAATTCAACATCAACCACTGCAAAACCATCAAAATTAAATATATTGTTATTTGACATAAAATACTGTTCAAGCAGTAAATGGGGGTTTGCAATTCTTGAGAATAATCAAAATTTTGATGTCAACGATATTATGTTTGTAGAGAAGAAACAGGTCAATAAGAAAATAGTAAAAATGATATATGATGATATAATACATATCATTTAAAAGAAAATAACATCTTATTCTTTGAAGTTATATATCACTTAATTTTCAGAAAATCTTGATGCAAATTGCAATCTTTTCAAGCACAGCATTCTTACAGTAGAAAGCACTTTAGACTATGGCTTGCCTTCATAATCCATATTAAAAAAATATGCACATACCAACAGGCTGACTTGAGGATAATACTCTCTGAACTACTGCATAGATTGGTATTGAGTTGAGAATGCCAGTGACATAATATATAACAGCCTTCAATACAAGTATTGGCAATCGTAGAAGAGTGAAAACAAGGTAGTAGATTCCAGTTGTTGGGAGCAAAAAGAGAAAAATTGTGAAAAGAATGGTTCCAAATGCTAATTGATTTGCATCAAAAGGAATTGAGTCCACACGGTTTCGCAATGGGTTCCATTTTTTCCCTGAAAGAAGATAATATAAATGAAATTTTAATGTTAAAACACATAGCAAATATCTTGTATTATTTCATTTAGTTTTGAGAAGTAGTCATCCAAATTGAAAAATATTAGCAACACTGAACTAGTATTTGATTGATACAGCATCAGATCAAGAACAGAGTCATGTTATGTTCAGCAAAACAAGTTTTTTAAATTTAGTTTCCTGCATCAATGTTTACATGATATAAAGTGGTGATTAGGGATGTACAAAACTGCAGACAGTAAAATGGGAAACATATATGGATCTTTGAAGATTTTTGAGCCTGTCTTGTCTCCCACATTAAAACCTGTAGCCCAAAAGCTGCTAGTCATTGAATGTTTTACCTTTCTACTTTTCCAAAATAAAACAAAAAAATGCATTTAGAGAAATCTGTTTTTCGACATTTGAGAAGCTGAAGGTAGATTTTGGCTGTCAACAGGCTGGCCAACTTATGTCTTGGGGGGGGGGGGCTGTAAATAAGTATAACTTAATATTCTTTTGATGCTCTTCATATTAAGAATTTTATTTTTTTATTCAAAATCCTTCAAGTTCTGATGCAATATTTATTTTGCTGAGTTATGAAATGCAATATGTCTGTTTTTCTAGTCATTTTTATAATGATTTGTAAAAAACAAGTGAAGGTCAGCAAATTTTGGAAACTGATATATTTTAGCTTGCAGCACACATAATGTGCATTTTCTTTGTGGTATTAGACCAAATTGATCCGATATATGCATCTGCGATACTCTGCAGATTGGTCCATACATTGGACACTTTGCAAAATTTTATTATGGCTTTTAATTTCTTTTATTCAGGATGTAAACTCACCTCTTAAAAGTCTAGCAAGAGATATCAGCCCTTGAAGCTGTAGCTTGTAGATCTTTGCTGCATACACATAGAAACAGTAAGTATGGAATGTCAAGAAGCTTAATGCATCACTTGCAAGAGATAACATAGTTGACAGTCCAAAACAGCTTGAGTACAATATAATCTTTATAATAAGAACATAATATGGTTCCATAATTAATAAATAGCCAATCCAAATGTAGACATGATAAAGGAAAAACTTTCCCAGAAATATTGTTAACTCATGATTCAGTTTAAGACCAGCTGGAGCTCCAACAAGCCAATCAAGCAATTCATTTAGAAATCCATGAGTCGAATCCCTCCACTTGGTAAATAGTATGGCCAAGTCGTCAAATGAAATATAATAATGTGCTATCAAAGCAAATATAATCCCAGAAATAATATCAAAAATGCAGCTAGATACTGCAGCAAGTTTCTTTTCCTTATTATCCTCCAATCTCCTCTTTGGTTGTTTCAAATTCAGCAAGTATGCCTGAAAATCATTATCCAACAAAGACTTTTCAGGCTTTAACATTTCGTTTATCTCATCATTGAGACCGGACCCTTCGTCCTTTACGATGCGAATTCCAGCTATTCTATGCATAATTTGGTTCACTAGACATGGCATCATGAAAGAAAATCCACGATAGGCCTGGATACTGATATAACAGTGATGTCGTTCTACCATTGATAGACACCATTGCCATGAATATTTTGACAGCCGTATTATGAATTTAAAAGTATAAAATGCTACGCCAATCAAGGCTAACATTTCTGCAAGCGGTATTGTAATTGCGTCTTGCAACTTCGAGGATTTTCCTTGCTGTTCGACCTGGACACAAAATCTCTACCCTGTGGCCTGGGCATGTTGCTTTCAAAATGCCCAAGAAGCCTCCTTTTCGTTGCCAGTCTTCCAAGAACACGAAGGCGGAAGATCTCACCGTAAACAAAGGTATGCAATTCAAGTATTTTTTATGTTAAATTTGTATTGTTGTTAATTAGTAAATAACAAACTCCTTTCAATGCCCTAGGCCATTATTACAGGATTACCACTTAATTGTAAAATGCGTTCGGGACCCAGGGTAGCAGGGGTAGTTGGTCTTACGAAGGTCCTGTTTGTAACTATAAAGTTATTGCTCTCCAAAGAAGTTTCCCACGGCTCTATGCAGTATATATTTCTTCCTCTATTATGAATAAAACAAGGCTGGTGCCATTCAGTAAAGAATGTCGTGGCTACAGAGGCGTGAGGCAACACACAGAAAAACCATTTTAGACCACAATTTCTAGCTTACCAGTTTCAGTCAACCGAAAATAACTACATTTATTTAGTATCAAATTACAGTTACTTGTAAGTCTTTCACGACAGTGATGCTAGTCATTTCAGAAGTTTGCAAGAAGACGTGTGCAAAACAAACAAGCAAATAAGGTCAATAAGATAGAACTGATATCGTCCAATCCAAGATTTACTTAAGACATTGTCAAATTCAACACAAGATTGCTAAAGCTATCTATGCTGGCAATTAGCCTGGCATGAAAATAGAATGAAATTCACAACTCTGCAGAACCGCTACTCTAAAATACTAAGAGGGCTGGGTTTGGGGAAGGGGTTCTTATCCGCAAACGAGCTATGGACGCATCACTTTTAGGCTCCAGTACGTACAATTTATATTGTTACAATTTTCTTGTGCAAGAAAAACTTAAATCCGTTATCATGCCGGAATTGCATCCACAAATCTATTGTAACCTACTAAAGACTCCACTCTTTTTCCTTCTCTTGGGACTAAATGAACTCACCTGTCAGAATAAAATTAAAATATATACTCTGAATACTCGCGAGTTCAACAGTTAAAAATGCATCTAAATTTATATATTGATATTCAGCATTTGAGGAGTCATGTATGAATAAATCAAAAGCAATTAAGCTGAACAACGTGCCTTTTTCGAATATTTTTGAAACAAGTGTTGGTAGGCAAGTCAATCCAAGAGAACCAAATATCATATATATAGCAAATACAAGTTTATATATATGCACTTGTAACATGCGTGCATTTATACCTATTTATAGCGAATACAAATATTGATACAGTATAAAATGATTGGAGGATAAGACTTCGGAAAAATTTCAACGTTAGAGAGCACTAATAGGAAGGGGCACTATCCCTCAGGAAAAGAGGTACTTGTAAAGGAGACTCTCTTCCAAAAACCTGGGGCAGTCTGCTGACGTCCCTAATAAGATCATCATTTTCATTTAATTATACTGCCATATGAAAATTTCCAAGATTGTTCCAGTCGGAGAATATCCACGTTATTTAGCCCAAATGCTCTTGATGGACGTGCAGGAACATCCCAACGACTTCTGAGCAGTGACAAAGTAACAATAAAGTGTTTGATTCAAGCTTCATTATCAAATGAAATACCATTCATCACAGCGTTCTGCAAAAGAGAATTCAAAGAGTTTTAAGTTATATGAATGCAACAATGTGGCTTTAAGATATTACTAAATGACACAATAGTAAGGGCAAGTCAATAATGGGGGGGGGGGGCAGGAGTGGCCCCCCAAACACCATGATGTATTTTCGAAGTCTTTTAACGGTCTGCTTTTATGGGTGTTCCCATTTTTATAACCCCTCGTCCCCCTAAAAGAACACAGCTATCAACATTCCACTATTAGTAAACGCCAATTGCTTTGGTTGTGAGAATCTCTTCTACAGTTGAAATAATCAGTCTGATATGACGAAGTAAGCAAAAAGGGTTTGTTAGACGGCATGGTACTAAACATTTGTTTAAAGGCATAGGTACCAGCCACATGGGGGCTCGCATGTCTCCATGAGAAATTTCGTGGAAGGGGCGGAGCAACCCCTAATTGCTCTTTGCTACATAGCTACCCTTCAACCGCCCCTGTTGCCTCTTGATAGGAGGGGCAAGGGGGGCTAATGTGCCCTTTTCATAGAAGTGCCCTTGACACCAGCCTTTAGTAGGAAATCCACGAAATTCATATGAAATCCAGACTGTAGTGTCTTATTTATGACGACATTTCTCGATACTTGTCAAGAAACTTCTTATGCCAAAATTTAGCCAATTTTTAAGATACCGACAGAAGATCGAAACAAAATGACTATTACGAAAGAATTGTTGGTAGCTGGGAATTAATTTTTTCAAATGCCCTTTTACTCAAGCCCGCCGCCTTGCCCCTTGGTCGTTCTGGCTTCCCTGATATACACCATGTTAGTATACACTAATATTGAAATATAATTACAAAGTAATTTGGCTTTTCATTAACCATAAAATTTCGATGAATCAGTCAATTATTTCATGAAGAGTTCCAATCGACAGACCGTATATTGGCCTGTGCATACGCCCTAAAATTGAATGAAAGAATAGGGTTGACAATGCTGTAGTTGCCCAAAACGTTTTCTAGAAAAAATAACTTTTAAGCTTAAAATAAATTTAAGCAAAACACAAAAATTAAAAGAAATATTCCCCACATGAAAAATCTTCCTTATTTCAGAAACTATAAAGTACTTCCTGATTTTCATTTTTCAGGGATCTAGCGGGTTTCTGATTCTCATAACGAGATCTCTACAAAAATATGTGCAAATCATCAAACACATCTAAAAGTGTTACCCCAGTTTTACGGAAGTTTCCGGTTCGCGAGGTAACGAGCAGGGCCCGCATCACCGATCCTAAATTGGAGGGGGGGGGGCTTCAATGTAAATGCAATGTTTCTCTTACCCCTCCTAGCCCGGTTGTGGCAAAAATCTTGGAGGTTAATCTTATCAGTTTCAATCTTTAAAAGTGAAAAAAGTCGGGGGGGGGGCAATGCCCAACTGCCACCCCCCTGAGGCACCGGCCCTCTCATGCTATGTCACCTCTAGCATTTATATCATAAAATTTGTGAATTTAGATATAATAACTTGAAAGAGAATTATGGAATCTTTTTGAATGTGCAAAATCGGATTAGTATCTTATAAATAGGCTAAAATACGGCTACAGGGGCACAGGCTATCAGTGGCGTTTCTACGGGGGGTCAGGGGGCATGGTCTCCAGAAATTCTCTAGGCCCCTTGCTTGGCCCCCCAGTTTTCACTAAATTTGATGTTTTTATCCATCCACTGCTCTCTTCTCCGCTTCGCAATCGGTCTGTCGTTGTTCCAATACGGGATTCTGTGGAGTGAAATTTATTTTTTTCCTGTGACTGGTAGATTTTTTTCAAGTTGTATGATTTTCAATGAATGCACGAATAAGCACTAGGGTTTAAGATTCGACTGTTCAACTGCATCGACTTCAACAGACTTAATCAAATAGTCTTACTTTACTCATATTGAATCTTTTTACGAAAGAAAAAAATCAATCTGCAAAGCCATGTACTTTTTAAACAAAATTTCATTGAGCCTTTTTGCTACTGTTATGACAAGCAACTCCTCGTTTATTGAACCATTTATCTGGACGGATGGAAACAGACACCCCCTGTGTCATACATTTAAATGGTTTCGTAAAAATAAACATTGGTCACCACAACTCATGGGTGGTCGGTTGGTACGGTAATAAACCGGGAACAAATCAGAAAAATTGGGTGGGTGGTTGAGGGACACAAAAGAAATCTGTAAAAATAGTTGAAATAGGGTGGATGATTCATTATGTCTTGTTTGCGAATTTTTTAGCGTATGTTCCCTGGATAATGGGGCGAAAAGTCGAAAATTCTAAAAATACATTTTTCCAGATGTCACAATAAAGAACTATTTGAGTCGGCCACTGTGCCCGGTATTTTTCAACGTTATATTTTCTCGTATTGGAGATATAACAATTCAACTTCATGTTCAAATCAAAGGCTTTTTCAGTGCAATTCCATCAGGTGTATTCGTAAATGTGATTTTACAATAGCTCGCTGATATAACAAAAAAAACATTTGTCCCACCAATAATCTCGCCACATTCCCTATGGACAACGATATTGGGGCGTCCGAAACAAGGAAACATGCACATGTTCAAAATACAAAGTTTACATTAATTAATTGGGGCCTCAATTGGGGCCTTGAAACAGATAAGCCCCCTTGTCCCAAGCTTTCAACGGTCATGTTAATTTCCATCCACTTTATCCATACAAACCCATTTCAAGATCAGGTACCCTATTTCCTCCTTTTCCCAACCCATTTGGCCCTCCCTTCCCATAGCCACACCCAACCCCGCCAACTCTGACTTTATGCCGCTATGTACAGGCTATACACTTAACCCTTCCCACTTCTCCCAACTCTTTGTTCCCAGAGCCACGACGTACCATGTTTATCCCCACCCACTCAAAGTCCCCCCTACACTCTACAGTACTTTAATAAGTACTCTGTGTCAATTGCCACTTTTTCTTGATCGTTATATTATATATATAAATTTTCACTTGTAAATTTTCGTTTGTAACCGTGATCCTGGACGCAGGATTGCGAGGGGCACCTAAGAGAAATGGACATACCGAATTAAAGCCCCGAAATGTCCCTCGTGGGTTTCTGGTTGATGAGTTGCTTTTTTCTGCCCATTTTCAGACTAATTGCTTAAACATACAAGGGACACACACAACCACGGGACACACACAACCACCCTCCCCCCCACCCCCATTTGGGTTTGTGGCTGTAACCAGGTGGTAGTGACTACTCCTTATCTCCTTTTTTCGTTTACCGTTTTGGATTTTACACTTTTTCACACATTGGTTTTTTTAGTTTTTGCCTTCTATGCCTATAAAAACATTTGTCATAATGTCACTTAGCCGTGTCCAGGATGCACGATTGTACGATCACACCATACTTTTGGAGGGCCCGGTTGGCAGCAACGAGCGAAAAAGGATGCGGTTGAAAACATTTTACGAAAACTGTAAACATTTAAAAAATGTTTTTTGGGGGCGTTTCCCATAAGTCGGCAGTAGTTTCTGTGCTTTTGTATCAAAAGAGTCAAATTCGTTCCCCTTGAGCGAGCTGCTGCTGCCGTGTCAACGAAAATTGGACCTCTTGACTTTCAAAACAAGCACTCGAAAAAACAATCAGCAATAATTACACCGTTAAAATTCCATGAATACGCAGACAGCCTTGATGAGAGAAAACATCAATCAAAATAGAGAGAAGAGCAACAACCCCCGTTTCGGGAATTCAACGAGATGTAGGAGATATGGAGAGATGGAGAGTTCGTACAAACACAACTTTGGTACATTTTCAAGGTTTGTAAACCATTTGGTTAGGGCAGACATGCCACGAGTCGGTCAAGTTGTGCATTTTAAACAAACTCTGAAAGGGCCTAACGATACGAGCATGAAATTCGGTACTTACTGATGAAATACCGCATAAACCGTAGAAAAACGTATTTTTTGGGGAAAATGCATATTACAACGCTCAGAATATCGAGAAAACGCTTACAAAGACGCATGCGTATTTAAAACAGCGGCTTATTTAAGCCCTTTACAACGACACGTGCAAGGGATTGTCCTTGGAAACAAAATGGCGAGCATCCACTATACGTGCAAGCTTCGGCTTCACATATACTAAAATTGGAACGATACAGAGAAGATTAGCATGGCCCCTGCGCAAGGATGACACGCAAATTCGTGAAGCGTTCCAAATTTTTCGTTTTTGGATAAAAATTATATTTCAAATACCGAAAAACTGAACACGTCCAAGTTCTTGGCAGTCCGAGAAGCGTGCAGCCGAGCGGACTCCCCCGTGATCTCTTTTACAGCAATTATCAAATTATTTTGACTAGGTGCATTACCGCTTTGTTATCGCTTGTCAATCACTCAGGGACTCTTGTCTGCTAATCACGACGGGATGGATCATCGATCATGTTACAAACTTTCAAAAATTAAAATAAAGCCTAAAATCCTACACAAGGTCTTGAAATCCTTGAAAACTTATCTTTTAGACATTTGGAAGCAAAAATTTTGAAACGAAAACCCCGCAACGCAGTTTTAAGTTTGAAAAGCTCCTCCCGAAATTCGCAGGCAGGTAGATTGAAGTAAAATTTGACAACAATGTTTGGAAAGCAAGCAACAAATTAACTTGACCCTTGTGCTGATGCTTTGTATTGTACAGCCTACAGATTTTATGGAAATCCACTTTAATGATTCAAACCCTTATTTTATTCCAAAAATTTCAACGCCTCTATATTTTCAAAATATTCCTCCATTCGAGAGTCGAGCACACACTAAACAAAGAACTGGAGGAAAAAAATCACACAAAATTCTACAAAAATTACATTCTTGTCAATGCTATCTTGGACAATGCTATCTTTTCAAGATAGCATTATTTATCTACTCGATGCTATCTTTTCCTGCCGTCGGCCTTCAAGATCTTTCGATAAAAAAATGATCAAAAAAATTTGAGAGATGTTGCACTATGACTGCTTTAAATTTCCATAAAAGTTTATAAATGATGTCTGTATCCTAAAAGGCATTATTCGTTGGGTTATGAAGTTCTAAAAGCAAACAGGACGCATGAAATATCTACATTGCGGATTCGCTGCACATGCCACCCTCCCACAACAAACGGCCTACGGTCAGTCACGAAAGGCATGTTTGTGCATACGGATAAATAAGTGCAATACGAAATAACAAGTGTACACAGCTACCTTGTGACTCATTTAAGGCCTGCTCTATAAAATGGAAAGATGAAGTACACAATAAGAGGTTAATAAGGCTGATTAGAGAATCTAGCAAAACAGTAAAACTCACAATTTCACACGTGCTTCACCTCTACCTCCAACAACGCCCTTGACGAACGGAAGATGTCATTTTGGTCAGGTGGCTGAGATCGATTAATTATTACAAATTATTATTCGCATAATCACTTATTATTCTTTTTTATAAGAATATTGCTTATATTAATATTCAGGCTCAGAATCATCCAGCATTTTAGAATATTATAAGAATACAGGCACCACGGAACGTTGAGAAAAGTGGGGGGTCTAAAAACAATGGGGGGGGGGCTAAAATCGTATAAAAAGAGGCTTTTCGGGTAGTTTGATACTTAATATTTGGCTAAAGCCCCCCCCAGCCCCCCTAGCCCCCCCCTGCTCCGCGGTGCCAAGAATATTGCTTAGCCTCAACTAGCATAATTTTTTCTTATTTTTTTACTGTTGCAACAGAGAATTGCATGACCAACATATCTATTTTTTCATAAAGCCCGGTCTGGTTTTTTTTGAAGGCAAACCAATTTTCCTCTGAAAGAATAAGAGAATTTAGAAAATAGGAATACCTTCTTAAGAATACATCTAGGCTCAAAAATAACAATTTCTGAAGATTATCGAGGCTGGAAAAAAAATTATAGTATGCTTATTAAAAAAGAGTGTAGCACCTTTAGCAGAAAAGGCAGTGACAAAAAGTTCCTATACTGATAAATTTTACAATATGGGCATCTTGTAGGAGCAATCGGTAGAGAAATTACCCTATGAGAGCACCTAGGACCCCCATACCTAAAAACCTATCCTTATTCACATTATATGCCATGATAATTCTCGTGGTATTCAAGTAGACTCCGATTGCTGTCAAAAAATTTGTGGCAGTTTCAGTTTGTGACATTTGAGCTTAATTGAACAGTTATGCATATTTTGGTCTAAATTTTACGTGAATGGCGGAGTCATTTTAATTCAACTCAAAGGAAAGGTAGGGAAAAGGCAACAGAGGAACCGAGTCTGCACGCCGGCTAACTGTTATACGTTTTTAATAAAAGAATTATTTTATTAAGTCCTTCAAAAATTTAAGAAAATTTAGGGCTGGACTTTGAAACCAGTTGAAAAAATTTGATGTTGAAAATTTCAAAGGAAATTGCCGTGCAAAGATGAAATTTTTCTTTTCTGTGACAAAAATGTGCTGGACAGGAATTTTCTAAGGTTTTCCTAAGGTGCTAAGAAGTGTCTGTATAGAAATTGTCTCCCTTAGGGCTGTTTTTGTGAAGAAATGTAGCACATCATCAAGATAAAATAAAGAGCTGTTCGCGATTTTATCTCAAGCATATTTATAGCATTTCATCTTCTCGATCACATTCAATTTCCAATTTTATGTTAAGAAAGTGTTAAGAAAGTTTTAGTGCTTGAACTAGGAAATAGCTAAGAAAGTTTGAAAGCTGGGCTGAAAAGAGCTTTCTTATAAAATAATGTGTATTGCTAATCATGACTGGGAACGAGATCCAACATTAGTTCATTAAAAGAAGATCACTTATTTAAAAAAAGATTTTTTTGAGATCAGTGGTTGGCACTGAAATAAGTTTATCATAAATATTCAAAGCGAGGCCGTTTGGATACGAGGACGTCCACTTTTGTGCATCAAATATGGCGCAGGCAGAATTGAGAGATGAAGACTTTCTGGGACTTAGATACAGAAAGAAAGGCAAGGAAACAGATTTCATTTCTATTTGTTTGTCATTTGATGTAAAATGAGGTAGTCTTAAAGTTAGAAATGGTGCGGTGTTACCATGATTCCTTGAAACTGTTTGATAACTATTATGACAAACTACTAACTAGGCCCCAGATTGGAATCTTTGAAAGATGCACCCGGGGGATCTGTTTCACGTCCACGAAAATTGCGCATTTGCAAATTAACTTTTGGTATATAACTTTTGGGTATACATTTCAGAGAAAAAACATTAGTAACATCATTAGTGGTGATAAAAACAATATATATATATAGCAAAGTTAAACATTTTTCATTAATTCCTAAAATTAAGAACGAGGGGGAACCCAACCAGGTGAGAATACTTTCCGTATACCAAAGGCTGCACAAAATTTGAAAGTTTTGTTAATTGTAATTAATTAGATCATCCTGTCCCATGTGTATTCTACTCCCAATTTGATAAAAAAATCCTTTACATGTTTGCTGTTATTTGGCATATGTGTGTACAGAAACCAGCCTCGTGTGCAGGGGCGGACACTTGATCAAATATTGGGGGGAAAGCCTATTGTTTTCCCATTGTTTTAGAAAAAAGACGATTGTCCTCCAAAGTATTGGGGGACAGTGCAGCTGGAAGAATCATTTTAATAGAAATTGCGTGGCTGCGACTGCGGCTAATACTTGATGTGCAGGGGGGGGGGGGGGATTTATCCCCTGCACAAGGCAAAAATTCCAATCTGGACTAGGACCAGTCTATTTTATTTACAATTTTACATACAAGACGTATTCAAATGATACAGATTCCTGTGGGTGCACTAAGAGGTTGTATCTCATGAAGGTGCCATCCTTACTTCTGTGACTGCAGATAAGCCAGTTTAGGCGTCTATAAAAATATGTTGCGTTTAGGTCCTTATTGCCCTCTCAAAACGAGTCAGCCGGTCGGCCGGTATGAAATCTTGTCGGGTTTTCCAAAATTAGAAAAATCCAACTAATCCAATTGGTAATGTCAAGTAGAGGCTATTAATAAAAAGCATGTACGCATGTATGTTTACCTTCTCTATGCTTTCACCAGTGGCCAGAACGACCTGGTACCAAAAAAACTACATTAAAATGACCAATTTTGACTTCAACTTCCATGATGCAGCTTCATCAAGCACTTTATGGGATGGGTTGAAGACGTGCTCAATCCAGGGGGTGAGTTAAAGACATATTATCAAGACGTGAGGAAGAACTTTTTTGTTATCTCCTTCACAATGGCTTTCTATAGAATTCAGAGGTATGTTTGTCCAAAATCAGACAAAAGGATATTCAAATGCAATGAGAGCAGCGTACACTGACTTTGATTGTTCAATTGTGGAGACATTCAAACATATTTCTTATCATTTAAAAAAAACCTGACAATTTTTTTGACTTTCCGAATCAGGATTTTGCTGGAAAACAGAGTCGGCCGGTCGATGCGAAAACGCAACATATTTTTGATAGCCACCTTATCAGATACCATTTTTATTTTACATTAGAGGAATTCATATACATTCCCCACTCCCCTCACAAAAGTATTGCACCACTTTGAAGGAAGGAAATTGGTGCAAGAATTATCGAAAGCTATTGTTATGCGAATTGAATGTGCTTTTAAGTGGCGAATGGGAGTGGATTGGAAGTGAGACAACCACCAATCAAAACTTCAATCTTTTTAGAGCACTTTTTTTAAAATAATAGTTTCAAAACATCTTTTAAAAGTTTCAAATTTTAATATTTTGACGGGAGCTGCGAACTTTTGAAACCGCTTTATGCCGTCTTAAATTGATTGCATATAATTGGGCAATGTGTTATTGTGAAATTTCATTCCAAACCTGAAAAATTCTTTTAATCAACAATTCTTTGGTTCTTCAAGAACCTTTTAAACCATGGTTCGTAATGTTTTTCATACAAAGCCAAACATTTTCAATGATGTACAAATCTGGACTTGATGGACACCACAGAAAAACTTGAATTCTTCTTGTTTGGAAACAAATTGTTGTAAAAATGGTTTCCTTTTACAGGTAAATTTTTATTTTACATTTGTGTAAGACACTCATTATTTTTTGTTTGGAAAAATTTTGAGCTGCAAAACTTTGCTCAGCGTTGAGTTTCATGTCTTTTACTGTCCTTTGATGTGGAATGGTGAAATAAAACAGACAAATTCGCTCCCCCTCTAAAATCAATTTTTTTGTTTACCCACTTCTCTGTTTATTACTACTGAAACACTCTTGAGAAACCTTTTTTGATTTATTGAAGCTGTCGTGTGGCTGCATCTAACTTGGTCAATAATTTTTCAAAATTTAAAGACCACTTCCCCGTAAAAATTTTATAGGGACTCGCCCCTCATTTGACAAATTTTCTCCCTTAGGCATGGTCTACATTTTTGCAAACAATAATGTTTTTGCATAATATTTACATTTCTAACTAGGTATTCTATGGCATCAGCAAAATTTGCAAACTTTTCCTGCTGCAGTTTGCTATAAAATATGCCAATTCCACCCAATTCATGCATTCAAATGTTTTGTATTGTCGAAATGTTGACAAAAAGTGCTGCCATTTTAAACAAGGTGGTGCAATACTTTGGTGAGGGGAGTGTAGAGCTTGTATACTTTGCTTTATTTTTTTGAAAGGTCTAATTGCTACTTTCTATTATTTTGGGGCAAAGATTCTATGATTCTATGTAAACTGGCAATTAATCAACTACCTACTAGGCAGTCTGGCAGGGAAAAGGAAATCTTCATGTGTAAACCTAGAGATAGAAAACTTAGACCAAGGGACTTTCATTGCTACACAAGTAATGGTGCAAAGAAAAACATGCTCAGAACTGCAAGTATCCGACTTAATGCTCTAGAAAGTTTGAGCAGTGAAGCAAAGTTTATAGATTTCCATTATTTATAGCTATGACTGCGGAGTGTGACAGAATAACTCAGTTATTTTGCATATTTCTAGATAGTTCTTGAGACATTATTAGCTAGAAAGGAACCAAGATAAACAATGTTAAAGACATATAATGGTAATAAGATCTCTTTTTCAAGTGTCAGTTATTATTTTTAGAAATGCAAGCCACTTCTAAAGAGATGGCAGATGCGCAGTTGCCTTTACACTTGCGAGATTACTGTGCTCATCTTTTAATTCCACTGCAAAAATGCCAACTTGATAATAAATTTATTCCATGGAGATGTAAACATGAGGAGCATTTGTGGCAAGAATGCCAACTGGAGGAGTAAGTAAACAACATTTATTTACATGTAACAAGTGTAGGAATATCAAACAAAATATACACTATAAGGAATTAGATTCGTTACGATTGACAAATTCTAAAGCCTATAAATTTCAATTGTATTCATCACTATTCAATTGTAGTCATCAATTGTAGTCATCAATGACTCGACTCTCGAAGTATTGACTTTCATTTACGATTTTCTCAAAAAACTAAAGCCCCAAGTGGCTAATTCAAGACTTTAAAGACTCTGATGTAATGAACTGCAGCA